GCTGTTGTCAATCTGACATTTCTATTCATTAAAAAAAACATCTGGTCCCACTCTCCTCCCTTTTCGACACAGAAAAATAAATATATAATAAAATGATGATATAGATCCTGAAAGTGGCACACCAATACTGACATAGGTGATACAACAATACTGACATAGGTGATACAACAATATTGACATAGGTGATACAACAATACTGACATAGGTGACACAACAATACTGACATAGGTGACACAACAATACTGACATAGGTGATACAACAATACTGACATAGGTGAAACAGCAATACCGACATAGGTGATACAACAATAATGACGCTGTTGTCCGCCAAAGGACCGTTCACTGACCGGCCTTAAAAAGGTTCACACCGCTACCCACGAGAGTTGCTTCCCTTAGAACTTGGGCGACGACTGTGACGTCACCGGTGGCCTTGAGAATGTTGACGCTTACGGTGAAGTTCATGTTGGGGTGGATCGTTGACGGGGCGATGACGACATACGTGCTAGAAAATACAATGATATATTCTTCTAATTATTTTAAAAATGATAAATATTTGCTAGCTAGAACAGAGGAATGCGTGATTTGTTTGGCAAGTTTAATTTACAAATTTTGTGGACCAATACGTCACTATACATTGTTCGATGATTTTTTGTCTAATTGTGAAAATAAATAGAAATGTAGCCTTAAAGAGAGGTAAACATTTTTTCAAGATTTTTTGTTATTGATTTACTATTTTTATTCAATTTTGGAAAAAAATGTCAAGCTTTAGTTTTTTTTAAAGGCAGATATGAAGGCGAAAATGACAAAAGCACGATATTTATCCATGTCAACAATAATGATGGAATGATTCTCACCAACTTGTTCATGTCCATTATTTTATTATTGTAATTTTTTCATCTTAATAAGTGTATATAGCCAAGCTATTGAAACTGATGTTCGTGCACCATCCTCTATTTTGATCTCTTATGGGTAATATTAGTTTTCAACACAAGAACAAAACGCGTACTAAAATATGAGCAATGACTTGTGACCTTCCGTTTAACTTTAAAATCCAACTTACTTCTGAGCACACATTGTTGTAGCAACCAGTGTCAGTAGAAGAAACAAACGCATCTTGTTGCACGAAAACAGAGCAATATATATTATAAAGTTACACAGACATAAGTTTCTGACTATTTAAATAGAAAATTGAAATGAATCTTTCAGAATTTCAACATTGCGAAAAGGTGCCTCGCTTTCAGCTTTGATGCAGAATGAAACCGAAATTCCCGATTGTGCTAATGCGCATTAATTTGATTTGTGTAATGACGACATTAAAATACAAGCAACTAAACTAGTAGGCCAAAAACTAATAACGTAATTGATCTAGGCTTAAGTCAATAAAGTTGAATATTCCAACTACTCTTTTAACGTTATCATGACGATGAAATTGTATTATTAAATAGTTTTTTTTAAACATACTGTCCCATTATCACAGTGACTGTAAGGATGTCGAAGCCTGATTTTCAGTAAAGTTATGTAAAGAAATCCTACAGATCTTTACCGCATGATATTTCATTTATAACAAATAAATTGAAAGTTAGGTTACGATGATTGTTTTAAGATATAATTTAAAAAAAACTTCAAAGCGTGTGAACTTCTTTTTTAATGTATTAACTAAATTTAAAATCATATTGGTTCTTTAATTTCTTTGGAACGAATAATGTTATAGATGATAATACTTTTTACTCTTTGTTATGTGAAGAAACATGATCTCCAAAAATTATAAAGTATTCTAGAACTCAAATTCAACAGATTTTATTTCAAATGTTTCAAATTTCAGATAATATTAATGAATTTGTCGCCCTCGAGTTATACTTCAAGAATAAAAATAAAATCATTCAATATGAAATTACTGAGTAAGCAAGTTTGGATTGTACTTTAAACAATACAAGCTAGTCTGAATGAACCATTTTTAAAATGTTAGCAAAACAAGAATGTAGAAATATTTTCTGCGTCTGAAATATTTGCCTGGAACATGTTCCTTTTTTTCTTATATTATATGCTGTACTCAAGTGCAACTGTAACATATTTAGCAGGGAACATGTTCCTTTTTTTCTTGTAGGCTATAAGCCATAATGTGGTAATACGAAATAGTTTTTAAAAATAAATTCAAAGCAAAAAAATAGGACAAAGGATTTATTTGTTAAAAAGGCAAACATTTTTTAAGTGTTACAAAGCTATTTTTACAGGTTTCAAAGTTTATACAATTGAATGAAGTTAGTCATTTAAAATCTAAAATAAAATCTATCTACAAGTTTTATATAAATTAGTAAAAGATTTGTACAGATGTAATATAATACGAGCAAAACTAGATTTGAAAGCTTCATTTTATTTGCTATAAGATGGCATTCGCTATAAGAAATGTATAATATCAAACATTATTTCTGAACACCACGACAGAAAAACTTTGCATGCCTCCCATGTTTTCTGTAACATCTGTAAGTTAAATTTTTTTTATGATCAGTAATAAAATCATCTTTTTTTACGTTTAATGCATGCCATGATAGAAATATTTATCAATTATAGACTATTACATTTGACGATCAAAAGCTTTGATTTTTACATTGTATTTATAAAATTCTATGGACAAAGAATTTGTCAAAACTATTTTTGGCAAAATGTCTTTTGTCTGGTTTTTGCATTTTTGGCAAATGTTGAAAGTTAGGTTACGATGATTCTTTTAACATATAATTTAAAAAACTACAAAGCTTGTGTACTTCTTCTTTAATGTATTAACTAAATTTAAAATCGTATTGATTGCTTGAATTTCTTTGGAACGAATAATGTTATAGATGATAATACTTTTTACTCTTTGTTATATAAAGAAACATGATCTCCAAAAGTTATAAAGTATTCTAGAACTCAAATTCATCACATTTTATTTAAAATGTTTTAAAATTCAGATAATATACTTCAAGATTCCTCTCCCTCAAAAAAAAAAAAAAAAAAAAAAAAAACCATTCAATATGAAATTACTGAGCAAGCAAGTTTGGATTGTACATTAAACAATACAAGCTAGTGTGAATGACCTATTTTTGGCAAAATGTCTTTAGTCTGGTTTGTGCAAGTTGTACATGTGACGAAATAGCATAATGCCTCACATACAGTCAGACAACAAGTCTTTAAAATTGACTCACATACGATAATTATAAGATAAAAAATAACAGAGATGAAAATCGTACTGACGAAATAAATAAGATAAAACACTCACAAAAAAGTTGGTCAGGATTATTTTTCTCTTTAGTAGTTGTTGTATCATATAAATTGTAACAAATTACTAATATCTTAGGGTAAAGTGTTTTAATTTTATGTTTGGTCTTTTTTCTTCTCCCTTTTCTTAAAATAATTTATATATTGAATGCTTCAAATAACTAGACCACGTCGTAGATTAAAGTTTCTATTTTTAAACCATGTTTCGTCGTCATTTCAAATACACATACTTATAATCGTTACTTTTACGTTTTATTCAATGAGACCGGTCTATATTTAACAATGGACGATTAGTGTTTGGTGTAGCCTTTCCTTTTCTATCGTTTTTGGCCTAATAGCTGAGAATTTCCAGAATAATATAAGGAAAGAAAAATTACTGTCTTTAATACTATTTTGTTAACACTAAAACTTGTTATGACAAATAGAAAATTATATATAGCTTCTTACTAAACTGATTTATTTAATTTATAAAATTCATCAGGGTAAAAAATAAAATTTGATCGAGATTAAGCCCGCCCATTTTGATCGTTGTGTTTTGAATAAGAAGAAATCTAGCAGACTACACTGTATAATTCATATCAACTAACACGTTTTTTTTTTTCAAAAATAAGTTTCCAGGCTACCGATTAATTTTGATAATTAAAATAAGAATAAAATTTAAAAAAAAATATCAATAATGTACGTTTTAATTGTTCAAGTCATGTTGAACAATAATAAGTTTTAAAATCTTAAGCGCCACCCTATTTTTTGACTGTGTTAGTTTGTATAGGTTGTATTTGATGTATTTATCGTTTTATAAATAGTGTGTTTAGGATATTTTGTTTTTTAACCCAATCGTAACTAAATAAATAGAAAATAGCTATACACCAATACACTTAACACAACGTCACCTGAAAATTTCCGGTGACTTGGCCACAATTTTTACACTTCGGGCAGACGTCACAAATGGTGGAGTCTTTCAGAGGTTGTGATTGCTAGAAATTAAAATTGATTAAAAAACCCTATTGCTGTGAGCAATAAAATAAGAAAACGAATATTTTTGTATTTAAAGCAGATATCGCCGAAGAGTTTGTGTAAAGAATAAAAATAAAAATATTGCAGGTAAAGAAGATTCAATGAAATAAAACTTTGATTTTTTTATATAGGTTCTATGATATGCACTGTGATCCGTTGTTTTACGGAGTAGATATTTTAGTGGGCACCGAACGAAAAGTACATAGAGTCCCCAACGGTGCTAATCACATGCCAGTGTCATGTTGAACTATATACTTGTTAAGTGAGTCGGCAAGTATGTGGACACATTTCATGTCTTCAACATATTTTGCTGGAACATGTTCTTTACTACTTTTTTATGGTATGCTGCACTCGTAGTTAAGTGTAACATGTTTAGCCTGGAACATGCCCCCCTTCCCTTCACCTGCATGGTGTGCTACACTCGGGGTTAAGTTTGACATTAAGCTTGGAACATGTTCCCCTTCACAAGCATGCTAATCTGCACTCTTGTTTCAATATGACCACTGGCTACTGCGTCTAGATGTTTTGGCCACTTAAAGAAACTAAAAGAAACTCAAAAGAAAATAACAACCCAGAGTAATTTAAAATGAAATTTATTTTTAAAAATATAATTTCAGAAAGAAAATAAATATTAAGGAAGAAAATATAGGTTGCATAAAACGCAAATCAATTACGTTTCTTCAAGCGTTGTTGGTAAGTTTAAAAGTCTATACCAATGAAGAGAATTAGGTATTTAAAAGCTATAATAATAATTATAATATTTGTATAAATTAGTAAAAGATTTAAACAGATGTAAGGTAATACAAACAAAGACTTGTTTAAAAGCCACATTTTCTTTGATATAAGATTTCCTTGCTATAAAAGATGTATAATATCAAAGATTATTTCCGCACGCCGATCGAAGATAGCTTTGCATTTATCCCATAAGCCACTTACGACCTGTGAGAACAAAATATTTGTATTATGATCAGATTTTAGAAGATCATGTAAGTATTGAAAGCTACTTTAGCATTGTCTATCAACATTTTCAAGAGGAACTCGAGATTGGTTTTTCACATAATATTACGAAAACTCAAATCCTAAATAAACACATTTTGCTAGTATGTGAAACGTTCATTGAAAGCAGGGAAAAAATAACGTGTTTATATGCACGAATTTGATGATCTGTCAATTGATAATATAGTTCGTATCTAAGCCTAATAACAAAAAGTCTATCATTAAAGCTATAGCCAAAATATAATAATGCAGTAGAACGAATTTATTTTTTAATCGACAACTATCTTGTTTCCATAGGACACATTTTGTTTTTGCATTGAAGTGAAGCACTTCCTGCATGTTAAAAGATAAAATAGACCATGTAACTAAGAAAAAGCACATAATTGGACACGAATGAGTGCATTGCTCGCCAGTGACGTAATTACTTTGTTTACACTAGTCACGAAAAAACCTATTGTCATTATTTATTAATTTTTTACACATTTTTTTTACACATTTTAAAATACATGTAATAGGAATTTTAATTTGATCCAGAGGTTTTATTCCTTTATTTAGTTTTTAGAGCGGGGAAAATTAAAAGTTTAAATTTAGACACCGTAACGTCCCTTTAATATGTATAAGACAGGGGACAAGTTGGACAATTTACAACCCTTTAGTTTTACATTTCTGATATTTTTCCAGGTGTCTACGGCACCAGAGCTGTCTACTTACAAAATGTCAGCTTTGTGTTGCATCTGCAAAACGTTAATCTAATTTAAGCACTAGGGTCGTCCATAAATGACGTCACACGCGTAGGGGGGAGAGGGGGTCCTTAATTTTGTGACGGTTTGTGATGAGGGGGAGGGTGTGTGTGTGTGGAGGGGGTGGTTCAGATGGCGATACTTCAAACTTAGCATTAAAAAAGCAATGTTAGAAAACGAGTTTTAGTCGTTATTTTGCGCTTTAGAAAACTGTTTCAATAAATTGTAATAAGAATTGATTAAAATACTCTATGTTGACAGAGTTCAGACAAGATTTTGGAAAAATATCGATGCTTTTAGAAAAATTCAACTGCAATTTTGAAAGGGTGTTGTAGGGAGGGGGGGTTGTAGGCTGATGTGTGACGACATTTTAGGGGGAGGGGGTCTGGCTTTTTGTGACAATGTGTGACGGAGGGGAGAGGTAAAAGTTGTCAAAAAAAGTAACGTGTTGTCAAAAAGAGGTAACGTAATTTATGGATGACCCCCACTATAAAATATATAGTTTATATAGGCTAGGTCAGTTTTAGATCACGATTGAATTCCGATTATTGAGTTAGCTATAGTTTTTTCCCCCGTTAGATTGAGGTTGAATATCTTATAGATAACAATCGTACTGAAAAAAACAACTTAAAATATTATGGATAAAATTGACCAGGAACATTTCTCTCTTCTGTAAGACCTTTTCTCCAGGGGAGTTGGGGGGGGTGTCAATTGATATTTTGGAGGGGAAGGGACGGACACTGTTAAAAGTATATGTTTTGTATATAAATTCCATTTCGTTTCGGGGGGGGGGGATGTTCGCACACAACTAAAAATACCTCTTCTTGTTCAACTACTAGTGGTGGACAGTTTTCACATTCCGGGCAGACGTCACAGATGGTGGAATCTTTCAGAAGTTGTGATTGGTAGAAAACTGTTACCTGGTTGCCTGTAGTATATAAAACAATTTTATTTACACAAAGTTATACAATGGCCTGATTTACACAGATAGGCCTATTAATTTTATTTTGAATTTTCATTTCGTTTAGTGAATAAACTTAAAACATATAATATTAACCCTGATTACAATTTTACAGACAGTTTAATAACACGTAAATTTTGTAACACCTTAAGTTTATGTTTCTTAAATACATTAATAGATGGTTGTAGACACTGATACTTCGCGTGTTGTGAGAAATGGGATAGTGACTGTCCGATTTGAATAGACTTTTTTGCTTTAAATTTTAACTAACAAAATATAAAATGTTTTAAATTTTTCATCTGCTACAAAACAATGTCTTACGCATTATTCTTATAATGAAGCAGATTTTTAGCTATAATCAATTATGGTGTAATTAGCTATTTTTAAATTACTTCCTTCACGTGGTGAAATTTCTAATAACATGTAAATGAAATATCGTTTATTTCAATCTCCTACAATAGGAAACATTGATTGTATAACTGTTTAATGAAATTTTAGTGGATAAACGTAAACCAAGCAATATTTCTGTAAAACCTGTGACCTACGTGGCTCATAGTAGTCATAGACCCTGACGGCAGCTGGCTGGGACTTGGCAACAAAATCAACTCGTCTGACTCTAAGATTTAAACACACGGGCGTCGCTCCGATCTGGGAGGTAAACACATTTATACACAGATATTTTTGCTTAAAATTTAAACTAAAAAAAAATGTTGTTATTTTTCATCTGATACAAGACAATTTCTTAAACGGTTACCCTTTGATGAAGCAGAATTTTACCTTTGACGGAAAAATATTAGTGTTAAAAAAATCTTAGAAGCTAAAAAATCGAAACTAAAATTACATAAGAAACCCTCTTTACGAGTAAAAAATTCTAAGTAAATTGACCTTGTCGAAGTAGAGGATAACCTTCTTGTTTTGTGTCTCGACTCTCTTTAGGTTGTCTAGCTTGGTCAAGTCGTCAAGGTCAGCTGCAAAGCCTGATGGGATACCAAACTCTTGGACGGCCATGGCACTTCCTGGGACCTTTCCTAACCATCTTGTTTTAGTAGAAGTTTTTAGAAATTTTAGCAGCAAGTTAGTTTGTTTTTAACATTTAATTTAATGGTACTCGTTTCCCAAAGCTATAAAACCAACGGAAGCTCCAAAGTCCAAACAGTAATCATATACAAAGACAGTGATAAGTTTATCAAGCAAACTTGTGCATTCACATATATACTTAATCAGATGGATCGCGCAACGAATAAATGTAGATATACTTATCAAGCGGGCCTGTGTGGAGCGGGTTTACATGTACGTCAAAATGTACTTTTTTTTTTTTTGGATATGACAGAATTTTTTTTTCGAATAGATATAAAGAAACATTCAGAACAGAAATTGGTAGAATTAGCATCATACTAATTACAAATCTATAAAAGATGTTTTAACATTTGAAAAGTCTATATTTGAACAAAGTTGTTAGGAGCTTAGCCACCAGACACCCACATTTCTAACCAACCCTTTGATCCACATCGGGTATCACCAATGTACACACCTTGTGCAAGTTTCCACATCCAAGTATGTGAAATTCTCCTTTACGATTCCCAATATTAGATCAAAGTGTTCTGGCTTTATATCTGACAGCACGTTGAAGCTTAGAGCAGCCTATTTGAACAGATTTAATAGAAATCTGAAAATTGTTGCTGGTTTTACGAAAATATTTTTTAATAGCAGTTAATAATAGTGTAGCATATTTTTATTCACAGAATCTCATTGTGTATATACGGGTTAATGGATCTGTTATAATAAAAGGATTAACTAGAGAGGAAATACCTGAACAAGTGCCATGCCTGAGCCAGTAGCAGTGATCACAACTTGAGCTGGTACTTTTGTATTCTATACATACATGAATAGCATATATAGCATATATATATATATATATATATATATATATATATATATATATATATATATATATATATATATATATATATATATATATATATTTATACAGACACACACAGACACATACACACACATGTGATTTTTAACTGACATACACACACTTACACACAATATATATATATATATATATATATATATATATATATATATATTATATATATATATATATATATATATATATATATATATATATATATATATATATATATATATATATATATATATATATATATATGTATATATATATATACAGAGAGAGAGAGAGAGAGAGAGAGAGAGAGAGAGAGAGAGAGAGAGATAGTGTCTCCCTAATGTGATTCTTGTTCTTGTTCCCACACTGTCAGTATCACGTAAACAGTAGAACTCTTCAACCAAATCTCGCATTGAACCTCTCTAGTCTGCAGCAGAAGTGAGTTGGTCTTGTCAATATCAAAAGTGTAGGTAGTCTCATCGTCCAGCTGGGTGGTGATGTGGACTTTAAATTTCTTTCTGGACATCTGTTTGGCGTACTCGCTGAGGGCGTTGAGTGCGACGACGGTATCCTAGAGAGTGATTGTGTGAATGTATTAAAGTATGGTTGTTGTTTGTGAAATGTACAGCTCTACATTATAAATCTAACACTGCATCAATTAGGAGGCAGAATAAAATTCATACAATTAAACAAAATTAAAGTGAATTTTTAATTATAATCCAAAAATTAAAAAAAAATATCATACATTGCTTAAATGTAGATATCCGTTTTGCTTAGAGTTTAACAAAGTTAATTCCTAGACAAACCTGTGTGGACGTAAAGCCACCGTTCGCGTTTCTCTGTTTGGTGATCCACTGCATGATGCTCTTGCCCGCCACCAAATCGCCCCGCTTTGTGTAGGCCAGCAAGACGTAGGCGGTCATCTCAATGTCAACGGCCTTGGCGGGGTTGGGGCTATGGCACGTGATGATCTTCAGTGGATCTGGCTGCTGCCAGTATCTCATGCCGTCTGTTTATAGAAAGAAACCAGTGGAATGATTTGTACTGCGGGTTATACAATAACAATGTGCTGCTTGTGTAAAGATGTGAGAAGGTATACTGTTTTCTGCAAGAAGAAGACATGGGGGCTTGCTATCGAGAACAATGATTTAAATTGGAAGGGGTGGTGGAACGTCGAAGCTTATTAAGGCGTTTGTGGTGATGTGTTCAGAATTTGTAAAGGGATTAAAAGAGAATAATGGGACATGATGGAGCACCACTGTTCATGTGAAAGTCTAGAGTTCGGATCCCGGTTTAAAGAAAGTAAGCTGAGTTATTATCCCAGCTCTGATAGGTACTTGACTCACGTTATATAAACATGGTTGAGAGTCTAGAGTTCGGATCTCGGTTTAAAGAAAGCAAGCTGAGTTATTACCCCGGCTCTGATAGGTACTTGACTCACGTTATATAAACATGGTTGAGAGACTAGAGTTCGGATCTCGGTTTAAAGAAAGCAAGCTGAGTTATTATCCCAGCTCTGATAGGTACTTGACTCACGTTTTATAAACAGGGTTGGGTATATTCCTACACAGCCCCTTCGTATCTAATTTATCTGCCCCCTGTAGGTTGCAAGGGTAACGTTACTGTAAACTTTAAAATATTATTTTACTTTATTTTTTAAGGCCTTTTAGAGGCTGTATAGATACAGAACAGGATTTACCCTTCTGAGTTGACTCAGCCTCCAGTTTGTCTAGAACAGCTTGGGTCATGTTGCTGCCGGCCAGTTGGAAAGCGTAAGACGCCATGGCGAGAACGTAGAGATCATCCAACTTGGCAACTTCCTGTTCAGAGTAGGCCAGGGCTTTTTGTATGGCCTCATCAACATTCTTTGAAAAAATGCGGTTTTAATATTAAGTTACTGTGGGTAATTTGGCTTTCTCAGTTAGACTTAATTTGAAAATGTAGGGTTGTAGTTACGTTTTTCGTTGCTTTTAATAAGATATTCCTGAAAATTATGGGTGTGATATCAAAAAGTTCTGGGATATTTGAGACTTTTGTTCGTTCATTTAATTGTGGAAGTAAATTCAATAGATTAGTTGTTGAAAAAAATTATCTCATGAACTTAACTTAACCATTAGTTAATTAAATAAAACGCAAATTCATCCCTTGACTTTCTAATTTAGCCATTGACATAATGAAATCTTTTTCTTCCTCCAACACAATTAATGCTTAGTTGTCAACATGTTATGTGCCATGTTGCACACTATGCCCAATTTCTGTATTTGCCCCCCATAGCCTTTGTCCATCCAAAAATCAAACTACAGAAGGCAGTTGTTCGACTTCGAAGGTCTCTCCTCTAAACGGCTTGCTGTCCCCAGTTTTCAGGCCTCATCTGCTCGGGGAAAAAACTCGGGATTTTTCAGTTCAGCAACCATAATCTTTACTGGCCACGCCTACACCACCGTACCACATTTTCAGTAAAAAACTTAACCCTTGACTTACCAGATACTTCATGTCATCACGGTTCTCCAGTAGTGAGATCAATACAAACAGGGTTAACCTGACCCCTGACCCTGCTTGGTCCTGTAGTGTATATATATATATATATATATATATATATATATATATATATATATATATATATATGACCATACTTGTTTTTAGCATGATAGCTTAGTAGATTAAGAACACGATGGTATTAATAACAAAAATTAACAAAAATACATAAATAGGCCAATATTTATTTAAATGGAAATCGCCATGTCACTTTTTCAAATGTTATACTCCATGATATTGTTCTTCTTCGATTTTAAATTGTAATATTAAAAGGGAATTTCCTCCAACTTAATTAAATACTACATGTCATACATAGCCCATGACTCAAACGTCAGCCTGCTTTACATTTTGTATGTACTTCAGTAGCCTGTGTCCACCCCAAGAACTATCTATGGCACAACAGTTGTTTGACTACGGAGTTTTTTTCCGAAATAAGTTTCTGTCGCCTCCAAAAGAGAATCACTCGCCCACACAGAATGTGTGGAGTTTTTAATCAAACACGTTCTCACCCGACCAAGCCATGATTTAGTTTGACTCAATATAACTATGAGAGCTTTCAACTGCTAAACCGGAGCTCGAATCCAAGTGTAAGTCAGTATACATTCCGTGAGTCCACCCAGCTCTGGGAACTAGCCTTTTATATATGCCGTAGTTACGTAAGCATGTAAGTTCTACTTCACTTGCCTTATGGACCGTAAGTTTCGAAATTAAATTTCTTTGTTAAAACTAAGTTGTGCATTACACAACCAAAACCAAGCTTTTATTGAGCTGACCTTCATGGTACGGCTAAGTACCACGCCAGGTTCCGGAAAGCTGCCGTCTGTATTTTGTTGCTGTATCATCCACTGGATGGCGTCGTTGATGATGTTGTCATCCACAAAGATGTGACGTTTGGCCTGGTGGAAGACGCGGGCTACAAATGCTGTCAGACTGTGTGAAGTTTAAAAAAAGTTGTAACAAATTTAGTAAAAAAAAACCGCTATAATGATCATTGTAAAATATTGTTATATTATGTCTGGTTAGTTGTATATTACGTTATGTCTTTTTAGTTATAACGTCCCTTGTAAGTGTTCTGTTTGTGTATTTTTGTCATTGACTGTGCAAGAAGAAGGCCATGTTTGTTAGAGATTGTCCTTTACGAGAAAGCTTAAGGGAAATTACTCCCGCTTTATTTCATACTTTGATAAAGTTCTCAGGTAAAACCTAATGACAAAAAAAATTCTACAATTATGAGACTAAAACATTTTATAGCTTTGAATTTATTAAATAATATCCTTTTCTATATAAGCCTGTGTCATTACTTAAATAAATAAATAAATAAATAAATAAATATATATATATATATATATATATATATATATATATATATATATATGTATATATACATATTGCATTGAAGCTACCACCTGCTGGAAATATTTCACATGAACCTCTAAACCTGCCTCATGCTTTAAATACTTCAAATAAACCTCTAAACCTACCGCATACTGCCAGACTTGTCACTGTTACCAAAAGCACTGAAAGATCCGTCACTGTGTTTGTAGGTCAGCACACCCTGGTAACCTGCGTGACGTCAACAATATAAAATACATACCTGTATGTAAAGCTGGGCATTACTAAACAAATTATATATATATATATAGATATATATATATATATATATATATATATATATATATATATATATATATATATATATATATATATATATACTATATATATAATACAGGCATATATATATATATACATATATATATATATATATATATATATATATATATATATATATATATATATATATATATATATATATATATATATATATATATATACATATACGTATATATATAAATACTAAAATAATATATAGGCCTATATATATACATTTATATATACATATATATATATATATATAAACACATATATATATATATATATACATATATATATATATATATATATATATATATATATATATATATATATATATATATATATATATATATATATATATATATATATATATATATATATATATGTGTGTGTGTGTCAAATCATTCATAGAAAATATTATCTTATGTGTGGTCCTACCACTCTCCGTGAAGTCGATAACTTTGGTCTTGATGTCTCCATACAGTTGATTGACACAGTCCAGGTAATCTGTGACGTAGACATTCGCTGCCAGGTCAAGCATGGTTTGTTCCCCACATCCGGTTGGTATCTGGAGCAGGGAGCCAAGTCCAGCGATGGTTGGACCCATCAGGTCACCTGAGGGGAGTTACACAATATTACAATGTGGGACTACGGAATTTCTGAGAAAAATATCTTAACTCAGAATGCAACTACACAGCGAACGTAACTCCCAGCACTTAGTTACGATTATCTGGCACTGCATTCTGAAAATTTATTATTATCACATGGGGGCAGATGAAGTAGAGTTAATCTGTTTAGTGACTTCGGCATTTGAAGAGACTGTGAGTTCAGGAGTATGCCCAGCCGCTTTTATTTTCCCTAACATGAGTTAGGTACCCATCAGAGCTGGGTGGACTCAGGTACTGTCTACTGAGTTGAACCCGGATTCAAACTCGAAACATTCGGGTCAGCAGTCTAGGTTAATACCACTAGGCCAGACCTGTCTGCCATTACTTACAGATAACTACAAACTGAGCACCACTATATAAATAATAACGACTTCTGAGGTTTCTATTCTGATTCCTCTGCCCTCCCCCCCCCCCCCCCCCCCCCCCTCGCCACTGCAGCTACTCTTCTGGCTTCCATAATCTGCTGACAACAAAAAATTATTTTACCATTCTCCACTACATAACGACAACTCTGACAGTCAATACCTACCGACAGCCGAAATCCTAACAAGCTCAGATCCCTTGACCACGTTTGCAGGCAGAGTGAGGTCAATGGTCTTTGAGAAAGTTGTTTTTCTTTCTGTCAGGTCGATGAGGACAGGGATGTTGTATTGCTTGGGGACACCTTCAGCCTGCGGATAGATCAGCACATTGGGTTATGGCTCTAGGAAATTACCCTCAAGTCAAATACCTTTTGATGGATACCGATGTCAAATACCCCCCCCCCCCCCACTCTCTAGGCCTGGTCGAATTACCCCTATTGTAATATGACACCCTAGTCTAGTAGACCATCGGATGAGTGCGCATTGGAAATCCAAGCTCAAAGCCAGGGCCCTAAGTTGAGAGAGCCAGATGTTGCACATGTTTCAGAACCCCCCCCCCCCCTTTCCACACAGCTGATTGACCCAAGAGACAGGGCTTGGAATCAGCAGTGTCGATAGGAATCCAGAGTTGGTAAGCCTAAGCGGCTCCTCTTTTCTCTCCTAGATGGCTTGCTGTTCTCCAGTTGATGAGCCTCATCCTCCTGGTTTGAACTCAGGAGTTTCGGGTTAACAAACATGTGCTTACCTGCCAGACTACTCCAACCCTCACCCCGAGTGTAAATGTAATATCTCTCTCAGTGGGACCATTGTCCATACTATTATGTTTATCATTAATTAAGGGCATTTTTCGAGTTCTTTAATACTTGTATAAGAGACAACCAAGTATCAAGAACGTTAACCGCTTATTACCTCAACCAGGAGTTGTCTGCGCACGGTGTCAGCGGCCTTGGTGGACTGGGCCTTGACCTCCACGTCAATTCTACCAAGGTCAGCAGGGACGATTGGGAAATACACTGTCATGGCTTCCCCAGCCTTGACCTTTAAAAGTAAATATTTTGAAATTGTTTTTATGTCATGAGATGGATTCATTTTGCGACAGACAATTGTTCTGAAATTTGTAAATTGTAACGTTTAACTGAATCAATTAATAAAAAAAATTATTAATGTACAAACATCTACCTTCACAAGCCTATAGGAAAACAATCACAACACAAGAAGTAAAACCAACTCACCACAACATCCTGTACAGCATCAAACTGTTTCAGCTCCTGGTTTCCTGTCTCGTGGATAAAAATGTAGTGGAAACATTTTGACGCGGCCAGGGTCACACGTACCTAAAATTAAATACAATTTCAAATTGGTGAGACAATATTGTGGCTCTAGAGTTTTTGTTTCATTACTCTGGGACATATTTTATTAAAGAGATACGTTTTTATAAGAGAGGTAATGTGTTTTTATTAAAAATTTTATTTTTTAGTATTAGTAGCAGTGAACTATGAAAGATAGGCGAACTTGGGTTGAAAGCGCGCGATTTATTTATATTCTTTTACTTTGATCAACTGATAATGAAGAGGCGTTGTAAATGGTCGTTTGGTAACGTTAACGTCGCTCAATTTACTTGACTGGATGTATCTTTATAAAGTTGTATGATCCATTATCCATTATATATATATATATATATATATATATATATATATATATATATATATATATATATATATATATATATATATATATATATATATATATATATAACGTCTCTTCCCACCTGCATATCGTCTGTCAGGTAGTTGAAGACGTTTGCTTGAAGTGCCAGCTGCTCACCACGAGTCACAGAGTAGGGGAGGTTGAGGCTGACAAAAAACGGTCGGAAGACTTTCAGCTGGAGCACATTAAAACGTAAAATATATTTAGGATATTTGTAAGATATTGTTAAAACCTCAAGTTTTTTTTTTTCAAAAGAGAGAACTAAAATATAAAAAAAATTAACCATAGGGTTAATTCTATAGTCTACTAAAACGTTCTTAAAATGTGTAAGTCTTGCCATCGTTGTTCACTTCAATAAACGTTTATGTTTTATTCGATTATTCTAGATTTGACAATTAACAGACAGTGTTAGGGTGGTCTTTCTATTTGATAAGAGTTTTTTCCCATTCTCCTTAAGCTGTCTTTCAAATAACGTCTCGCTTTCTTCTTCAGTTGTTGGGCTACCCCAGGGTGTGGATGTAGTTGGCAGGCTACATCAGTGTATATATGTAGCTGGGACGCTAAATTAGTGTGTGAGTGTAGTTGGCAGGCCACCTCAGTGTATATATGTAGCTGGGACGCTAAATTAGTGTGTGAGTGTAGTTGGCAGGCCACCTCAGTGTATATATGTAGCTGGGACGCTAAATTAGTGTGTGAGTGTAGTTGGCAGGCCACCTCAGTGTATATATTAGCTGGGACGCTAAATTAGCGTGTGAGTATAGTTGGAAGGCTACCTCAGAGTGAGAGGTGTATGTGTACATGGTACGTTAGTTGGCATTTTGTAGTGATTCATATATTGTGCTTCAATTTGTTCTACATTTTTGATGGAATAAATCTCTAATTCGACTTGCTGAATCTATTTATAGACTCACGTGAGCTTGTGTTGGGGCCACGCCCAGACCAGAGTTTGAGTTGATGGCGAAGGCGCTGACCACCCATGACGTAATGGTGTCTGGTACAGTGGCTGTGATGGAAGCTGAGCCGTTCGCCCTGCAGTGATGTCAAGAAAAAATGCAGTAAACAAATTTAAAAACATTATTTTTTTCGCTGTTGATAATCAAGTAACTAATGTTCAAGCACGATTAAAGGCTTAATAAGAATCTTTATATCACTAACTATTAAATTAATAAGAAAATACGTTTGTAGAAAATATTTTAATTTTAACTACCATTACAGTTAGGTAAAGTAAAGACGACTGGGAAAAGTGCTGACCCCACCTTCATTTCTTACTCCGAGGTCAAGAAACATACGAACTCTATTCCATCCGCCAAATGGATCGCTAGATCTAAAGAGAATTCTTTACTTAAATTTTTACCATTAGAATACTACTACACTTAGGCGAAATACAAATAAGGAAACGCACTGGTTGAACTACCCAGAAATGGGAATCGAGGTATCATTATGTTATACTTTGTGCTAATATACACAGACCTTTGGTATTAGCAACTATGGCAGCATGGAAATGTATCTCGTACTTTAAGAGCCTTACAATTTTTTTCAACAAAATTAAACAACCAAATCAGTTATCAAAAAACATATGTGTCATATCAAAATCTCCTTTACCCGACGTAAACGTCAGTCCAGAGCCAGGAATCAGGAGAGATCTTTCTAACACGTGCTGATTTTCGAAATAGTGGATCTGCGTTCCTCGCAGCATACAATTCAGCTCGGGTTGCGCGATATTTAGCCCCATACTCTTAATTTGAAAAACAAAAATAACATCCTTTAGCAACGATATGTAATGATGAGTGTGAGTGTGATTGTAAGTGTGAATGTGTGAGCGTGTATGTGTGTGTGTGTGAGTGTGATGTTGATTTTGATTGTAAATATGAATGGAATCGGAATGACAAAGCGAACTCAAATAGGACAAATGCGCGAATGGAAGCTTATATATATATATATATATATATATATATATATATATATATATATATATATATATATATATATATATATATATATATATATATATATATATATATATATATATATGCGTAGGCCCTACATGTATGTTTGTGTTTTGGTAGATCTAATGTACAATCATGTGTAGTTCATCACAATAACCCCTTTCTGCCGGCTGAGAAAAGTAAAATGCGATTGTACACTTTCGAGAACACATTCTTGTATACATTAGAGTACACATTCGAATAAAACCTACCTAGTGGATCGTCGCCAATGTCAAAATTGGATCTATCTCGGTACACCATAGCATCGGTAAGAACGGTAACTCCTGCATTCTGTGTGACATATGAAACAAACACTTAAACTAACACTGAACATGTCTATATTTCTTAAGGACCAATTTTCAAAAAAAGTTTTATATTTAAACGCTTTGATACAGAATTAAAATGACGTTATCTATATTACTATCGAGAAGATTCAAGTTGAAATTCACATTGTTTTTACATTGTATTTCAGCTTTGAAATAAAATCTGACAAACTCTCACCTATAGATGTCGACCTGCGGAGCTAATGCAACATCTGACAAACTCTCACCTCTAGATGTACACCTGCGGAGCTGATGCAACATCTAACACACTCTCACCTCTAGATCTACACCTGCGGAGCTGGTGCGGCAAAATCTTATTGTGAAATCCGTATCGTAGTTCATGATCTCTGTATGGACCTGAAATTAAAATGTATATTAACAAGCGTGAATTTTGGAATCATCAGTGTGTTGCTTTTACTCTTCTTCGTTCTTAATTATAGTGTTGGATGCGGTTCCCTCCAGAAGAATTAAGTATTACTAGACTCCCGTTATTCTTTAATAACTGTTTGTTTCGGGGGTCATCCACAATGACGTCATCTTTATTTCACGATTTTTATCTTTCCCCTTTTCTTCCCACTTTCACACATATTCACAAAAAGCCAGACCCCACATTCAAAACGTCGTCACACCTCAGGCAACATGTTATAGTCTTTAAAAACACCTATTTCGGTTGAGCATGGGTCTGACCACACTATCCCTTCATATGCTGAGAACATAGAAACAGGCTAAATCTACTTCACCTTCCCCGTTTCCTGCAAAGTCCCGAAAAGCAACTTTATCATTCCCATCTAAAAATAAACCAGGAGCGATCTCCCTTAAACTTTCTCGAATATTCTTTTATAAAAAAAAAGGGGATGGGAACTCGGGATATAGACAAGATTTTTAATCCATTTTAAATACTTAAACTTTTTAAAATAGAATAAAATCTCGTAGAAAAAAGAATTGCACACCTGTGAGCGCCAAATAAAACGTCCATAATAGTGCGCAATATTATTAGTACTTTATAAATTTACATGCGTTTTTTGAGAAATCAGAAATAGCATAAATTAGTACTTTCAATCAACGGAAATTACTCAAAATTTTACAGAAGGTAGAGAATTAGATCTTTTACTTACATGTGAAATTTCATTTATCTATCTGAAATAGTACTCAAGTTATAGGCTTTTAAAAAATTCAAAGTAGAAAAAGTACCACTTCCGTTTATTGGAAATCGCTCAAAAGTTGATACGGATCTACGATTTTGATAAAATACTTATATATGAAATTTCATCAACCTAGCTGTAACGGTACTCAAGTTATCGTGTTTACACACACACACACACAGACACACAGACAACGGACAGAATTGCAAAGTCCAGTTTTTACGACTCGATAACGCATTAACGCCAAAATGTTTATATATTTGTATTTATAACTTTTGCCTGATTAAAATAAGTCCTCTATACTCCGGCTGTGATGAAGGACTGAGGTGTAAAACGGTTAAAACTGTCAAAATTTCATGTTATTTTTGTGCACGATTACAATACTTTCTCTATACCTCGTATATACGAGAAAGTAAAAAAGAAAAAAAAAATGTAACACTGACATGATGTGTCTCAAACCCGTACAACCCGCATGGTAATTATTACACTATCAACTCAGCTATCTGGGATCTTCCGATTAGGTGCAAAATTAGTGGGATAGTGTACTTAGAGAGTCCGTGTAAGAAACTTGAGTTACACTAATAGACCCATTATTTCAAGTTAAATTATATCTCATATTTAGCCAATTATACAGCTAATCAAACAAAGCTTTATGTAAAATAATTAAGAGCTAGATCTAAATCTAGAATCTACGGCTGGCTTAAGTCTAGTTTTCCCGTAACTCTAGAAACTCTAGATCTATCTAGATCTAGAATCTAGATCTCTAGATATAAATACGTTTGCTGCATTCTCGAATTATAAGATCTGTGTTATTTACGGACTAAAATAGTTTAACAAAGAGTTTCAATTATTGATTGTGTTTGTGTTGTGTATTTTTTATTGTTGTATGTTTTTCTTTCTTACTAATTATTTTATACATATTTTATACATATACATGTTGATATACATATACATATAGTAAATTATAATTACATCAGCAAAAGTAACATCATTTTCGTTTTTTAGTAACACATCACTTTGATCAATGGCCAGTAAGTAGACATTGGAGTCTGGGTCAGAAGTGGTGACAATAGTCACTTCATCTCCTGGTTGACCATCTGTCTTGTCGACATCAACGGTCACCTGTGCAACAATGAGTAACGTTATTGTGTACTGGTGAGCAAAGACTTGAGTTGCGGTTTTATCTTCTAGCTACTTACTCGGTATTTTTAACTTGAGAGAAGGGTGAAGGGAGTACGTGTACCTTGTTTATATATTCTAGTTAGTTGCTCAGTTGATGCCACTATAAAAATGTTATAGAGAGTACGTGTGTACCATGTTTATATATTCTAGTTAGTTGCTTAGTTGATGCCGCTAGAGGAATGTTATAGAGTGTACGTGTACCTTGTTTATATATTCTAGTTAGTTGCTCAGTTGATGCCGCTAGAGGAATGTTATAGAGAGTACGTGTGTACCTTGTTTATATATTCTAGTTAGTTGCTCAGTTGATGCCGCTAGAGGAATGTTATAGAGAGTACTTGTACCTTGTTATTGAAAGCGCCGCTGATGTCGAAGCTGATACTGTCTGGGACAACTTCACCGTCTGGTCTGACGTAGTAGACGACGATTCTGGCAGAGGGCGCCATGCTGGGCTCAGAGACGATGGAGAAATGGATGCTCTTCTGGTTGTTGCCGTTTATTGTGCCAGATTTTACTATGGTGCCTCGGGAGAGAACCTGTTGTTTAAAATTCAGAGAAATTTTGTGTCTATTTAGCTTGAGTACTTTGTGGTTGATCAATGCATAATGTAAAATAATCTTTATTGAAAAAATATATGCGTCTCTACCTGGTACGTAAGGGTAGGCAACTCTTCAGTACCTTCAGCTGAAAACATTATTGTGTCCCCTGCCTAGAATAATTTTCAAAAAAGAACGTTAGCATTTCACGAAATGTGTTTTATCATCAGATCAGTATGTGTGCGGGGGGGGGGGGGGGTATATTTAATACTATAATTTGATTTTGGAAGAAATCAAATTTGTTAACAGACAAAATAACGGTCCTAGGACCTTTGACCACAGGTGCTTTGACCATAGGGGGTTTGACCATAGGGGGTTTGACCACAGCGGAGCTTTGACCATAGGGGCTTTGACCATAGGGGGGTTGACCACAGCGGGCCTTTGACCATAGCGGTGCTTTGACCATATGGGGTTTGATCATAGGGGGTTTGACCATAGGGGGTTTGACCACAGGTGTTTTCTCAGCAGAGGGTCTTTGATCACAGGTGGTCTATCAACGGGTATTTGATTACAAGCGCTGTGTCCGGCTTTGATCATAGGTGTTTTGTCCACATAGGGTCTTTGATCTCAGGTGGTTTGTCCAATGCTGTCCATATATGGTAAGGATTTATTTTAAAAGTTGCTAAATTATATTTTAAATTTCGACATGATATAATAATATGGTCAAACAGATGTACTGACATATTTGCGTGCTATAGCACATCTGTCATTTAGTTAACCATTTTATGTATTACTTCTTTGACTATATTGTTGGCAAGTTTTGTATCATTTTTTATCCTTTATATATGCTATGTATTTTCAAGTACTTCTACATTATTTATTTGTGAAACTTGTTATATGTCGCATTATTTGTGTTTCATTTATATTTAAAATAAATCTATGAGGTCTAGCGCCAGCCTTTATGTGGAGACTAAAATATAGTTCTTGGCTTTTTTAAATACATGTTAATTTCTATTAACGTACTCTCAGGAAACATGTATAAAATCGTGTTAATTGTATCACACCTATGATCAAAGCCGGACACAGCGCTTGTGATCAAACACCCGTTGATAGACCACCTGTGATCAAAGACCCTCTGCTGAGAAAACACATGTGGTCAAACCCCCTATGGTCAAACCCCCTATGATCAAACCCCCTATGGTCAAATCACCGCTATGGTCAAAGGCCCGCTGTGGTCAAACCCCCTATGGTCAAAGTCCCTATGGTCAAAGCTCCGCTGTGGTCAAACCCCCTATGGTCAAACCCCCTATGGTCAAAGCACCTGTGGTCAAAGGTCCGCGCACCTACACACCAAAATAACGTTTTAACTTACCATAATATGCAAGAATTGTAATGTAATCTTTCTATTAATTTAAACAATTCAAGGCAGTCTGCTTTTGGTTAGATAACTATTAAGGTTAGCTTTTGGTGTGCATTAATATAACACAAATTTAAGGTGCTAGTTGTTTCTAACCTTTTCAAAAATTAATTATCAACGACATGAGCAAATAGCATTTTTTTTATTGCAGTGTACTGAATACAACCATATTATATATTTTATGTGGCAATACATAACGTTTTGCTTCTTACCTTTATAGAAGAAGAATGTAAATAGATGTGGAGGTGTGAGCTACTAGGGGAATGACTCTTTCCTACACACGCTGTTTTGGACACTCCCCGGAAACTAGTCTGGCATTGGAATCAACAGACATAATCCATTATTGTCAGATATCTAAAAATAACTCTCAGCGTTCCTGATTTAAATGGTGAAATGATAACAGAAGAATTTCTTCTTTTCTTCTTCTGCGTTCTTAATTTTACTATTGGAACGGATAAGCTCCAAAACAATTAGAATACTTGTCAACTGGTTAATGGCTAGTGAGACCATTGGCTCTGATTTCTGCCTGCTTTTCTTTTTGGATTTGTTTCCAAAGCTTCTGTCCAACTAAGAACAAACTACAAGGCAGTAGTTGTTTGTTTTTAGGAGTTGACTTTCCTAGAAGAGTGGCTGTCCCCCGTTTGGTACAAAAATTAAACATTGAGTAGATACAGAAGCAGTGGCTAGAACGACCGTGAAGACACCCCCAGCTTAAACCACGCCACTCACTGTTATATAGATAAACTCGGTGTTTGGTGGTATCAGTGGGCGTAGAGTGACACGACCGTTGGTAGGGACGCTCTGTGTCTGTGTAAGTATGCCTGTGTGTAAAGAAAGCACACAGTCAAATTTGCTGTCAGAGCCTTTGATTGTAACCTTCACGTTTTCACTACTGGAGCCGATCGGACGCCCGTCCGGCTGTGAGATTTTTATCTGTAAAATAAATTTAACAATTGTATAAACATTTATCAAGAGATAAATGGCCCATTGAGGGAGAGATACAACGGGCGCTAGGTTGATAGAGTTGCCTTTTGTCTAAACTAACACTAAAATCACCACCTCATCTTCCAGATTAACCGGAAACCAACAATTCCATTTTTATCTAGAATCGGCACGTAGTTACTGCACATCCATGCTAAATATAGTCTTGGCCATACCCATAAACCTTGAACCTAAGCTCAAACTTGACTAAAGTCGCATTTAGAATTTCAAAGAATTTATATACAAAATATATACTTTTACAAGTGTTCGATCCCTCCTCAGAAAATTATACCACCCCCACTCCCTCCCCTCTGAAAATTTCAAGTACTTGATTCAATAAATTAGTTTTATTTTCTTATTTTCAGTACATTTAAAAGCTTCATGCTATGCAGGTTTTAAATTTTTTTTAAAATTGTTTGTTTCTTTACAATTTACTTTCTTTGATAAAAGCTTTTGTCGCTAAAATATTTTAAATATCTCATGAGCGACCAAATCGTTTATTAAAGAAAGTAAATCAGTTTTATTTTCTTTTTTTCAGTGCATTTAAAAGCTTGTTGCTATAAAGTTGTTTTTTTCTATATTTTGTTTTATTTTCTAGTTTTTTTTTGTGATTCGTAAGTCGACATAATTAAAATTATTCTCTTTTAAAACACCATCAGTAGCTCGCCATATCTGAAAATAAAGACGATAATCTGCAGCCGTCCGTGATTACAATTTACAGACAACAGTAAGCTGATAAGGCAAAGGATCTATATATATAATTCTCTTCATAGAGACCATAGAAAACACCACGCAGCTTAGCCACCACCCTCATCCCCACCTGTCATGTGAGCTGTGGTTTCACCCCGAATGTTTACAATAGTAGAGCCGGTTCGATTACGTGACCGCTATTAGGGGCAGATAATTTAGTTTTTAAACGATTTGAAACTAAGGGGAGATAATAAGTTCTGCTTGATATTTTCATTGTCGTCTGTAAACGGCTGTTTTCACTGGGTGGGATGGAGTGGGGGGGGGGGGGGGATTGGGGACGCTAGTGTTGAATTAACAAATTATGAATTGTTGATAAGTAGATAATAAAACAACTAGATAGCGGCGTATGCTACGTCGCCGGTCAGCTCGTACTTCTTAATCTGGCTAACCACCCCTTAGTTTCAAATCATTTAAAACTATATTATCTGCCCCTAATAGCTTTCACTAATTCGACCCGGTTCTACGACGGTAAAGATTCTCGTGAACCACAGCTCACCCGACTGGTCGGGTGATCGCGTCTAGCCAGTTATCTCCTTTTGGCTATTGAACATAATATTCTATCGAATGATTTAATTTTTTTATCTCCCCTTAGTTTCCAAACCGTTTAATTAATTTTAATAACTAATTAAACTTCTAATTAAATTTAAAAATAGATAGAATTGTCATCGAAGGGGTACGTATCTGGAAAATTTGAACGAAATTGCTGCATTGGACGTGGGGCAACATTGAGTGACAAGATTAGCCACAAATCCACAAATAAAGAAAAAGACGTTGCGAACTAAATAAAAGCTTGCGATGATAGCATTACATATGTCTAATGAAATATATAAAGCATTTGATAACTATGGTAGGGAATGCACCATAGGTTTAAAGTACTTTCTTAGGTTTCATCTGATGGACTCAGTTTAAAGTGTACTTAAATAGGCGGAGTACTATACAGAACTTACATCCATGGTGTAGTGTAAACCAGGTTTAAAGTTGTGGTTGTCCGCAAGTAGCTTGAGGTTAACACCTTCTTGGTAAATGGTGACCGTTCCACTACTGGACACCTTGATTCCTGTCAAAGACTCGGTCACGTTGGCGACGGTGGTAAGGGTGCGTTTATGCAGCTGGACTCGAATATCCTTGACCTTCGACACGGGCACCATCACCCTGGTTTCTCCTTCAATCTGAGGAAGTTTTTTTTTTTTTTAAACCCACTTGTTTTTCATTTTAGCAGAGTTTTTTCAATTAAGTTTAAGGAATCAGGGATGGAATTACTTTACCTTCAGACCTCGCAATTCGGGGGTAGGGCTATACAGTTTAAAAGGCCCAAAACAGCTGTCAACTGTATTTTGTTTTAAAATTTAGCATTTGGTGAAGGCCGTTTTATCTTTCTCGTTTGATAAAACACGCTTTTGTCAGAAAAAAATCTGCACTATTAATTTTGATGAACATAAGCCTTCTCGTTAGGTTGACTTCAGTTTTATATCACAACTCCACCCCACCCCATCCCCACCCTTAGCTTTACAAATAGCAAACAGATAAATGAACCCTTTATAAACCACCGCTGACTTTAATTTACGTGTTTTTAACAAATATTCTCAAAACAGGAAAGGTAAGACAATTATTCATATTATAAAGGTGTTAATCATTAGTAAACTGCTTATTTGACCAGTATTTTTTTATTTCTAAATGTAATTAAACCAATTAATTTTTGGATAAAATGTTTTAACTTCTTAGTCTAACTTTGCCAACGCGATCCAAATAAGTCTTGAACATAAAAAAGGTGTATTTCCTCATAGGCTTGAAACTGGAATATGTAAATGCTGGGTCTAAATATTAAAAAAAAACTTGAGCATTCATACATTATTTCCAGCACTAACGACGCGCGTATGAGATTTGAATTTTGGGGTGTTGTTATGAAATGTGACCGAAGAAAAAAATTAGTAACTGAGAAGCCAAAAATTAACATTTTAGAATCAATTGAGGTGACGGAGGGTTTGGGTTAGCGATATTTGTATATGACAGTAAGGATAGGATGGCACTTATAAATGGTAGGTAAACTTGTGGTATGACCAAAAAAAAATCTTTGAATGTGCTGCTTTATGAGCATTTATGTTATAAAGTTCCCTTTTCAAACCTGACGGTCTACATGGAAAGTGAAGGAGAGTTCACTTGTTTCTATAACCTCGGCATGTGAAGAGATAGTGTGGTCAGCACTATGCCCAACCGCCTTTACTTTCTCTAGGTAGTCATCAGAGTTGGGTGGACTCAGGGACGGTCTACTGACTTGAAAACGGACGGGTTCCAACTGGAGATTTACGGGTTAGCAGTCCAGCCATTTATGTTATATAAGTGTCAAGTTCTGAATGTTTTTGACAAACAGAAAATTGAGTTATGTTCCCTTTTCCGTTTATCGGCATTCACTCAAAAGTTAATGGAAATCTAAAAAACGATCTCGCATTTTAAATAAAATTTCGTCGACCCAACCGAAACGGTTATAACGTTTATGCGTCAACACACAATCACACAGGTAAACAAGATTTTCCGCATCAGGGAGGAGTAAGAATCTAGATTTCGGTGTTTTGTATGTTTACAATTTGAGTATCTCTAAATTGTAAATAATCTTAAAAGTCTTCATGTTAATTTGACTATTTGCGGCTACATTTGACAATCGTTTTTTTTTTCTTCACAGCTGTGTGGTAACTAAAAGATGTTATGTAACTCCAAGTTTTAAGTATTTACATATAAAAGTTTCTACGATTACTTCAACTACCCTAAGGAACAAATTTTTAACGAAATAGCTCTTTTATCAACTGATATTTCAAGTACAATAACTTATACAAGACTGGGTAATCTCCCTTGTTATTGATGCACTGAATGTACAAGTCACTTACGGGGACAGTTGCCTTGTACACGGGCTTCGTCTCCCAGTAGTCGTGTAGGTTTACTTGGACGTTCGCGCTTCCCTTGACCGGTTTACCATAGGCGTACCTTTAGGGTGTAAGAGATTACAAATATTCTATCACTTTTTAAAAACGACTTCCTCTTATGCTCACCTCATTTTAAGGGTAACTCGGTTAACGCTAAGTACCTCTAAAAAACTAAAGGAAAAATAACCACGTAAATAGTACTCCGGATACTTTCCTCTGCTTATTTAACGTTCATAATACTGAGGGGGGAGGGGGGAAGGGGAGTAAAATGAAAATAACATTGTTGATCTGACCTTGATTGAATCAAATGCACTCACTTCGCCTTAACAATAAACGTGATGTCGGCGTCGCTGGTCAAAACGTAAGGTGGCATGATGACCTCGACCTTGAACTTGGGTAGAACTGAAAATATTTTCTTTTTCTTTTATGAGTTATAAAAACGTAAATACAATGTTAAGGGGTCATCCATAAATGATGTCACGCTTTTTTGACGATTTTTACCTCCCCCCCTCCCCTCCGTCGTCACAAAAAGCCAGACCCCGCTCCCTAAAATGACGTCACACCTCAGCCTACAATCCCCCTCAAAATTGCAATTGAATTTTTTTTTAAACATCGATATTTTTTCTAAAATGTTGTCTGAACTCTGTCAAAATAGAGTATTTTAATCAATTCCTATTACAATTTATTAAAACAGTTTTCTAAAACGCGAAATAACGTCTAAAATTCCTTTTTTAAACATTGTTTTTTTTATAATGCAAAAGTTTGACGTCGCACCATCAGAACCCCCCCCCCCCCTCCCGCCTCATCACACACCGTCACAAAATTACGGACCCCCTCCCCCCTAAGAGTGTGACGTCATTTATGGACGACCCGCTAAGTCTTTCAACAGCTGATTTTAGTAGTAGCTGTACATTTTATACAGATAACATTATTTTTAAAAAGCCTATTGTCTTCATCTCAGCTTCTAGTCCTGCTAGGCTGATTAGATTTTTAAAAATATAGTATAAATATATTTCTTTCCTTTATAAATGAGATTTTATGATGTGGTGGACGAGACATGTTATAAAATAAGATACTACGACAGAAAAGAATGATGTGATAAGCATTTTAATTGCTATTATTCACGAGTTAAAAACCCTGGTTTGTGACTCAATGCCGGTCTAAACTTCAGCTTGTTCATGAAATATCAGACGCTTTAACTAACATAAAACATAAATATGTTACAGAACAATAGATGAAATAGTCGAACATAGAACAAAAAAAGTTGAGTTATAAAGGGATTTAACCAAAGCAACATGTGTTGAACGCGATAAAAATATATTTACCAAACTCAGCTACAGTGAACGACTTTTCTTCTTTCATTTTCTAAAAACAAAACAAAATAAAAAATCATGTATTTCGAGATTTAATATGATTATATATATTTGAATATTTAATTATACAAAGGTAAGTTAGCTCAAATATAATTTTCAGTAAACAGTAAACAGATATTGTATTGTTCACCAAACCAACTAAAACTAAAATCTTGGAGTATTTAGTGTTTATATAAAAGTGGAACGAAACTAAAGTGGTAAATATCTTACGCCAGCTTCCACAGAGATTTTCCATTCCCCAAGGACTGGCTGGGACGAGAGGGTCAGTTCCTGGGCGATGACCCCTTTCTCTGGACTGACCTTGACCCACTGTTTGATCTTAATTTTCTGCGCGTCCTATCTCAAGAAAAATAAAATTGAAAAAAAAAAAATGTGTAGTTACACTTCGATTAAAAATATTTTAAAAAGATTACTTTTACGTTGAACTGATTCGTTAGCCTGTCCCTAGATAAACTACTTACATAAATAGAAATGTCCATTGTTCTTTTGTAGGACTGTAGGTCGGAATACACACCAAACACCCTAAATTTCACTGGGAAGAATAGTTTTAGATACTTCAAAAAGTATGGTATGGTGCTGCTTACATGATATAAGGTGTAGCAATTCAAAAAATGCATTAAAACCCCGTTTTAATTACAGGTTTTTGAATAATTATTCACTAACAAGAAAAAAATAAATAAATGCTTTTTTAAAAATATAATAATACACTACTATCTATAAAATACCTTTATTAAAATTTAAGTAGCGACCCGCGATTTTATTTACAGTTATTTAAATAGAAGTGTATTATTATATATTTAAAGATAATCATTTATTTTCCCATTTTTAGTGCATACTTATTTATAAAAGCTTGTTATAAAAACGTTTTTATGCAGTTTTATGTCATTACTTTAGTATTTTTAACACAATAGAGTTTGATGACTAAAAACTATTGTATACCAAATCAACACGAAAGATGCGCTTGTAATAGCGCGGTAGATAAAACTTTATAATGAGACATTTTAATTAATCCATAAAGAATTAATTAGGCACCCTATTAACTCATATTATATCTCAGATTGCACTGTCTTCGAATCTTGACCAACGGGCCAAGATTGAAATGATCGAAGTATTACTTGGCATGTTCGATCCATGACAGACGACGGACATATAGATGAAGCCAGTTAAATTAATAGTGTCTACAAACCCCAATTCGCCATCGTATTATCATAAATAATGTTGACTCAAAGGTGATATATAGTAGTCTCACCGGGCTATAAAATGGTCTCGTATAAACGTCTACCTACCTCTATCACTAGGCTTAAAGATGGCCTTATATAAACGTTGACCTACCTCTATCACTAGGCTTAAAGATGGCCTTATATAAACGTCTACCTACCTGTATCACTAGGCTTAAAGATGGCCTTATATAAACGTCTACCTACCTGTATCACTAGGCTTAAAGATGGCCTTATCTAAACGTCTACCTACCTGTATCACTAGGCTTAAAGATGGCCTTATATAAACGTCTACCTACCTGTATCACTAGGCTTAAAGATGGCCTTATATAAACGTCTACCTACCTGTATCACTAGGCTTAAAGATGGCCTTATCTAAACGTCTACCTACCTGTATCACTAGGCTTAAAGATGGCCTTATATAAACGTCTACCTACCTGTATCACTAGGCTTAAAGATGACCTTATATAAACGTTGACCTACCTCTATCACTAGGCTTAAAGATGGCCTTATCTAAACGTCTACCTACCTGTATCACTAGGCTTAAAGATGGCCTTATATAAACGTCTACCTACCTGTATCAAGAGGCTTAAAGATGGCCTTATATAAACGTCTACCTACCTGTATCACTAGGCTTAAAGATGGCCTTATATAAACGTCTACCTACCTGTATCACTAGGCTTAAAGATGGCCTTATATAAACGTCTACCTACCTGTATCACTAGGCTTAAAGATGGCCTTATATAAACGTCTACCTACCTGTATCACTAGGCTTAAAGATGGCCTTATATAAACGTTGACCTACTCTATCACTAGGCTTAAAGATGGCCTTATCTAAACGTCTACCTACCTGTATCACTAGGCTTAAAGATGGCCTTATATAAACGTCTACCTACCTGTATCACTAGGCTTGAAGATGGCCTGATATAAACGTCGACCTACCTGTATCACTAGGCTTAAAGATGGCCTTATCTAAACGTCTACCTACCTGTATCACTTGGCTTAAAGATAGCCTTATATAAACGTCTACCTACCTGTATCACTTGGCTTAAAGATGGCCTTATCTAAACGTCTACCTGCCTGTATCACTTGGCTTAAAGATAGCCTTATATAAACGTCTACCTACCTGTATCACTAGGCTTAAAGATGGCCTTATATAAACGTCAACCTACCTGTATCACTAGGCTTAAAGATGGCCTTATGTAAACGTCTACCTACCTGTATCACTAAAGATGGCCTTATATAAACGTCGACCTACCTGTATCACTAGGCTTAAAGATGACCTTATATAAACGTTGACCTACCTCTATCACTAGGCTTAAAGATGACCTTATATAAACGTCTACCTACCTGTATCACTACGCTTAAAGATGGCCTTATATAAACGTCGACCTACCTGTATCACTAGGCTTAAAGATGGCCTTATATAAACGTCGACCTACCTGTATCACTAGGCTTAAAGATGGCCTTATATAAACGTCTACCTACCTGTATCACTAGTCTTAAAGATGGCCTTATATAAACGTCTACCTACCTGTATCACAAGGCTTAAAGATGGCCTTATATAAACGTCTACCTACCTGTATCACTAGTCTTAAAGATGGCCTTATATAAACGTCTACCTACCTGTATCACTAGGCTTAAAGATGGCCTTATATAAACGTCTACCTACCTGTATCACTAGTCTTAAAGATGGCCTTATATAAACGTCGACCTACCTGTATCACTAGACTTAAAGATGGCCTTATATAAACGTCTACCTACCTGTATCACTAGGCTTAAAGATGGCCTTATATAAACGTCTACCTACCTGTATCACTAGGCTTAAAGATGGCCTTATATAAACGTCTACCTACCTGTATCAAGAGGCTTAAAGATGGCCTTATATAAACGTCTACCTACCTGTATCACTAGGCTTAAAGATGGCCTTATATAAACGTCTACCTACCTGTATCACAAGGCTTAAAGATGGCCTTATATAAACGTCTACCTACCTCTATCACTAGGCTTAAAGATGGCCTTATATAAACGTTGACCTACCTCTATCACTAGGCTTAAAGATGGCCTTATATAAACGTCTACCTACCTGCATCACTAGGCTTAAAGATGGCCTTATATAAACGTTGACCTACCTCTATCACTTGGCTTAAAGATGGCCTTATATAAACGTCTACCTACCTGTATCACTAGGCTTAAAGATGGCCTTATATAAACGTCTACCTACCTGAATCACTAGGCTTAAAGATGGTCTTATATTAACGTCTACCTACCTGTATCACTAGTCTTAAAGATAGCCTTATATAAACGTCTACCTACCTGTATCACTAGGCTTAAAGATGGCCTTATATAAACGTCTACCTACCTGTATCACTAGGCTTAAAGATGGCCTTATGTAAACGTCTACCTACCTGTATCACTAAAGATGGCCTTATATAAACGTCTACCTACCTGTATCACTAGGCTTAAAGATGGCCTTATATAAACGTTGACCTACCTCTATCACTAGGCTTAAAGATGGCCTTATATAAACGTCTACCTACCTGTATCACTAGGCTTAAAGATGGCCTGATATAAACGTCTACCTACCTGTATCACTAGGCTTAAAGATGGCCTGATATAAACGTCTACCTACCTGTATCACTAGACTTAAAGATGGCCTTATATAAATGTCTACCTACCTGTATCACTAGGCTTAAAGATGGCCTTATATAAACGTCTACCTACCTGTATCACTAGGCTTAAAGATGGCCTTATATAAACGTCTACCTACCTGTATCACTAGGCTTAAAGCTGGCCTTATATAAACGTCTACCTACCTGTATCACTAGGCTTAAAGATGGCCTTATATAAACGTCTACCTACCTGTATCACTAGGCTTAAAGATATCCGATAGAAAAGTCTACCTACCTGTATCACTAGGCTTAAAGATGGCCTTATATAAACGTCTACCTACCTGTATCACTAGGCTTAAAGATATCCGATAGAAAAGTCTACCTACCTGTATCACTAGGCTTAAAGATGGCCTTATTCAGCTGTATAAACAACGAAGCCTCTTTGCTGTTGTAGCTGAGTCTCGTAGAGTTGTCAAATACCAAACCACCGCTGCCAACGACTTTGAACGTGTAGTCGCTGTTGGGCAGTCGAGGCGGAAGCTGGGTTAAGATGGAAGGTTTTTATAAATGAAATCAAAACTAAAAACTTGTTATATTATTTGATTAAATGTTTTTGTTAAGTCAGCTAGACCACCCTTTATCCTTTGGATAACTAGGAGTTAAGGGATCATTAAGAAATGATTTCACGTTTCTTTCATCCCCCTACTCTCTCGTCACTGTCACACATCGTCGCAAAAAGACAAACCGAAATATTTTAAAAAATGCACACTTTAACCTACATGTTTTTGTCTATTAAAATAATCGATTTCTTTTTTTTTAAATGTCTGCACTCCAATCTCATTGGAAATACAAACTTTGAAATAAAGGCATTGAAATAGAATCATTGATGTGGGTTGCGGTTTCTGCGTGGAAAATAAAATAAAAATGAACTATGACTGCGGTGGTATCGAACCCGTAACTTGACATGTTGAAAGGAAAACGTCTCGAACCATAGTCAAGTACGTGAAAGCTACTTGTTTTACTAAGTTTAATCATTACATAAAAACATGGCGAATTTTATTTTAAATTATACTATATCTTATTTTGAACATGCTTCATTGCTAAGAAACAATGTACGATTAAAGCCTGAAATAGTTTTGTGAAGATAATTAATAATTTATTGTTTTCATACTTTTTTTGTGTTATAGCCTAATCAATGCTGATTTGGCCTACTTTTTCTCCGACCCAAATAATCTTAGTTCTAGATTATAGTTTTTTTCAGTAAATAAATATATTATATTATCGGTTTAGAAGTACCGTCACGCGTATTTTATCGAAAAATTCTAATATTTATTTAAACCTAACTGAAATTTAAAAAAAAATGATATATTATTAAAGCCAATAAAAATTAGTTTTCTAGATCTCCATGAATGCATTTAAAAAAAAATCAAAGTATTTCTACTCGTGTTACATATTTTGTTTTATATATTAAACTTAAACAATATATTTTTTTCTAAATAAATGCGCATTACAAAACTTCACATTGCAAATGTTCTGATCTTTTGACTCTGAGAAATAACTAAATAAACAAACTTACAATTTTAGTGGTTTAGGTTTAGTAGTTACATTTTATGTTCCGAAAATAATATCAGAATAGAGCAAGCTTGAACATTAAGTGCTTAAAAAGAAACAGAGAGAAAAAGCAGAAATTTTAATAATTTAAAATTCGTAAAAAAAAATCAAATATAAATCTCACCTGCATCGTGATTGTACCCGGAGTACCTGTGAGAGAAAAACATATAATTTTAGTTTTAAAATGAGATTAAAATTTATTTCCTGTAAAAAAGCTGTTGGGGAAATGATTGGTCAAGTGATAGAGAGAGAGAGAGAGAGAGAGGGAGGGAGGGAGAGAGAGAGAGGGAGGGAGAGAGAGAGAGAGAGAGAGAGGGAGGGAGGGAGAGAGAGAGAGAGGGAGGGAGAGAGAGAGGGGGGGGGGGGGGAGGGAGAGAGAGAGAGAGGGAGAGAGAGAGAGAGAAATCGTTAACCAGAAATTTTCTGGCTGATTTCCGTTTTTACTTTTTCCAGTCCACACGTATCCAACCACGATCACTAAGAAATAAATCACGTGACGATGGGATGATGTAGTCGAGGGCTGGGTCACACAGCTGATATTACAAAATATTAAAACGAAAGTATGTGATATTTAGGTAATGACGCTGAAGGAAAAAGACTTCCTCAAGCCTACGTGAAAGAAACAGATGGGCTATATTTCATCCCAATGGTTGTTTGCTATCATTCTTGCACAGTTTATTAATCAGTCGAGTCAGTTGCAGCCAAATTTAAATTATATATATATATATATATATATATATATATATATATATATATATATATATATATATATATATATATATATATATATACATATATATATATATATATATATATATATATATATATATATATATATATATATATATATATATATATATATATATATATATATATATATATATATATATATATATATATATATATAAACCCACCTTATGTCCCACTCTCATCCCTTTTCGATACAGAAAAAAATAACTTTTCTTTTTTTTTAATCATTAAGAAAGAATTCCTTAACATTAGAAAATAAATGAAATATTTAAAAAACCGTTGTAAAAATAAGCTTTTAAAGTGTAGAGAAAAAATTAAACAATACATATGGTGCCTTTTGGTTAAATTATAAACTAGACTAATTTCACCATTGAAAAAAGAACCTCTTACACAACAGTGTGGTTGTTTGATGATCCCATTATATTGTCACATACATTCACTACCTAACCTTCCACTTGTAAATAATTTTGCCATCTCTAGAATTCATTCCAATATCTCATTTTAATGATAAATACATTTATAGCTCATAGTATTTTAAAGTTAAAAACATGGTTTTAAAAACCCATCGGCTTAATACGATTTGGTGCAAACAAAATGGAGCTGGTGTTAATAATGCATTTGCTTAGTCATGATCTAACCAAATTGATTTAACGATGAAAGATTTATGCCAAAAAGTAGATAATTTGTGCAAGAATAGTGAAAACTAAAAGTCATCGTTTGCAGATAGGCGGGGTTGGGTTGTCATGACGTGAACTAAAAATATAGCTGGTTGGTGGAATATCTTAACGGTCATTACCGAAAGGAATAGAAAGAAAATAGGACAATCAGTTAAGATTTTAGTTTTCTTTACAGATGCAATTTTATTTGTTCCTTTTTTATACACATTTAAGATACAGTATTTTATAATTTTAGATTAGATTGGTTGCCCATAAAATCTTGTACACAAATTAGAGACAAATGCTTTTATTAAAAAAAAAACATGTTTATTTAGAAGTTTTTAAAAAAATTATATTGTTTTAAATAAACTTTGAATGTGTGTTTTTGAGTAATGTAGCTCAAAAATATTTTAAGCTATTAATCCCGTCCACCATCTGCTGCGTATCTAGTGTTACATAATGGAAACACGGCCGAGTTTATAGATCTAGATATAAGAAGACAAGTAGTCTAAAAATAAAACTTAAAAAAACCCCCATTTTTTTCAAGTTTTCTACTTATGCAGATGTTATGACAATAACTCTTAAAATATTTAATTTAATTATTGACAGTTTTAGCTTAATGGCTTTTTCAATAGACGTTTTGTTTCATGTCAACAATTATGATATAGGTAATAAAGGTGACACAACAATACTGAAATAGGTGACACAACAATACTGAGATAGGTGACACAACAATACTGACATAGGTGACACAACAATACTGACATAGGAGACACAACAATACTGTGATAGGTTACTCAACAATACTGACAAAGGTAACACAATAATACTGACATAGGTGACACAAGAATACTGACATAGGTGACACAACAATACTGAAATAGGTGACACAACAATACTGACATAGGTGACACAACAATACTGACATAGGTGACACAACAATACTGAGATAGGCGACACAACAATACTGACATAGACGACACAACAATACTGACACAGGTGATACAACAATAATGACATAGGTGACACATCAATACTGACATAGGTGACACAAGAATACTGACATAGGTGACACAACAATACTGAAATAGGTGACACAACAATACTGAGATAGGCGACACAACAATACTGACATAGACGACACAACAATACTGACACAGGTGATACAACAATAATGACATAGGTGACACATCAATACTGACATAGGTGACACAACAATACTGACATAGGTGACACAAGAATACTGACATAGGTGACACAACAATAATGACACTGTTGTCCGCCAAAGGATCGTTCGCTCACCGGTTTTATAAACGTTTACTCCGCTTGCTACAGGAGTTATTCCCCTTAGAACTTGGGCGACGACCGTGACGTCACCGGTGGCCTTGAGAATGTTGACGCTGACGGTGAAGTTCATGTTGGCGTAAATCGTTGATGGGGCGATGACGACATACGTGCTGGAAAATACAACGATATATCCTCGTAATTATGAATGCTAAATATATGCTATCTAAAACAGAGGAATGCGTAATTTGTTTTGCAGGTCTAATTTACAAATGTTGTGGACCAATACGTCGCTATACATTGTTCGATGATCTTTTTGTCTAATTGTGAAAATAAATAGAATGTAGCCTTAAAGACAGGTAAATTGTTTTTCTAGATTTCTATTATTGATTTATTATTTATATTCAATTTTGGGAAAAAATTTCAAGCTTTAGTTTTTTTAAGGCAGATATGAAGGGGAAATTGACAAAAACACGATATTTATCCATGGCAATAATAATGAGGAATGATTCTCACCAACTTGTCAATTATTTTATCATTGTAAGTTTTCCATCTTAATAAGAGTATATAGCCACGCTTAGTCATTTTATTTTAATTCACCAAAACAGGTTTATTGAAACTGACGTTCGTGCACCATATATTTTGATCTCTAATGGGTAATAATCTATAAGTTTTCAACACAAGCACAAAACGCATACTAAAACATAAGCAATGACTTGTGACCTTCCGTTTAACTTTAAAACCCAACTTACTTCTGAGCACACATTGTTGTAGCAACCAGTGTCAGTAGAAGAAACAACCGCATCTTGTTGCACGAAAACAGAGCAAACAACAGGACTTTATATTATAAAGTTACACAGACATAAGTTTCTGATTATTTAAATAGAAAATTGAAATGAATCTTTCAGAATTTCGACATTGCGAAAAGGTGCCTCTCTTTCAGCTTTGATGCCGAATGAAACCGAAATTCCCGATTAAGCTAATGCGCATTAATTTGATGTGTGTAATGACGACATTAAAATACGAGCAACTAAACTAGAAGGCCAAAAAATAATAACGTAATTGATCTAGGCTTAAATCAATAAGGTTAAATATTCCAACGCTGCTTTTAAGGTTATCATGACGGTGAAATAGTATTATTAAATAGCTTTTTTTTAAAAAAAAAACAAGTTAATAAAAAGTATAGTGACAATTTAAGCGCAATTTCCTCAATGCGGACGTGTAGGGGGTGTTTAGTTGTCGCGCTCTCTAAAAAATTTTTGTGACCGAACGAAAGGATATTTTTGAAAACTTTCTTAGGCAATATTGTTCTAAATTATGGCAGGAATCGATTGGTAAATGTTTTAAGTCGCTAAGTGGTCTGATTGCCGAGATATGGTCCAAAAACGGCATTTTTTTTTCGAGTTTTTTTTTGCTTTTCCGGGAAATCCAGGTAGGATTTCCGGGAATTTTTTTGGCCCACTATCATCCTCGGAACTTGCTTAACATATTTGCTTTGGGACTAGTCCTCGATATTGCTTCGTTGAGGAGGTGATACGAATTAAACCTGCGAACACACATCCATCCATCCATCCAGAAATGACGAGTTAATAAACGCAATTCTCCAGAATGGAAATTACGCTAAAAACAATACTGTACCAAAAATCACAGTGACAGCAAGAATGTCGAAGCTTACTTTTCATTAGAGTTATGTAAAGAAATCCTACATGTCTTTAACGCATGATATTTCATTTATAACAAATATATGTAAAAGCTAGGTTACAGCGATTGTCTTAAAATATAATTAAAAAAACTACAATGCATAATAACTTATTTTTTAAGGTAATAACTAAATTGAAAATCAGATTCAATCCTTTAATTTCTCTGGAAAAAATAATGTTTCAGATGATATTACTTTTTACTCTTTGTTATGTGAAGAAACATGATCTCCAAAAGTTATCTAGTATTCTAGAACTCAAATTCATTAGAAGTAGTATATTAGGTCGCTTTTGGTTAGTATTTTTGGCGGAGCAGGGGAGGGTGAGGAACAATGACATATAGTAAAATACTCGGGAGCAGGATGCGCGGGTGGCGCAAAGACATAGAGCAAAATACTACGCCAGCTGCCGCAGCCTGGCGCATCGGGAGGGTAAGGGTGGGTGAGCAGGATGTGGGGGTGGCGCAAAAACATATAGTAAAATACTACGCCAACTGGGGTTGGCGGAGGTGGTGGGGAAGTAGGTCACCTTTTGGTGACCTTGTGACGTAATTAGTAACATTATGACGTAATTAGTTTGAATTTAATTAATTTGATTTTAATTAATTTTTGACCTAGTTACGTAATTTTAATGTGTTTTTTAATGAGTTTTAATGAGTTTTTTAAATTTTTAATCAATTTTTATTGACTAGTTACGTAATTTGATTATTTGTTTACTTTTTAATTAATTTTTTATTGACCTAGTTACGTAATTGGATTTTAATGAGTTTGAATTTAATTTTGTAATTTTAATTAATTTTTATTAACGAGTTACGTAATTTGATTATTTGTTTGATTTTAAATTGTTTACTTTGTTTGTTTACTTGTTGTTTATTTGTTTATATTGTGTAATTTTTATTCAATAGTTACGTAATGTGATTTTAATTATTTTTATTTTGTTTATTTTTAATTTTATTTTATTTTATAATTAGTTAAATTATTATTATTAACTAGTTACGTAATTTGATTTTAATTACTTTGTTTAATTTAATTACTTTGATATATTTCTTTTCTTTGTTGTTTAATTTGTTGGTTTGTTTGAATGTATGTATGTTTTAAATAAAAGACTAACACTAGCCGTGTACTTTGTGAATAACATCCATTAAAGATAACGATCAGCCACAGCTGTTACGTATCGACCCGCCCGCGAAGTTTTCTCACCGCTACCCGTTTTAATGGGAATGTATTGATCGCACCCACTGGGCCATCACAGCATGATGTCCCACCTAATTAAATTTTTGTTATGCTTCAGCGAGTTTCCCCCGAGCGGTTTGATAGGTCATGATGATTTATGTGGGTTCGCGAAGCGAACACTGCAGGGGTTATGGTAATTATCGCAAAGCCAGCGTTAAGTGTGGGAACACCTGTTACCACGTTAATCGATTTTTCCCCCGGTTGGGTCCCGTGCTTTTCACTAACAGTTATACGGACAGTATCATAGGTTTTTTTTGTTTTCACCTAGGCAATGTTTTGTTGTTGTTTGGTGTAGAGTTTATACCAGGGTCGGTGAAGTTTTCACCGAGGTTGGTTTTGAACTCGGACCATGCATGTTTAGGAATTGCTGATGTCGACTACAAACATCCATTAGAGACACCTGTTACTCGCTAATGGCACCCGACACGTATCGATCCACATGCGATCCTTTGTTCTTGTCAACCACCATACAAGGGACAAGTTAATATTGATCGAACCCACTGACCATCAGTATGATGGTCCACCTATGTGTAATTTTTATTAACGAGTTACGTAATTTGATTTTAATTTTTAAATTTTTAAATTTTAAATTTTATTTTATAATTAGTTTAATTATTATTAACGAGTTACGTAATTCGATTTTAATTTTTTTAAATTTTTAAATTTTTTAAATTATTATTTTTAAATTTTATTTTTAATTGTTGTTTACTTGTTGTTTAATTTAATTACTTTGTATAATTTATTTGTTTGAAATTCATTTTAATTAGTTTGCTTTTAATTTCTTTGTTGTACGCCGTTTAAAATAAAAGACTAACACTAGCGTGTAATAGAAAGTGTCATTGTGTATAACATCCATTTAACCACAGCTGTTACTTATTAGTGACAGCTTGTACTTATCGATCCGCCCGTGATCCTCCCAGGCGCTCCCCGTGGTTGCTTAATAGCGGGCTCACTGAAGCGATCACAACAGGTAATTAAGCGAAGCCATTAAGTCCCTCTCCGCGTTAAGTGTGGCGACAGCTGGTGCTGTAATTAGTCACGGCTCTCGGCTTTTTTCATTAGCCTACAGCTGTACATGAACTATGTTCACATATCGTACGCCCGGTCATTCTTTGATCAAATTAAAAAATTTTGTTTCCACATGTCCTGCGAACCGTCCCTTGCTATGTATGAAAGATTAATGGTTGTAACTATTCGCTTATAGCGAGGGTCAGCGAAAACAAAAATATATTTAAGGGTCGGAATTTTCTTTCAACCACCGTTAAGTTAGGTTTTGAGACGAAACGAAGTCTCGGTAGGTTCGTGTTTTTTAATGGGCGACAGGGCGACTTGGTGCGTTGGTACGTAGGTATGCGTGGGTAGACATGTTTTTACAAGTCTGGAAAAGTAATTAAGTTTTTTATGACCGTTCCGATTTTTTCTTTTGATCTGACCACCATTTGACCACACTGAGCCAGATAAATTTAACAATTGTCGCAGCGGGGTTTATTTTAAGTGCACCCCGTGCACGCTTGTTTACATTTTAAAAGACGTCTCGCGTGTCTTCCCCTTACGGCTTCCCTAATAGAGAAACGAGAGGAAAGACAACTGTTCTAAAATTAGAACAGCCTTGTCTACAGACACGAGTATCGTCCCTTGTGAAAAAATTCGCGTCAGAATCCTTAACTAAACAGTCAATTTCTTTAAAATGTTAAAAAATAATTTAGGAAGACAAGGGTTAACAAAATATATATCTTAGTCTTGCAGCAGCTTACCTTCCCATGTTCACTTTAGTATTACAGTTTTCATCAAACTTCTTTTTGAGTTGAACTTCGTTAATTTTTAAGAAAGTTTACTTATACATAATACATTACGTCTAAGGACAATTTTTTATTTTTACCACTCAATGTATTTTCTTTTTCTATATCTTACATTGTCATCTTAATTTTTGATCACCTTAGGTGGTGGTAAGGTGGTAAGGTGGTGGTAAGGTGGTGGTAAGGTGGTGGTAAATTTGCTTAAGATTATAAACTTCAAGTTTTAAAAATCAACAACGTTATAGTACGTCGTGTCAAATGACACACCGTTAAAATGTCTACATTTAAATTTCACCAAAATAATGATGTATAAACTAAATATGATATGACGTTAGCATACATATCATTCAATCTAATCATTCTAAAGTACAAATCAATAATTTTTATTTATTAAGGGGCTGGGTGAGTTATTTTTATCACTATTCGCCCTTCCCCTTCCCTTTGTCCGCAACCCCTTTCCCCTTCGCCCATCCCTAACCTCAATACCAACCGTACCACTATCCATTCTATTCCATTAAAGAGACAAAGGATTTATGACAATCCTAAAGACAAATATTTATTCAACTAATATCACAACCCCCTAGAAACCACTCCAACAGACTGGGATACATAACTTGTAGACACCACTCCACGTTGAATATCTCTTGCACCCTACCTACATCGACAACTTTGTCCGCCGCCCTCGCCCCCGTCCCTAAACAACCGATAGATAAACACACCGTACCACTACCCACACTATTCCCTTGGACAGACAAAGGACAAAGTAACAGACAAACATTTATCCCCCTTCGTTTACTGTCACAAGTGACAACGTTCCCATCCAACTCCAAAACATCCATGGCCGAATTTCGAAACCTGTCTTGTTGAAAACAAAGACCGTCCCACTCTAGTGTAAACTCTACCCCGACCAACTCCGAAACAGGGATGGTCCACGTTTTAAATCTACCTTAGTGAAAACAAAAGCCTTCCCACTCTAGACTCGGCCCCTAACACTTCCAAAACATACCTGTACTAACTTTGAAACCACCCTCGGTGAAAACTTCACCGACACTAGTATGGACTCTACACCTACCGATTCCAAAACATGAATGTTCCGAGTTCAAAACCAACCTTCACCGACACTAGTATGAACTCGGCTACCAACAATTCCCAAACATACATGTACCAACTTTCCAACCTGCCTCAGTGCTAACAAAATTCCCCGACCCTAGTATGAACTCGACTGCCAACAATTCCTAAACATCCCTGTACCAACTTTGTAACCTGCCTCGGTGAAAACTTCACCGACCTTAGTTTAACTCTCCCTAGCAATTCCAATGATGCATGTACGAACTTTGTAACTTGCCTCGGTGAAAACACCCCCGTCCCTAGTATGAACTCGGTTACCAACAATTTCAAAACATGCATGTTCCGAGTTCAAAACCAACCTTCACCGACACTAGTTTAAACTCTGCCCCATCAATTCCTAAACATGTATGTACCAACTTTGTAACCTACCTCGGTGAAAATCCCCCGACCCTAGTATGGACTCTACACCTACCGATTTCAAAACATGTATGTTCCGAGTTCAAAACCAACCTTCACCGACACTAGTATGAACTCGGCTACCAACAATTCCTAAACATGCATGTACCAACTTTGTAACCTGCCTCGGTGAAATCTTCACCGACCCTAGTATGGACTCTAGACCTAACGATTCCAAAACATGCATGTTCCGAGTTCAAAACCAACCTTCACTGACACTAGTACGAACTCTAGACCTACCGATTCCAAAACATACATGTTCCGAGTTCAAAACCAACCTTCACCGACACTAGTATGAACACGACCCCTAACAATTCCAAGGATGCATGTACCAACATTACAACCTGCCTCAGTATTAGCAAAACTCCCCGACCCTAGTATGAACTCGACTGCCAACAATTCCTAAACATACATGTACCAACTTTGTAACCTGCCTCGGTGAAATCTTCACCGACCCTAGTATGGACTCTTTACCTGTCAATTCTAAAACATGGATGTACCAACTTCGAAACATCCGTCTGTATTAACAAAACTTCCCCGACCCTACTATAGACTCGACCCCTAACAATTCCAAAATATGCATGGTCTAGCTTCGAACCCTTGCCTCGGTGAAAACGTCACCGACTCGTGTATAAAATCTGTTCCAACCAACTCCAAACTTCCCTGGGCGCCCGAATAAAAATAACTCACCCAGCCCCTTAATAAATAAAAATTATTGATTTGTACTTTAGAATGATTAGATTGAATGATATGTATGCTAACGTCATATCATATTTAGTTTATACATCATTATTTTGGTGAAATTTAAATGTAGACATTTTAACGGTGTGTCATTTGACACGACGTACTATAACGTTGTTGATTTTTAAAACTTGAAGTTTATAATCTTAAGCAAATTTACCACCACCTTACCACCACCTTACCACCACCTTACCACCTTACCACCACCTAAGGTGATCAAAAATTAAGATGACAATGTAAGATATAGAAAAAGAAAATACATTGAGTGGTAAAAATAAAAAATTGTCCTTAGACGTAATGTATTATGTATAAGTAAACTTTCTTAAAAATTAACGAAGTTCAACTCAAAAAGAAGTTTGATGAAAACTGTAATACTAAAGTGAACATGGGAAGGTAAGCTGCTGCAAGACTAAGATATATATTTTGTTAACCCTTGTCTTCCTAAATTATTTTTTAACATTTTAAAGAAATTGACTGTTTAGTTAAGGATTCTGACGCGAATTTTTTCACAAGGGACGATACTCGTGTCTGTAGACAAGGCTGTTCTAATTTTAGAACAGTTGTCTTTCCTCTCGTTTCTCTATTAGGGAAGCCGTAAGGGGAAGACACGCGAGACGTCTTTTAAAATGTAAACAAGCGTGCACGGGGTGCACTTAAAATAAACCCCGCTGCGACAATTGTTAAATTTATCTGGCTCAGTGTGGTCAAATGGTGGTCAGATCAAAAGAAAAAATCGGAACGGTCATAAAAAACTTAATTACTTTTCCAGACTTGTAAAAACATGTCTACCCACGCATACCTACGTACCAACGCACCAAGTCGCCCTGTCGCCCATTAAAAAACACGAACCTACCGAGACTTCGTTTCGTCTCAAAACCTAACTTAACGGTGGTTGAAAGAAAATTCCGACCCTTAAATATATTTTTGTTTTCGCTGACCCTCGCTATAAGCGAATAGTTACAACCATTAATCTTTCATACATAGCAAGGGACGGTTCGCAGGACATGTGGAAACAAAATTTTTTAATTTGATCAAAGAATGACCGGGCGTACGATATGTGAACATAGTTCATGTACAGCTGTAGGCTAATGAAAAAAGCCGAGAGCCGTGACTAATTACAGCACCAGCTGTCGCCACACTTAACGCGGAGAGGGACTTAATGGCTTCGCTTAATTACCTGTTGTGATCGCTTCAGTGAGCCCGCTATTAAGCAACCACGGGGAGCGCCTGGGAGGATCACGGGCGGATCGATAAGTACAAGCTGTCACTAATAAGTAACAGCTGTGGTTAAATGGATGTTATACACAATGACACTTTCTATTACACGCTAGTGTTAGTCTTTTATTTTAAACGGCGTACAACAAAGAAATTAAAAGCAAACTAATTAAAATGAATTTCAAACAAATAAATTATACAAAGTAATTAAATTAAACAACAAGTAAACAACAATTAAAAATAAAATTTAAAAATAATAATTTAAAAAATTTAAAAATTTAAAAAAATTAAAATCGAATTACGTAACTCGTTAATAATAATTAAACTAATTATAAAATAAAATTTAAAATTTAAAAATTTAAAAATTAAAATCAAATTACGTAACTCGTTAATAAAAATTACACATAGGTGGACCATCATACTGATGGTCAGTGGGTTCGATCAATATTAACTTGTCCCTTGTATGGTGGTTGACAAGAACAAAGGATCGCATGTGGATCGATACGTGTCGGGTGCCATTAGCGAGTAACAGGTGTCTCTAATGGATGTTTGTAGTCGACATCAGCAATTCCTAAACATGCATGGTCCGAGTTCAAAACCAACCTCGGTGAAAACTTCACCGACCCTGGTATAAACTCTACACCAAACAACAACAAAACATTGCCTAGGTGAAAACAAAAAAACCTATGATACTGTCCGTATAACTGTTAGTGAAAAGCACGGGACCCAACCGGGGGAAAAATCGATTAACGTGGTAACAGGTGTTCCCACACTTAACGCTGGCTTTGCGATAATTACCATAACCCCTGCAGTGTTCGCTTCGCGAACCCACATAAATCATCATGACCTATCAAACCGCTCGGGGGAAACTCGCTGAAGCATAACAAAAATTTAATTAGGTGGGACATCATGCTGTGATGGCCCAGTGGGTGCGATCAATACATTCCCATTAAAACGGGTAGCGGTGAGAAAACTTCGCGGGCGGGTCGATACGTAACAGCTGTGGCTGATCGTTATCTTTAATGGATGTTATTCACAAAGTACACGGCTAGTGTTAGTCTTTTATTTAAAACATACATACATTCAAACAAACCAACAAATTAAACAACAAAGAAAAGAAATATATCAAAGTAATTAAATTAAACAAAGTAATTAAAATCAAATTACGTAACTAGTTAATAATAATAATTTAACTAATTATAAAATAAAATAAAATTAAAGATAAACAAAATAAAAATAATTAAAATCACATTACGTAACTATTGAATAAAAATTACACAATATAAACAAATAAACAACAAGTAAACAAACAAAGTAAACAATTTAAAATCAAACAAATAATCAAATTACGTAACTCGTTAATAAAAATTAATTAAAATTACAAAATTAAATTCAAACTCATTAAAATCCAATTACGTAACTAGGTCAATAAAAAATTAATTAAAAAGTAAACAAATAATCAAATTACGTAACTAGTCAATAAAAATTGATTAAAAATTTAAAAAACTCATTAAAACTCATTAAAAAACACATTAAAATTACGTAACTAGGTCAAAAATTAATTAAAATCAAATTAATTAAATTCAAACTAATTACGTCATAATGTTACTAATTACGTCACAAGGTCACCAAAAGGTGACCTACTTCCCCACCACCTCCGCCAACCCCAGTTGGCGTAGTATTTTACTATATGTCTTTGCGCCACCCCCACATCCTGCTCACCCACCCTTACCCTCCCGATGCGCCAGGCTGCGGCAGCTGGCGTAGTATTTTGCTCTATGTCTTTGCGCCACCCGCGCATCCTGCTCCCGAGTATTTTACTATATGTCATTGTTCCTCACCCTCCCCTGCTCCGCCAAAAATACTAACCAAAAGCGACCTAATATACTACTATTAGAATTTATTTCACGTGTTTCAAATTCAGATAATATAAATGAATTTCAAGATTCCTCTCCCTCAAAAAATAAAAAAAAAATACCGAGTAAGCAAGTTTGGATTGAAAATTAAACAATACAAGCTAGTGTAAATGAACAACTTTAAAAATTTAAGCAAAACAAGAATGTAGAAAATTTTCTGCGTCTGAAATATTTGTCTGGAACATGTTCCTTTCTTTCTAATATTCAATGCTGTACTCATTCAATGCTATACTCGTGTGCAAAATAACACATTTAGTAGGGAACATGTTCATTTCTTTCTTCTATGCTATAACCCAAAATGTGCTAATACGAAATCGTTTTTAAATTTAAATTCAAAGCAAAAAATAGGACACAAGATTTATTTGTTAAAAAGGCAAATTTTTTTTTAATGTTTCAAAGCAATGTTTACAGGTTTCAAAGCTTATACCATTGAATGAAGTTAGACATTTAAAAGCTCAAATAAAATCTATCTACAAGTTATAAATTAGTAAAAGAATTGTATAGATGTAATACAATACGAGCAAAACTAGATTTGAAAGCTTCATTTTATTTGCTATAAGATGGCATTTGCTATAAGAAATGTATAATATCAAACATTATTTCTGAACACCACGACAGGAAAGCTTTGCATACATCCCATGCTTTCTGTAACATCTGTAATTAAACAAAAATGTTATTATTATCAGCACAAAAATCATCTATTTTATGTTTAAAGCTATAATATCAATATGTATCAATTATCGATTATTAAATTCGAGGATCAAAAACGTTTTACAATATATTCAAATTTTTTTACACCCACACACATAACACAACGTCACCTGAAAATTTCCGGTGACTTGGTCGCAGTTTTCGCATTCCGGGCAGACGTCACAGATGGTGGAATCTTTCAGAAGGTTTGATTGGTAGAACACTGTCACCTGGTTGCCTGTAGTATATAAAACAATTACTCTATTTAATAGAGAGAACTTTAAAAATTAAAACACTGAATTTCTAACCAAAAAAAAAATCTGTTTTCGTTTACTTTAATCGTACTTTAGTTTGACAGTTACCAGTGGCGTAGCTACAGTAAAGCTAGCGTGAGCAAGGCATAGGGCCCAAGGCAAATAGGGGCCCTTTTCCCTCTTTAAAATTTTGAAACTTTTACTTTGGAATTTTAATATTTGTATTATGAAAACAATGTTAAAAAGAAAACGGAAATCCAGTTTGTTTTATACTGTAGAAGTAATTTTAAAAAAATCCAAAAAGGCCCCCAGACCTTTGTAACTGGGGAGGGGTGGTGGTTGTATAAGGCCATCGTTATTAACATTATAGGCATTGTCGGGCAAGTCTTTGAGAGAATTAGCCTATAAATAAACTTGAACATTGACTCTTTTGCGAGACTGGCATCGGCAATCGTAAATTTATACGCATCGCTAAAAACTCTCTACCCCACAGCCACAAACCTGCATCCCCTCCCTCTCAACTCTCTGTCCTCACCTAATTTCCATCCAACAATGATAACGATTGAGCCAATTTTTAAAAATGAAAGCCGTGGACAGTGTTTTCACAACAAGCTAAGTCGAAAATATGTCAATGTTTTTCTAGTTTTAACCTTATTCACAATTTGTTTCTTAATCTAATTCATCCCTAATCAATATGCCGCTACTTAAGGCTTTTTTTTTGTCTGTCTACTTGTCCTATATGCATTAATACCAAAATGATCCAATCGCCAAGAAATATTGAGAAGTAATTTTGAATAATTCAGAAAAACCTCTACTGACCGTGAAATTTCCTACCACAACCCCACACACGAGGAGCAGGAGCCGTAAAGAAACTCTGACTCCTGCAAAGTTTTCTGCCATTAAATATTTTTTAGCGCAATTTCCATTCTGGAGAATTGCGTTTATTAACCCGTCATTTCTGGATGTATGAATGTATGAATGTATGAATGAATGAATGTGTGTCCGCAGCTTTAAGTCGTATCTCCTCCTCAACGAAGCAATATCGAGGACTAGTTCCAAAGCAATTATGTTAAGAAGGTTTCGAGGATGAACATAGGCCTAAAAAATTCCGGGTTTCTTTCATGGATTTCCCGGAAAAGCCAAAAAACCTCGACAAAAATGCAGTTTTTGGCCCATATCTCGGCAATCAGACCACTTAGCGACTTGAAACATTTACCAATCGATTTCTGCCATAATTTAGAACAATATTGCCGAAGAAAGTTTTCAAAAATATCCTTTCGTTCGGTCACAATTTTTTTTTTAATTAATTAAAATTTGGACCGAATTAGTAGGCATGTTTATCCAACCACACCACACGCGTCATCACGTTCAATAGCAGCGCCATCACGTTCAGTAGCTAGGCGCGCAATGTTTTTTAGTCATGTAACTCTATTGTAAATAAAACATGTAAAATACTGAAAAAAAATTAATAAAAAACGTTTTAATAACTAACCAATGGTTTTACTAACCCTGCTCTTGATTTACGCTACGACAGAGCTATTTTTAGATAACATAAGGAAATTGCGCTTAAATGTCACTAGACTTTTTAATTAACTTGTTTCGTTCGTAGAGCGGCCCCTTGACAGTAAGGTGGTTCGGTTTGCCACCCAGAGTTTCCCAGCGGCTTTCTTAGCACCTGGGGTCAGTTGATTGGGTGTCCTGCACAATGGGTCAGGGTTACTGCTTAATTCAACGGCCAACACTGCACAGGTGCATCAGCCGGCGCCCCGGGCTACCCCCGTGAGCAATACGGCGCATTCAATTGTTTTTAATAAGCGCCGTGCCCTAGGGATACGGAGGGCTACTACAATCAATGGCTAAAGAAAGTAAGGGGTGTCCTCCAGCCGCCTTGGCAGTAGTATGCAGTTGGGCGCCCCCAAGTCTCTTCATAATGATGATGTTATGAAACAAGTTGTAGATATGCCCTTTGGGTCAGTAACTGCGTCATCCTAAGTATCGATCATAAAGAAGCAGCTCAAATGGACTTCAAGGAACATATTAATCACTTTTTTTAGGGGTCGGCGTGGTCGAGTCGGTAAAGCTCACGGTTGCTAAACCGAAAAGTCTCGAGTTCGAACCCTCGGGCAGACAAGGCTCGTTAGCTGGGGACAGCCACTCTTCTAGGAGAGACAACTCCAAAATGTTATGAAACAAGTTGTAGATATGCCCTTTGGGTCAGTAACTGCGTCATCCTAAGTATCGATCATAAAGAAGCAGCTCAAATGGACTTCAAGGAACATATTAATCACTTTTTTTAGGGGTCGGCGTGGTCGAGTCGGTAAAGCTCACGGTTGCTAAACCGAAAAGTCTCGAGTTCGAACCCTCGGGCAGACAAGGCTCGTTAGCTGGGGACAGCCACTCTTCTAGGAGAGACAACTCCAAAATTAAACAACTACTGCCTTGTAGATTGTTCTTGGTTGGACAAAGGCTATGGAAGCAAATCCAAACAGAAAAGCAGGCTGAAATCGGAGTCAATGGCCTCAATGGCGCATAACCAGTTGACACGTAACGCTTAATTGTGTTGGAGGTGTGGTCGAGTCGGCAAAAAGCTCTTGGTTGATAAATTCGAACAAAGTCTCGAATTCAAACCCACTGGCAGATAAATCTCGATCCACTTTAACACTAATAATTAAGAACGAAGAAGAAGAAGAAGAACTTTGCAAACGTATAAGAAAGAAAAAAAACAACTAATGTCTTTAAATCATGATCAACTTTGTAAAATGTGTATTTGGTTAGTGGCGTAACAAAGTTCGATAACACCTGGTGCGTTTAGTGAGTGTCACCCCCACCCCATTTAACAATTTTGCATTTCCGTTGGAGTGTTACACCCTCTCCTTAATATTTTATTGTTTTAATTGAATAAAACATAGTTTAAAGAGTAAATTTTACGAGTTTTCGTCATGGTGTCACGCCTAAACTGTGAGGCCCCCGTGAAGCTACTGTGTTAGGTTACTTAAAGGTTAAAGGCTTACAGTTAATTTTTTTCTCATACAACTGATATAAAAATCAAAGGTATTTTACGCTACGGGTACTACATAATTATACCGTAAAAATACACAACTATGGATGTATAAAATACACAATTTACAGATCAAGGTAGGGGCCCAATAATAATTTTTGCATAGGGGCCCAAAAATCCTAGTTACACTACTGACTGGTACTTATCTTTATATTATAATTGCTTATGTAAATCAACACAAAATATAATTTAAAACCAACATAAAATATAATTTACAATCAAAATAGAATATAATTTAAAATCACATAAAATATAATTTAAAATAAACTTAAAATTGAACTATTGCTTTAAGTTGTAACTAGCATAATTTAAAAAAAAAATCTTTTTTTGTTTGAAGTTTTTTTTTAATTAAAATTTAATTTGCAATAGCATTTATTTCCATCACGGATGATGGTGAAAATTGATTATATAAACTGTTCAATGAATGTTTAGTGGATAAACCAAGCAATGTTAGTGTAAAACCTGTGACCTACGTGGCTCATAGTAGTCATAGACCCTGACGGCAGCTGGCTGGGACTTGGCAACAAAATCAACTCGTCTGACTCTAAGGTTTAAACACACGGGCGTCGTGCCGATCTGGGAGGTAGAGACACATTCAGAGCATAAATGGTACAGACACAAGACACTTCTTTCTTTCCTCAAAAAGTTAAGTAAAACATAATTTCTGTTATGAGTTAAATAACACCATACCTAAAATTGTAATTACGTATAGTTTGCCAATGACGAAAACGATAGAATAAAATGTTTAAATTTTTAAGCTGCACTTCCAAACTAAATTAATTTTAGAAATCCATTTTAGTTGCAAAATTAAAAATATCTATTTAACCATACTGACCTTGTCGAAGTAGAGAATGACCTTCTTGTTTTGTGTCTCGACTCTCTTCACGATGTCTAGTTTGGTGATGCTTTCAAGGTCAGCATCAAAGCCTGATGGGATACCAAACTCTTGGACAGCCATTCCACTGTTGGGACTGTTTCCTAGCCATCTGGTTTTTTGGATCAGGTTTCAGGATTTTTAATTATATGCTTATATTTTAATTTAACAAGAAATCGAATGGTGCTTATAACCCAAGCTTTAAAACCAAAAGTAGCTCACAGGTCAGACAACGATTATAGTGAATACTGAATTAGAACAACTAACAGCTATAGGTAAACGCAAGACGTGTCACTAACAAATGCAGATTGTTTCACCAGCAAATGTAGATGGTGTCTCCAACAAATGTTGATGGTGTCACCAACAAATGTAGAATCACCATCAAATGTAGACGGTGTAACCAACAAATGTTGTTGGTGTCACCAACAAATGTAGCCGGTATAACCAACAAATGTTGATGGTGTCACCAACAAGATGGTGCCAGCTTAAACTGGATTTAGTCTTTTTTTTTGCCTATACGAATATCAATAAAGAAACAATAAAAATAAACACGTATATATTTCAAATGAATAATTTTCTAAGGTAGCCCCCCCCCCCCACCTCCAACTCTACTAACCACCATTTAGTTCCGACCAATGTATCAACAATAAACACACCTTGTACAAGTTTCCAAAACCAAATGGTGGATTGTTTCCTTTTTTAATCTAATTGTCAGATCGAAGGTTTTCGCCTCGATTTCCGACAGCACATGGAAATTTACCGATGCCTGGAGAAGCAACAAAATTGAAGATCACTACTGATTTATTAGTAACATGTTACCGGTAATGCAAACATTGAATATTATTTGATATTGGTAGACATCTGTTAGGTCGTTTAGAAAGAAGTGATAACACAGAATATCCGTTACTGCTACTTTAACTTTATTATTATACACAGTTGCCTAGTCTTTTAAAATAAAACTTAGTGAACATTGGTATAATCGGAGGGTATCAAATAGAGGAAGTACCTGAACAAGAGCCATGCCTGAACCAGTAGCTGTGATTACAACTTGAGTAGGCACCGTTGTATTCTATACATACATGGTATTATATATATATATATATATATATATATATATATATATATATATATAATATGTTCTTCGATGCTAAACATAATTTTAACTGGGACTCTCTCCCGGACTATTATTACGTGTCAACATGATAATCGCCTTTTTTTAAAAATGTTTCTATAGAGTTTGTCCACCCAAGAACAAATTACAGGGAAGTACTTGTTTGATTTTAGAGTTTGCTCTACCACATAGATTGCTTTCTCCAGTTAACGAGCCTAACCCGCCCAGGTTCCGAACTTGGGACTTTTGGAGTTAGGGGGTCATCCATAATTGACGTCACGATTTTTTGGACGATTTTTATCTCCCTCCCTCCCCTCCGTCACACATCGTCACATAAAGCCAGACCCCCACCCTTAAATTACGTCACACCTCAGCCTATAACCCCATTCAAAATCGCAGTTGAATTTTTCTTAAAACATCGATATTTTTCCAAAATCTGGTCTAAACTCTGTCTATATAGTGTACTTTATTAAATTCCTATTGCAATTTATTAAAACAGTTTTTTAAAACGCAAAATAACGTCTAAAATTAGTTTTCTAACATGGCTTTTTTATAATGCAAAAATGTGATGTCCCATCATCTGAACCCCCCCCCCCCCCTTCTCCCCCTCATCACATAACGTCACAAAATTACGGACCCCCTTTTCGAGTGTGACGTCATTTATGGACGACCCCTTGACAATCCTGAGCGCCCCCGTCCAACCACGCCATTCCCCGTCTATTTATTTATCTGAACAGTTTATTCTCGTAAGAAATAATGCATATTAAAATAAACTTAAAAAGTTAAACTGAATTTCGCCTTGAACCTCTCTAGACTGCAGCACAAGTGAGTTGGTCTTGTCGACGTCAAAGGTGTAGGTAGTCTCATCGTCCAGCTGGGTGGTGATGTGGACTTTTAATTTGTTGCTGTACGTCTGCTTGGCGTACTCGCTGAGGGCGTTCAGGGCAACCACTGTGTCCTACAGTTAGATTGTGTGAAGGAATACACCTTTTTAATACAATTTATTAAAATACATTCTAAAGAGACAGAATATATTTTATACAAATTAAACCACAGTGGCCAAAAATCTACAGGAAATTTTAATCAAAATTTTAAAAAGTACTCGACATACTGCTTAACTCGAAAGTCTCGAGTTCAGATCCCTGATTTAAATCTGTACAACGCCCCTCAGGCAACTCAGAAACATATTTTAGTGTTACACTATACCAAAATAAGGCTGAGGACAAAAAGCCGGCATCAAAAAGACCGACACGGACAAATGGCCTACATTAAAAATATCATTTAAATAATTACTGTGTTTAAATACATTTGTGTATATAATTTTGGGAAAAAGAAAATAGCTTTCTACATAAATACATATTTTACAGCTCTAAACAAAAGTCAATAAAAAAGTAATATACAAACTCATCGAGTTTTAGAAGTATATAGATGGTATGGCGAGGCGATATAGTACGGTGTAATACAATTTTTAAGTACTGTAAATTATTTTACGTGGTATATTTCAGAGGCGTAGTGAGAGGGCAGGGGGGGGGGGGGTACATATGTCCCCGGGCGCCCACCTTAGGGGGCCCCATAATGGGTTGGAAAAACAAATTAAATTCTCATTTTAGGTGCAAATTGAAAGTTTGTCCCCGGGCGCCGAGAAGGGTCGCTACGTCTCTGGTATATTTATTTCTATGTTGTACTGTATTTTCATCATTTTCTAACGAGTTTTTTTTTTACAAATGCTTATCATTTATTTACTTAGAGTATATTTTTTTACAAGACTTGTTAGCTTCTATCCAGACGGCTTTTTGAATGTCGGCATAAATACATAAATCTAATTTATCAACTGTATGCAGCGCAAAGTCTTAAACTTATAAACAATTAAAAATATAAGCATTTGAAAGAAAAAGTTTATGCTTTCCTATGGGTTATTAATTAATCGTTATAAATGATTGAATATATTCATTGGAAAAATTATAATAAAAATACCTATCTTGAAATTTTTTTTTTAAATCACTTATCTAAAATATTTAAACGAAAAAAATTACTAGTGGTTACGGTTAGGTTAAGGGTTAGGGCTAGTGCTAGGGTCGGGGTTGGGGTTAGTGTTGGGGTCAGAGTCAGATGTAAAATTAGAGTTTGGTTCAAGAGTGAATTTAGCGTTTGTATTACATACAGGTTTGTTGTTGAGGTTTTGAGTTAGGGTTAGGGTTCTCAGGGGATAATGACTCCGGGGGATTATGTCGTGGGTAATGTCAGCTGGGTGGTATTTCGCTAGAGTTTAACACATGAAGTTCTAGACAAACCTGTGTTGATATGAAGCCTCCGTTGGCGTTTCTCTGTTTGGTGATCCACTGCATGATGCTCTTGCCCGCCACCAAGTCGCCCCGCTTTGTGTAGGTCAGCAAGACGTAAGCGGTCATCTCAATGTCAACGGCCTTGGCGGGGTTAGGCCGGTGCCATGGGTCAGTAGAAACCTTAGGGGGTTCCTGCTGGTGCCAGTACACCGTACCGTCTGTTTGTAGAAAAAAGAAAGTGACTTTTTAAATGCGAGGTATACAATAGCAATGTGCTGATTGTATTTTAGACGAAATCTATTCAAATCTATAATAATAGTTTCGCTGTCTGTCTGTCTATCTATCTATCTATCTGTCTGACAAGAACGCTCTAGAGAAAACACAAGGAATTTAAAAACTCTCACAGTGAAACGAAAGACGAAGTATGACGCGGTCACATTTAGCTTAGAGTAGAACATAATCTCAAACCAGAGAGTGCACACATTTATATGACGTCATTGATTATCGCGTAAACATTCAATACAAAGGCAATTTGGTCTAATCTAAGTGGTTTGCGTGAAGAGTTTCTTTCATACAATTCTTCGGGTAGGGGCGAAGCCCCACCCCCGCGTAAGAGCGTCTGAGCCCCCCCCCTCCCCAACTCAAAAGAAATTTCCTCATCGATACTCTATAATAAAATTACCGCCTTATTAATGTGTCTAATCTAAAAAGTGGTTTTCTTGCAATGGGACGGTAGACATGTTTTTTTTTTTGGGGGGGGGGGGGGGTGGAGGGGTGGGGTGTGTGTAGGGGGGGGGGGGGTGGGGGGGGGGTGGGGGGATGGGGGGTGGTGTGTGGGGGGTGGGTTGGTTTCAGTGTTTCTTTCAGACTTTTTCCTCCCCGGAGAGGGGTGGGGGGTACTTGAAATTTTCGGGGGCGGCGGTACAATTTTCTTGGAGGGGGCGGACACTGGAAAAAGTATATAATTATATTTCGTTGAATGGGACGGTAGACATGTTTTTTTGGGGGGGGGGGGGGTGGTGGAGGGGTGGGGGGGATGGTGTGTGTGGGGGGGGGGGGTCGGGGGGGGTGTGGGGGGGTGGGTTGGTTTCAGTGTTTCTTTCAGACTTTTTCCTCCCCGGAGAGGGGTGGGGGTACTTGAAATTTTCGGGGGCGGGGGGTAGAATTTTCTGGGAGGGGGCGGACACTGGAAAAAGTATATAATTATATTTCGTTGAATGGGACGGTAGACATGTTTTTTTTTGGGGGGGGGGTGGGGGGTGGGGGGCGGTGTGTGGAGGGGGTGGTGTGTGGGGGTGAGGGGTGGGGGTGGGGGTGGTGTGTGGTGGGGGGTGGGGGTGGGGTGGTGTGTGGGGTGGGGGGGTGGGGTGTGGGTGGTGTGTGGGGGGGTGGGTTGGTTTTAGTTTAGAGAAAAGAGACAGCACTATCAGCCTAGCGCCCGTTGTACCCTTCCTCAACGGGCCATTTTTCTCGTATATAAATAAACACTTAATATGTCATAGGTATACATTGAATAGAATAGTTACATTTTAATTTTTCGCATAATTTTTAATGTTATTATTATTATTGTATCATGTTGTATTATGTTACAAATACAATGTCTACCTGTCGAACCGAACATACATACGTACATACATATATACGTAATTATAGATACAGAGCAGGATTTACCCTTCTGATTTGACTCAGCCTCCAGTTTGTCTAGAACAGCTTGGGTCATGTTGCTGCCGGCCAGTTGGAAAGCGTAAGACGCCATGGCGAGAACGTAGAGATCATCCAACTTGGCAACTTCCTGTTCAGCGTAGGCTAGGGCTTTTTGTATGGCCTCGTCAACATGACTTAAAAGATGCTGTTTTTAGAATTAGTTACTGGGATATTGTGGTTTTCTAATATGGTCTTAAATATTGTGGGTATTTAATCGCAACTTATAAGAATAAAGGGCTTTTGATTAAGATTGTATGAGATAATGTGGGCTTTTGAAAAAGTCAGTCAGAGACATCAATGTATGAGATAGATGAGATTTCTTTGAAATTTCTGATAAATGTTTTCGTACATATAACAAACCAATTATTTTTCATGTTTATTTGAAAGCGAGCCTGGAATCTACGCACTCTGTCTAAACTATAACGACATAGCGTGTTGTGAGTTAGAACTAAGACTTAATATATAAAATATTTTAAATATAAACTGTTAACTGTGATTGTTGACACGTCATGTCCCACCTTATGTTATGATAGTTTCAGAGGATACTTTGCTGTGATTTGAATATCTCGGCTAGCCATATTCAAAATTACCATTTAGCTAAATAATGTAAACGTTAACCCCTGTCCTAAAAACGCGTTAGTTAACCATACAAATATAAAATGTAATATAAAGAAATATAACATTAACCCTCGACCTACCGTGTCCGGTTGATCCTTACGGTTCTCCAGTAGGGAGATCAACACAAACAAGGATAACCCGACCCCTGACCCTGCTTGACCCTGGAATAAAAATAAAATTAGTCTCAAACTTTTGTGATTGCTTTTCCATGAACTAGTCTAAATGTAACTAAGTTGACATTGTAACAAGAAAAGTCCTCAGTAAACGGCACAGAAAATTGTACAATAGGTTGGGTGACCTGCAGTGTTTCTTTCAGACATTTTTTCTTCGGGGGGGGGGGGGGAGGGGGGGGGGGGGAAAGGCACTTGCAATTTTCGAGGGGGTTGGTCAAAATTTTCCAAGTGGAAGGGTATTTGTTGTTATGAGAGGGGGGGGGGGGGGAAGGGGGCGTCAATCCTCAATCCCGAAGATATGCCTTAAAGTAACTCTACTGACCTGAATATTTTTGTCGTAAATGTATCCAGTTTCCGGAAAGCTGCCGTCCGTATTTTGTTGCTGTATCATCCACCAGATGGCCTCGCGGATAATGTTGTCATCCACAAAGATGTGACGTTTAGCCTGGTGGAAGACGCGGGCTACAAAAGCTGTCAGCCTGTAAAGAAACAAAGTATCAAATAATACCTTAATCGTCACTAATCTCTCTGTGAAAACTTTTCCAAGATAAGTATAATTTTATTGGATGTAATCTACAAATATAAGACTCCAATACCTTTTTTTCAATGACCTCTAAACTTACCACATGCTTTAAATATTGCACATAAACTTTGTACTTAAACGTTCAAGAAATATTTCACAAAAACCTACCACATGGATCCTGATTTGTCACTGTTGCCAAAAACACTGAACGAGCCGTCACTGTGTTTGTAGGTCAGCTCTCTCTGGTAACCTGCAAAATGCCACCATTATAAATCATATTAAAATAATTACATAACTATGTGAAGATTGCGGTTTTATATTATGCTTGATAAATTGAAAGACATAGATAAATACCATATTATTCATAGGAAAATGTAAAAATTTCATCGTACCATTCTCCATAAAATTGATAGCTTTAGACTTGACGTCTCCATTCAGTTGATTTACAGACGTGAGGTAGTCTGTGACGTAGACATCCGGTGCCAGATTGACCATGTTTTGTTCCCCACATCCGTAAGGCATCTGGAGCAGGGAGTCCAGCTTAGCGATGGTTGGACCCATCAGGTCACCTATGTGACAGTACAACGTATTGGGATGTAGGGTTGCTTTCTTGATGAAAAACTACAGTATCTGAGAGAAATGTCTATACGCTGTCGTTGCCTCTACATTCTCTTCCATATGATTTTATTCTGACAATTTCGTGCACCCACATACCTAAGCCATTAAAGAGCTAACTGCGAACAGCTACGATCACTGAATACTACTATCTACGAGCAGGTACAATCACTAAATACCCCTATCTACGAACAGCTACCATCACTGAATTCCTCAAACTACGAACAGCTACTATCACATAATACCCCCAACTACGAACAACTATGATCACTGAATGCCCCTTATTACGAGCAGGTACGATCACTAAATACCCCTAACTACGATCAATAAAAATCCTGCCTAAACCTATGGTTGTTACTGCCACTACATGTCGAGAACTAACAAATCCATTTTAAACCTTACAACAACGCCTCTGACTACCACTACTAACCGACAACAAAGATTACATCACCCCCCCTCCGCCCCACCCAACAATGCCTCTGACTAACACTTCTAACAGAAAAACAGAGATTAATGTCATCCTCCCCCCCCCCCCCCCCCCCCCAATACGCCTCTGGCTACAAAAACCTACCGACAGCCGAAATTCTAACAAGCTCTGATCCTTTCACTACGTTGTCAGGCAGAGTGAGGTCAATGGTCTTTGAGAAAGTTTTTTTGCTGTCTGTCAGGTCGATGAGGACGGGGATGTTGTATTGGTTGGGGACTCCTTCAGCCTGTGGTTATACCAGCTCAATGAGTTAAGGTACATACTGCTGTACTACATTACCCTCGCGTTAATGCTGTGTCAGATCATCAATCCGACTACTTTTACCTCCGACATCAAGACACTCCCCCCCCCCCCCCTCACACACACATATATTCCTTAAATTACTCCCTTGGACGACATGAAAGTGTGAACTGTTAGATTATTCATCCGAATTCTTCCCCGGATTACCTGCGTTTCTGGGACAACCCAGCACCAAGAACGTTAACCCCAACATACCTCAACAAGGAGTTGTCTGCGCACAGCGTCAGCGGCCTTGGTGGATTGGGCCTTGACCTCCACGTCAACTCTACCAAGGTCATCAGGGACGATGGGGAAATACACAGATTCGGCCTCACCAGCCTTGACCTTTTAAAGTAAATATTTCTTAAAACTGTTTTTAGTTCATGAAATCAAAAGGATTTAATCTTTTGATAATTTTCCAGAAATATGAGTAATAGTAAAAATGCGCAATCGAAAACTTCGCAAACAGAAACAAACTACACTAATACACTTTAGTTTTGTCCTATTTCGTAGAAATATATTTTATTATGCTACAATGTACATGTAGTCAATCTGTGCTGACGTCTACAAATGATCATTTAAAATAAAATACATTCCCTTACGCACATTTTTGAGCGCAGTTTTCCATTGTGGATCTATCTGGTTAGTAATTGACTAGAAAGAAAAATAAAACCCAACTCACCATAACCTCATGTACAACATCAACCTGTTTCTGCTCCTGGTTTCCTGTTTCGTCGATAAAAATGTTGTGGAAACGTTTAGACTCGGCCAAAGTCACCCGTACCTGCAGTTTGATTAAAAAAGAGAATTTGTACGACTATTATGTAATTGCAAGTAGTTGTTTCAATATACTGGCAAAATATAAATAAATATATAACGAAATAGATGTTTTACATAACTTCTATTCCCACCTGCATATCGTCTGGCTGGTAGTTGAAGACGTTTGCTTGAAGTGCCAGATGCTCACCACGAGTCACAGAGTAGGGGAGGTTGAGGCTGACAAAAAACGGTCGGAAGACTTTCAGCTGGAACAGATTAAAAAGCAAATATATTAAGAAAACACGTTTTAAGAGAATCAAGTATTTAAAGATAGATTATATTACAAATACTAGATTTCAAATACTTGTGAATTTGTAAACTAAACGACTATTTTATCTCTTTTATACGTAGTGTAGTCATCAACACTAAGTTTTGAGCAACTTTCTCTATTAGACTATCGTATTAACTTAATTTTCTTTTAGCCATCTTTTTAGAGTTTTCGTCTTTCGTTGGCAGGCTAATTCAGGATGTGATTGTACTGTGATAGGCTAGCTCAGGATGTGATTGTACTGTGATAGGGTAGCTCAGGATGTGATTGTACTGTGACAGGCTAGCTCAGGATGTAATTGTACTGTGATAGGGTAGCTTAGGGTATGCTTGAAGTTAACAGTCTACCTTTGCGGAAAGTGTGTGTGCATCCTACCTCCGTGTGTAAGTGCAAGAGAGGTGTAGTCGGCACGCTAATTACGGCTGCAAGTGTAGTGAGAAGTTATCTCTTCGGGGGGGGGGGGGGGGGGTCGTGCCCCCCCCCCCCCCCCTCCGACCCCCCCCCCCCCGCCCACCCGAAAATGTCATTGCCGCCCTGGAGAAAAAAGTCTGGAAGAAACATTGATTGTAGGTATAGCTTACACTTATGCGTGTTATAATAGTTAAACGTATGAGCTTTGCCTTCATTACTTTAGTGTCTTCTTGTTATTGTTTTACGTGATCGGGATCCTGTATAGAATATTGAGCTCAAACCTAGTCAGTTTGATGAGTTCTCGAATCAGGTTGGCGTAGCTATTTATAGACTTACGTAAGAATGTGTTGGGGCCATTCCCAGACCAGATTTTGAGTTGATGGCGAAGGCGCTGACCACCCATGACGTAATAGTGTCTGGTACCGTGGTTGTGATGGAGGCGGAGCCCATTGATCTAAAAAGTAAAAGCATTACTGAGTACATTAAAATGTATTTTTAAATTAACTTATCTCTCGGTTTTGGTGGTTAAACTATAAATATTTAGGAGGAAATAAAGAGTTTAAAAATAATGGACACAAGTCTAAATATATAAGGAACAAGTGAATACTTATGTAGGAAATATGTTACGGTTATTATCTTTAGAATCATGTAAAGCGTAATGAGAGAAAAAAAGGGAGGGGGGGGAGTGGGGAGTTATAGGGGGGGGGGGTGTTCTTAGAACATATCTCTAATGGCAATCAAGGGATATATTTTTTATCCTTGGTGTAATTATAGAAATGCAACTCATATCACCAGGATTTACAGCACATGATGTGTGTTTAGCAATTTTAAGGCATACAATTATTTAACAAAACTTGACAGCCAACAGGTTAACGACAAACAATTGCACTACACACATTACATTTTACCCGACGTAAACATCAGTCCAGAGCCAAGACTCAGGGAATATCTGCCTGACACGTACAGGTTCTTGAAACTTTACAGCCTTTCCTGCCGTCTGGTAATATGGACCCTGGGGCTCACCAGGATGGGCCACATACGCTTATAATTTTAAAAATTAACATACTTGAATAATATGTATAAATTATTTTAACCAATGTCTAAATGAAAATGGAAATGTATACATGTCCCAAGTGTCAATTTGTGTGTTAGTGTGTGTATGTGTTTATCTCTGTGTGTGTGTGTGATCGAGATTGATAATTGATAATTAAGAATTGATAATTGATAATTGATAATTAATAATTGATAATTGATAATTGATAATTGATAATTGATAATTGATAATTGATAATTGATAATTGATAATTGATAATTGATAATTGATAATTGATAATTGATAATTGATAATTGATAATTGATAATTGATAATTGATAATTGATAATTGATAATTGATAATTGATAATTGATAATTGATAATTGATAATTGATAATTGATAATTGATAATTGATAATTGATAATTGATAATTGATAATTGATAATTGATAATTGATAATTGATAATTGATAATTGATAATTGATAATTGATAATTGATAATTGATAATTGATAATTGATAATTGATAATTGATAATTGATAATTGATAATTGATAATTGATAATTGATAATTGATAATTGATAATTGATAATTGATAATTGATAATTGATAATTGATAATTGATAATTGATAATTGATAATTGATAATTGATAATTGATAATTGATAATTGATAATTGATAATTGATAATTGATAATTGATAATTGATAATTGATAATTGATAATTGATAATTGATAATTGATAATTGATAATTGATAATTGATAATTGATAATTGATAATTGATAATTGATAATTGATAATTGATAATTGATAATTGATAATTGATAATTGATAATTGATAATTGATAATTGATAATTGATAATTGAGAATTGAGAATTGAGAATTGAGAATTGAGAATTGAGAATTGAGAATTGAGAACTGAGAACTGAGAACTGAGAACTGAGAACTGAGAACTGAGAACTGAGAACTGAGAACTGAGAACTGAGAACTGAGAACTGAGAACTGAGAACTGAGAACTGAGAACTGAGAACTGAGAACTGAGAACTGAGAACTGAGAACTGAGAACTGAGAACTGAGAACTGAGAACTGAGAACTGAGAACTGAGAACTGAGAACTGAGAATTGAGAATTGAGAATTGAGAATTGAGAATTGAGAATTGAGAATTGAGAATTGAGAATTGAGAATTGAGAATTGAGAATTGAGAATTGAGAATTGAGAATTGAGAATTGAGAATTGAGAATTGAGAATTGAGAATTGAGAATTGAGAATTGAGAATTGAGAATTGAGAATTGAGAATTGAGAATTGAGAATTGAGAATTGAGAATTGAGAATTGAGAATTGAGAATTGAGAATTGAGAATTGAGAATTGAGAATTGAGAATTGAGAATTGAGAATTGAGAATTGATAATTGAGAATTGAGAATTGAGAATTGAGAATTGAGAATTGAGAATTGAGAATTGAGAATTGAGAATTGAGAATTGAGAATTGAGAATTGAGAATTGAGAATTGAGAATTGAGAATTGAGAATTGAGAATTGAGAATTGAGAATTGAGAATTGAGAATTGAGAATTGAGAATTGAGAATTGAGAATTGAGAATTGAGAATTGAGAATTGAGAATTGAGAATTGAGAATTGAGAATTGAGAATTGAGAATTGAGAATTGAGAATTGAGGATTGAGGATTGAGGATTGAGGATTGAGGATTGAGGATTGAGAATTGAGAATTGAGAATTGAGAATTGAGAATTGAGAATTTAGAATTAGAATAAGCGCGCATGAGAGTCTTGAATAAGTTTAAATAAAACCCACCATTCACACGACGTGGTTTTCTCACTGGTTCAAGGATCGGGTACTCGTTATCTCATGGATATTATTCAGATATATATATATATATATATATATATATATATATATATATATATATATATATATATATATATATATATATATATATATATATGTACGGTCAAACCCGAAGTCGGCCAAAGCACGCATTGGCCAATATCGCCTCCCATTGACCGGCCAAAGTCCGAAAATTTACTTGATTTCGGCCTTTAACCGGCCTATCCGCGGACTGGCCATGATGGACCGGTCAAAGTCTAAAATGGTTCTTGCTTTGGCCGCACTTTGGGCTTTGACCGTAACACAGATATATATATATATATATATATATATTATAAGAGTTTGTGTATGTGTTGTTGTATGCGTTTGTGCGTTAATTTATATTCGTTTAAGTGCTAATAACTGTCAGTATTAATGTTGACATTTGTTCACATTTTCTGAAACCAACCGTTACTCTCGGGCAACACAGCATCAGTTAAAACAACAAGCCCAGCATTCTGTGGAACATTTTAAGCAAACACTTGCAACTATGCAAAGCAGGTGTTTATGTTTTTTTTTGTTAGTCATACTATAAGATGTCTTGTCACTTATAAATATGGTGTTATACGTTCGGTTTGAATAAAATTATAAAAATAAATAAAACACAAGCAATAATCACCTTGAAAACATTTTAAACTATATTTTTAACGTCTTAAATTTATTTTTAAAAATATAATAATGGGAAAATAAAGTTTTAAACAACATTTTTTTTTCTCTCTTCCTCATCGCCATCATATACATAGCCTTTTGACCCCCGAATGAATCTCTGTTCTAAGACCCATATTTCCATCAGTACTTTTTTGACTTCTGTGACGCCCAATCGGGAAAGGGGGGGGGGGGGGGAAGAATCATATAAAAATTTCAGATTGCAAAATGGGGGGGGGGGGGGGAATGTTAGCTTAGTGGCGACTTTCTCAAATAAAACCTAACACTCACATACTAACAAAAATAACAACCAATATATTTACATTTTAATTTTCAAAAAACTCCAAGTTAATTTATTAGATACCCTAGCTGTGTCATTAAATTTAATTTAAATGTTCTACACATAGTGTAGACATTTGGATCTAGCGATACCGACACAATGGCCTAAACAAAAAAATACCTATGCAAACATCTAAACAATGGTGACTTAAAGGAATATATATATATATATATATATATATATATATATATATATATATATATATATATTCTTACCTCCAGGATTTTCCGTGCGTCGTTATGAACATAATATTTTGGATAACCTTGACTGGCGTATTCCATGAGATCTGAGTGGATCTGTATTACAGATATATCCATTACTGCACTTTTTAGAAAACATTTTACAGGTAATCAACAAAATCAATGAAAAAAATAAAGCAGGTGTAGCAGACCATTGCACACACACACCGAACAAACTCTAGATCTACTTATATAAATGCCAGCAGAACCCATCAAATGTTGAATGATATGTAGGGCCTACTGAATCGCATATATATTATAAACCTAATATGTTAAGAATTTCATAAATAAGCAAACAACTAAATCAATTACAAACCTGCGTGAACACCACACCGCACTACTGGATGCACACTACAGAACACATATCCCCGTCCTTCCTTATATCCATCTCCATATCCTCAACCCTATTACTAACCAAAAATTATGTTTATCCTTATCCTTCACCTGATCCCAATTTTTTATCGTAACAAATACTATCATCAGCATTACTACCATCGTTTTCAAAAATAGCTTAAATCTCGTTATTTGATAGGTCTATTTTACAATTTTATAACCTGATAATTTTTAGAAATTTTTTTAGCGTAGTTATATATATATATATATTATATATATATATATATGTATATATATATATGTATGTATATATATATATATATATATATATATATATATATATATATATATATATATATATATATATATATATATATATATAATTTATTCACATCATTAGCAGTGACGTCGTTTCCACTTTTCAGTAACAAGACGCTCTGGTCAATAGCCAATAAATGGACGTTGGAGTCTGGATCAGCAGTGGTTACGACAGTAACATCATCTCCTGGTTCAACATCAGTCTTGTCCAAGTCAACGGTCACCTGTTTAAAATAGAATTATGTCATATGCTGCTCATTAAGTTACATTACGATCGCCTGTTGTAAAAAGAATTGCGAGTTTTTATTCCCTGCACTCAGTACTTAACGTTAGAGGTAAGATCAAACTGAGCATCGATACCTTGTTTTTGAAAGCGCCGATGACGTCGAAGCTGATACTGTCTGCGACAACTTCACCGTCTGGTCGGACGTAGTAGACGACCATTCTCGCAGATGGCGCCATGCTGGGCTCAGAGACTATGGAGAAATTGACGCTTTTCTGGTTGTTGCCATTTATTGTTCCAGATTTTTCTATGCAGCCTCGAGACAGAACCTGTCGTTAAATGTTGAGTAGAAATATCACATTTGTTACGATTTAATACATTTTGTTTGATCAATATCGAGTAATCTTTATTGAAAATCTAATTATGTCTCTGTACCTGGTAAACAAGTTTAGACAACTCTTCAGTACCGTTGATGGAAAATACGATTGTGTCCCCTGCCTTGAAGAATGTTCAAAACAAAAAATTATATTTTTACACAAACTCTGTAGTTCATCAGATGTATGTGATGAATGTGTGTGGCGGTGTGGTGTGTGAAAGCGGTGGACGTATTTAATATTGTGAATTCATAGTTGTCAATACCTTTTAGAAAGAACAGTGTGTTAGTTATTATGAAGTTTATATTATTGTTAACAAAACACTACTGGTTTACGTTACACTTACGGAGCACTAATATTCTTGTTATAACAGAAAGATTTGTTTGTGTTTTTTACCTTTAAAGAGGAAGATCTCATGCTGATTTGGAGATACGAACTACTTGGGGAGTGGCTCTTTTTTAGATGCTTAGTTTCGGTCGCTCCCCGGAAGTGTGACTAAGATTGGAATAGATGGACGCAAGTTATCATTGTCAGATACCTAAAGCAAATTTTCATCATTCCCCATTACAGAAACAAAATTACAATGAAATAAACCGGGAGTGATCTCCCCTAAACTTTCTCGAATATTCTAATATAACACTATGGGGGATGGCAACTCGGGATCTAGACTTCTAGACATAATTTTTAATCCATCTTAATTACTCAAATTTTTAAAAATAAAATATAATCTCGTAGAAAAAAGAAATGCACACCAAGTGAACGCTAAATAAAGATGTGCATAATAGTGCGCAATCTTATAAGTACTTTATAAATTTACATGCGTTTTTTGAGAAATCGGAAATAGCGTAAATAAGTACTTCCGGTCAACGGAAATTAATCAAAATTTAACAGAAGGTAGAGAATTAGATCGTTTACTCACATATCAAATTTCGTTTATCTATCTGAAATAGTACTCAAGTTATAGGCTTTTGAAAATTCAAAGTAGAAAAAGTACCACTTTCGGTTATCGGAAATCGCTCAAAAGTTGATACGGATCTACGATTTTGATAATATACTTATATATGAAATTTCATCAACCTAGCTGTAACGGTACTCAAGTTATCGTGTTTACACACGGACACACACACACACACACACACACACACAGACAGACACAGACATACGGACACGATTGCAAAATTATGTTTTTCCGTATCAGTGAGATGTAAAACGTCGAGATTTGCAAAAATCTCGATTTCTTTTTTGCTTGATTACAAGACTTTCTCTGTACTTCGTATATACGAGAAAGTAAAAACAAGGTGAAATTTTTTACCCCTTGATAAAAAAATCGAACCTTGAGTACACACAGAAGCAAGCCTAAAGAAGAGAAAATAAACCTATTCAATTCCTTAAAACACGTCACTTACTGTAATAATGACCATCTCAGCGTCAGGCGGTATCTCTACTAGTATGGGGACAAACCCCAAATTGATAGGGATGTTTAGGGTCTGGTTATCAATGGGCTCGCCGGAAGAACGGAAGTAGCTCCAGCTATAGTTGTAGACTTGGATGTTGACTGTGACGCTCTCATTCGCTGAACTAATTGGACGTCCGTCGGGCTCGGATATTTGTAGCTGTAAATTGAGAAAATTAAAATTCGTGAAAAAAGAGGTGTAAATAATTTGATAAATGTAAGACAGTGGTAACCCGAGAGTCTGGAACGTCCCTGAGTCCACCCAGCTCTGATGGGTATCTTACGTTAAGGAAACAAAGGCGGCTGGGCATAGTGCCGACCACACTATCCCTTCATATGCCGAGTTCTCTGAAGCTGATGAACTCTACTTCGTCTGCCTCGTGTGTCTCGGGCACGAACGGGATTAAAAAGATTAGTTAATGTAAGGTAGGTTTAAAGTTATCTGTTGGATATGGATTGTAGGTTTCAGCTAATTTAATCTGTTTACTGTTCTTTCACCTGAGATGTAAAGTACTTACACAAGCGATTATACTATTAGGTACTTCCATAGTCACTTGAATGCTCAAGTACTACCGTAAACATTTTCTCTAGGTTTCACACTTACTGAACAGGTACTCAGGTTTAAAGTTACTACCTGTGCTAATATGTAATTCGTGTAAATCGATGCACTACAAATACTCACATAGCCAGTATACTGTAAAGTACATACAGAATCAATGTATTGTAAAGTACTTACATAGCCAATGTACTGTAAAGTACTTACATAAGCATTGTACTGTAGACCAGGCTTGAAGGTCTTGGAGTTGTTCTCCAGGTACTCAAGTATCACACCATATTCGTACATGGTGACTGTTCCACTGCCGGCCATCTGGTTTCCGGTCAAAGACTCGGTCACGTTGGCGTTAACGAGAAGGCTGAGTCTATTCAATCGGTTGTCCTTTTCCGTGACCTTTGACATGGGTACTAACACTCTTGTTTCTCCATCAATCTGAAAATTTAAAAAACAAATTATTTTTTTCATATATGCATTTTTTAATGTTTAATTTTTATCCGCAAGTTGACTTGAAATTTCTGAGAATAAAAGTCTCTATGCTTTCTTAGATAAATTATAATTTGCAGCATCTTTGATTAAAATTATCACCATGAATTAAACCTCACAACTTACGATATTATACGTTTACTATATCAAAGATATTTCAATTTTATGTGGAATTTCAGTAGTTCGCTATTTTAAGAATTATATACTTTGATTTAGGTTTTGAAATTATTGGAAATATGTACGTATTATGTAACATTTAATGGGAACTGGTGGCTAATTTGATAAAGAATATATTATTTCTTACACTTACTTTAATTTTTTTTTTAATTTCTCATGCAAGTAAATGTTTGACGTAGCAATTGTTTGTAGTGTAAAAGTAAAAATCTCTGGACCTTACATAATTTGATTCCGATAATTTATTTTTCAAATATTTTAATTGTATCCCTGTGTATTTGTTCTCATATAGAGAAAAGACTCGAAGTTATAAGTGTAAGATAAAAAACGATGCCATGTTGGAAACGTACGTAACGTGATGCAGTATTTGTTTCGGAAATTTCGTGTTTTATAATAAGTACTCATTACATATACTTTTTATGGCGGGATTTAGGATTTCATTTCAACCTGTTTTACATTTAGGAGAATAGATTAGCTTATAGTATCAGTTTCAAATTATGACTATGATTAATTGTTAGGGTATGCGTTTTAGCTAATGACTGCTTATTTTCAAAATACCATAAAAGTTGTAAGACAAAATGTGATATTCCAAAATGGTATGGAATGTGTAGAATATTTTTATAAACATATTAACTGTAAAGGTTTCTGGGGTTTTTTTTTATTGTTCTTTAAACGCACATAATTGTTTGAGATAAAAATGAAATTGAGACACGGCTATATATTGCTGGAGCAACGCCTAGCCGATACGGCTAGTTGTATATATAATTGCGTCGTCTCCATTTTTAATAAGACTATTTGGGTGAATATAAGTTGTTTAAGTTTTAGTATTACTTCTTTCTTCTGAGGTAGCTGCTTACAGTTAAAATTGTAACTTATGGTTTGTACGGTTGCTATAATAGTTTTGAAGAAATTGCTAGAGTATATAAGATAAAATTAATTTACGTTAAACAGTTTTAGAAGCATTGTTTTGTTAAATTGTTATTCACTAAACAGGTTCCAGTCTTTGTCAACAGCTGATCTTTCAGACCCCTTTACTCTTACAAAACTGGTTAATCTCCCCTAACATTTATTAATGTGTGCACCAACCACCTACCGGGGCAGTCACCGAGTACACGGTCCTCGGCGTCCAGTAGTCCTGTAAAATGACTTGGACATTCAAGTTACCTTTTACAGGTTTACCGTAGGTGTATCTACATGGTACAAAATTATATACATGTATATATATATATATATGTATATATATATATATATATATGTGTGTGTGTGTGTGTATGTGTGTGTGTATAAAAGTATGTGAGCGTATTTTGGAATGTTGTTATACTTTACTACACCATTTATCCAATCGCCATGAAACATTGAGAAGTTGATGTTTTAGAAAAAAAATATGTCAAGCATCTAAAAATACACGAATTTTAACGCATTGTTGAAGTCTTCTGTATTTAGTGCGTCAACCTTTCTGATGAGGCCGCAGCAATGCGCGGTACGGGTATATATTTTGAAGGTGTCTTTACCTGTTTCTCTTACAAAAAATAAGGGTTTTGGTGACGTTTCCAGAGGAATCGGGCTCACAGATTCTTTCAGGCTTCTCTTGAAGGGGAAACATGTCTACCGCCCACTCCCCCGAACGAAGTGTAATTTATTTAAAATATTTATACTTATAACAGTGTACACCTGCTCCTAAACTTTTAAGTGCGCTCCCAAAGAAACATGTCTAAAAGAAACACTAATTGAGCTATTGAGAAATGGTAGGTAAATTTGTGAGAAACAATTTCAAAGCCTATAGAATGTTTCTTTATGAGAATATTATTTTTAATTGAAATTATTTTTTGAGAAACCGAAAATAGCGTAACAAACCACATAAAGTTACCCGATAGCGTAAAATCCGGATACAAACATACATATAGGATCTGTAATGTATTCATCAAATTTTGTCCATCTAACTTAAAACGTCATCGAGTTATCGTGTAGACACACATACACAAATACACACGTACACAAGGACGCGATATAATACTGGGGTGTTTTCACAAGATTACAACACTTCCCCATACGTGAAATTAAAAACTGGGCGAAAAACATGCTAATTACCCTAGGTAATAAAACTTCCTGTACTCATTTAAAATTTGCTGCTAAGGGAAGTATGACGAAAATTTAACTTTCTTTCTAACATAAATAAAATAAAATCAACTTACTTTGCCTTAACAGTAAATGTGACGTCGGAATCGCTGATCAAAACGTAAGGTGGCATGATGACCTCGACTTCGAACAAGGGTAGAACTAAAAAAAATTATTTCCATTTACTTAATTAATTTTTTTCAGCATGTGTCACAAAAATTCAGGACATTGATAAAGCCGTTTTACTGCTGGTTTTAGTAACAATATAAACTTACACAAAGTAACTATATTATTCAATAGGGCTGGTAAGTTGGTCACCAACCAGTTCTATGGCTCATGCAGGTTTTATTGAGCCGTAGAACTGGTTGGTTACCTACTCACCAGCCCTATTAACGACCGCTAAGCCAAACATAAAAATAAAGTGCTTTTTCGACGTCGTAGCTTATATTTATGCAATGCAGTTTAAAAACTAGGAAGGAACAAAGATGTGTTGTGTAACGTGTTGACTAGTAATTCGAATATTTAAAGCCTGGTTGATAGACTGGGTCTGCTATATTAGTATGAAATTTCGCTTAGTTTAAAAAGATTGAACAATAAATTATACACTAAATCTTAATACTTGAACAGAACAATAAATGAAGACACTCATACAGACAAATATTACTATGAGATACAAGTATGTAGGACATCAAAGATTGTAATTGAGGGGACTGAATAAAAACATCAACTGCTCTTGTTTAGTCAGATTTTTTAAAAAAAATTACCATACTCAGCAACAGTGAAGGATTTATCTTTTTCGCTGTCCTGAAAACAAAAAAGAAAACCTGTTCTATCAGGATTTAGTTTATCGAAATATTTAATTTGACAACGTTGATTATCTCATAGACTATATTTCTACTGAACGCTGTTTCACCATATAGATTAAGAACTAATAATGTTTGTATTTTGTATGTAGAAAAGACTGTCCGTCAAATATACTAGGATCCTGGAATGGGTATATAAATATAATATGAAACTAGACATTGAAAATACGTTACCCCAGTTTCCACGACCACTGTCCAGTCCCCTAGAACTGGCTGGGATGAGAGGGTCAACTCCTGGGCGATGACCCCTTTCACTGGAGTGAACTTGACCCATTGTTTGATCTTGTTGTACTGTGCATCCTGGCTCCAAAAAAAACATTTTTGTTAAGTCCAGCTATTCTTATAGGAGGAAACACTCATTCGCCTATTTGTCTATTGAAACAAATTCGCATGACTGTAGCGAGATACATTACTTACATAAATAGAAATGTTCATTGCTCCCTTGTAGGACTGGAGATTAGAATTTACGCCGAAAATTCTAAATTTTACTGGAAAGAATAGATTTAGCTAGCTTAAAATTGAGTACCGTCTAAACATTGTAATGGGAGGTGTCAATGACATCAAATAATGCGTCCAAAAACTAAAGCATAATTTGTATTTAAAATAACAGAAACATGGATACTAAATAAAGAAAATGTGTTTAATGGAGCTACATAAACTTCTAACTTCCTGCACCACTATGATTAAAGATGGCCTTATAAAAACTTCTTCCTACCTGTATCACTAGGCTTAAAGATGGCCTTATATAAACGTCGACCTACCTGAATCACTAGTCTTAAAGATGGCCTTATATAAACGTCTACCTACCTGTATCACTAGGCTTAAAGATGGCCTTATTCAGCTGTATAAACAACGAAGCCTTTTTGCTGTTGTAGCTGAGACTCTTAGAGTTGTCAAACACCAAACCACCGCTGCCAACGACTTTAATATAATATTTGCTTTCAGTAAGGTCAGGCGGCAACTGTGGAAACGTGTGAGTATTTGATGGAATATAACAAACGAATCGCTATGTAAAGAAAGGTGCAGGAAACGACAAGAAACGCTTGTCTGTGAAATGGTAGAAAAAGCGAAGGAAGCCGCACGAAAAATAAAGCTTAAAATCTTTTATGAAATTAAAAGAAACTTGTCCGGCTAGAATACAAACCCGAGTAGGCCTGTAAAGGACGAAAATGGGAAAACTATAACAAGTGATGTAGAACAGAGAGACCGCTGGGTCCAAAACTTTGGGATGTTAAGTAGATCGCCCCCACCAATTATACCAGACATCAGCGTAAGAACTGCTACAAAAGAATACCTGAAGCCATTAAAGTGATAAAGAAAATTAAGAAGGGTAAGTCAACTGGACCATATAGAATCCAAGAAGAGACACTTAAAACAGACCCATCTTTAACAGCAGAAATGTTGCAACCACTCCTGTTGAAGATATGGAAACAGAACAAATACCTGCACATTGGAAACTGGGATATTCAGTGGTTCTTCCAAAGAAAGGTAACCTTTTTTAATTTTTAATGCATCAATTGAAGAGGAATTATGCTGTTCTCTTTCCCTAGCTTCGTATGAGAATTTTATTTGTGAGGCTGAAGGAGGCCTTGGATAAAAAATTAAGAACGAAAATAGGCAGTTTTCGTCAGAACGTAACATGTACTGACCACATAGCCCCTGGTTATATTTATAGAACAGTCAGTTGAATGGTTATTCCCTCTCTACGTAATATGCAATAAATTACAATAAACTACGATACTGTACCAAAGTTGAACTATGAAGTAAAATTGGATAGAGGAAAGTAGGTACGACAAAACAAACGCGGAAAAGATCATTTGTGAATGAAGCAACAGCAGCCGGATTTTCTTGGGCCAAACTGGGAGAAAACGATCAAAACTGTATATGATGGAAGATGCTTAACAGAGTCCAAATGAATGAAGATGATGATAACATATATTTATATGATTACATGATTTAGTTTTGTTCAGGCTATAAATAATCAAACTATGTATTCCAAAAAAAATCCATGGAAGAGTTCAAATGAGATTTGGTGCTCAGAAAGTACTAAAGAGAAACAGTGTATATTTTAGTAATTTGTAAACAATAAAAAGCAAGGCTTACTTTTATGGTGATTGTACCCGGATTTCCTGTGAGAAAAAAAAACACACACTATTTTAATTAAATTATTTTTAAAAAATTAATCTAATTTTATGCTAGAGCTGTAACAGGGGATTGTTTTTTGAAGAAATAGAACAAACAATTTATAATATACAAGACTAGGTCATGTGGACTTTTAATAGGAGATTACCGAAATGAAGCTCAAAGTATTGGTGTAAATTTTTTTTTGTATTGCACCTGTGCTGTGGTAAAGTGATCGTTACGTTGCTACGGAGCAAAATATTTACCGTAAGAGATAATTGTGAGGAGGGGTGGATTTGAACAAACATAAAGGTTGTTTTAAATTTAGAATTGTCAATCTGACACTGAGGGATACATTAGGGTGACATGTTGGATTTGGTATATGCTAATCGATTAGTGGTCTCATAGTCAAACTATTACGGTTAAGTTCTTGGCATTGAAAAACTTGCGACATTTCATTAAAATAACACACACCTTAGGTGTTTTCAATAAAACGATTTAACTATTTTAAGTCGAAATGTAAAAAATACACAATTTTTTGTCCTTGTCAACAAAAAAGACATAAGTGATAACACAATAGTGACAAAGAGGATACAACAGTAACGACATAATAGATTCCAGAATAATTACAAAGGTAATATAATAATAGTAATAGCAGATTAAATAACAATAAATTCATTGTCATTACAACAGTAACGTAAACAGCTGATATAAAAATACATTTATGTCATTGGTGATACAAAAATAATTACAGAGGAATTGCAACAATAATGTGATCGTGATTGGTACAACAATAATGGAATTGGTGAAACAGCTATATTGACATGGATAATGCAACAATACTGCCAGTGATCATACAACAATAATCACATATATGATGCAATAATAAAGTCAGTGATCATACAACATTAATCACAAAGGTGATGGAACAATAAATTATTGATGTCACAGGCGATACAGCAAGTATGACACATTATTCTAAGAACGAACCGATTTCTCACCTTCTTTAAATACATCCGCACCGCTAGCCACGACAGTGGTTTCCCTTAGAACTTGGGCGGTGACCGTGACGTAACCGGTGGCCTTGAGAATGTTGACGCTGACGGTGAAGTCCATGTTGGGGTGGATCGTTGACGGAGCGAGGATGAGATACGTACTGGAACTTTCGAGAATATATTCTCTTTATTATGTTGCAAAAAAAAACAGTACTGGATTGACTTATAAGCTGAACAAGCTATTCTGATGGGTACCTGGCCCTCTTTAGGGAAAGTAAAGGCGACTGGACATAGTGCTGAATACACTACATCTTCGTTTGCCGAGGTCACAGAAACAAGTGAACTCCCGTCCCATGGACGGTCAGATTTGAAAGGAAACTTTACACTAACCAAGATATAGCTTAGGTCCTCAAACAATTTTGTCCAAGTGAGCATTCGTCATATAAAAATATGTAAATAAGATAAATATATAAATATAAATATGCATATATATATATATATATATATATATATATGTGTGTATATATATAATATATGTATAAAATTTCTTAGTAGATTAGTTTTAGTGTTTAGCCCAGCTTAATGATGTGATATCGGTTCACCAAAGCAGATGTGTTAAAATAGACCACCACATATCACCAGAGGCTCTAAGTATTTCAAATAAAGAGATCTCTGTCTGTGACTTACGGTGTTTTATTTAGATCTAGATCTAGGTGACGATTAGTAAAATCTAGTAATTTTTATTTTAAAATATATTGAGACCTTTCGATTCCCTTTAGAAAGCTACTTACTTTTGAGCACACACGGCTGTGATAGCCACGATGAGAAAGAGAAACAGACGCATCTTGTGAAAACGGGGGAGAGAACAGGACTTTGTTTATAAAGGCTACACAGACAGCAACTGCCAAATATTTTTTAAAATTAATTCGTATGTTTTGATGTCCGCCATCGCCGATCGATGCGTCTCGTTCATCTTTAGTTCTGAATTAGAGGAAATTCCCGATTACACTAATTAAATTGAATTGTTCGCCAAAAGATAAAGCGTCAGTGAGCTCAAATATATTTTACAATCTTTTATTTAACTTGATTCCTCTGTCGTCAGTCTGTCGACAGTCTGTCGCCAAAGATCGAAACGAGCGAGCGAAAATTCAGGCATTTCTGACAGATTCGTTTCAAAGTTGACACGTGGGTTAAAGGTTAAAAAACTGACTGTAACCTGCGCATGCAATCTAATAATTACATATTTAATCCACCTAACTTAAACGGTATTTAAATCCTCGGGTTTAGAGGAACTGGAAGTTTGGTAAGTATTATATTAGGTTACCGAAATTATCTCAAAAGTTGTTAGAAAACTACGAATTGAATAATATACATATACATAAAATTTATTGTGTTCACAGACAAACAGACATACTGGCAAAATGCAAATTACGAAAGATTTTCTCAGTTAGGGAGGTGTGCATCGTTGAGGTTTATTACGATTTTTGCATGATTGCCATACTTCTGCTGCACACCGTATATGAGGAAGCGAGAGGTCTAAACGTTTTTTGCACAATTAAGGTAGTTCAATATATATATATATATATATATATATATATATATATATATATATATATATATATACCCTCGGTATACGAGAAAGTAAAGAAAAAAGATAATAACGCGACATAACAAAAATCATTACAACCGAAACATTGTAATACTAACAAAGACAGTATTTAAAGCTACATTTTATTTGCCATATAGATGTTTTTTTTTTTTGTTTTTTTTTTTGTTTTTTTTTTGCTATAAGAGATGCACAATATCAAATGCTATTTCTGTAAACCACGAAAAGAGAGCTTTGCATTCATCCCATGTTTTCTGTAATATCTGTGAGTAAAAGAAAATAATATTATAATCAGCAGCTAAATCAGCACGTTTATGATCAATGTTTTACAAGCTTTTATTTAGTTCGCACTTCTATTTGTTTATTTGTATATTAGTTTGTTCATTTGTTAGTTGTTTGTTTTGTGGCAAATCTTGTAATTGAACTATGACCCACTTCCAATGCAGCGATTTCTTTCAAACTTTCCAGATATGTTCCAATTTAATGAAACTGAAATTCTATCTATTTATTTTAAAATTTATTTCCATGTTTAATTACTCATTAAAAATTAACTAAACGGGGTCGAAATTAAGGAGTGAAAACAAAATTAAATCACTCTATATATTATTATATTCATTAACAGAAGGGGAGATAACTAACTAGAAGTAATCACCCTAACAGTCCGATGAGCTGTGATTCATGAGAATGTTTAAAATCGTAGAGATGGTCGATCTTGTGAAGGCTGTAAGGGGCAGCTAATAACGTTTTTAATGATTTGAAATTAAGGGGAGGTGACAAGATCTACGTGATATGGTTGATGTCGTCTGTAAACTGTCGTAATCTGATTTGTTTCATAAAAGCTTTGGTTGCTAAAATATGTAAAATTTCCTATGATCGACTTACAAAAATATATAATAAAAGATATTTTTTATAATTAAAAACAATTGTTTTGATGTTGGAAAAAAAAATATGTTATTAGTATATTTTGATAAAGTGCAAAATGGTAGATAAACATATGCCTTTTAAATACTACTTTTTATTTATTTTATACACCAAATGTATTGTTTACTAGTCATTATTTTTTATCAACAGCAGTTTAGAAGACTTTCCTACATGTCCTCTATGTTTACGTTCATGTTTCCATTTGCGTTTTTGTTTGTGTTTGAATTTCTTTTGCGTTTAAATTTGTGTTTGTGTTTCGTTTGCATTTGTGCTTGCGTTTATGATTGTATGTGTGTTTACGTTTGTGTTTGCGTTTGTGTTGTGTTTGCGTTGGTGATTGCGTTTTGTTTGAATTAGCATTACAATACATCAAACGAAATATCACAAACATACTTCTACTCATACATTATTTCTGGACAGAAAATATCTTCAGCACAAAGCCTCAAATACAATATAACAGACATATGTCATATAGAGCAATTAATGCTTCATATATACGAGACAGACAAAATATCTTAAGATTAATGGACCAATGGATTTATTTAAGAGGCAATATAACTTGGTTAAACTATTTCACGATTTAGTTGTTCAGAATTATATAGCTCTTCAATGAGAATGAAACAATTTGGGACACATATCTAAAGACTAGTTTGTATTTGGTTGTTTTCATTGTGTGTTTGATATATTTATAATTTTAGAAACACCGAGTTTAGGATATTTCAAAACGTAAACAATGGGGTGAGCAACTCAACATCACCTGAAAATTTCCGGTGACCGGGCGACAGTTCTCACACTTGGGACATACGTCACAGATGGTGGAATATTTTAGAAGTTGTGATTGATAAAAATCTGTCACCTGGTTGCCTGTAGTATATAAAACAATATATTAACAGAGGGAAAATTTTAATCTATGCACCATACTTTAACAACAACAATATATATTTATTGAATACCATTTATCTATAAACACCAGCTGATTTCAAAGTATTAGTTTTATATTACTGTTTTGTTTACTGAATAAAATTTAAATTTTACCGATTGTTTAATAATTGCGTATTTTAGTGACGACTTAGTCAGTTTTGTTAAATATATTATCATAAGAGTGCAGATACGAATACGTCGCGAGTTATGAGAAGATGTATATTTAGTGTACAATTTAAATTATCCATAGCAATTTACTTCATGCTTTTTAAAAAAAAATATAATTAATACCATTCCAGAATGTAGAAGCTATTGATTGTATAAAATGTTAAAAATCTTTAAGTAGCGAAAAGAAAATTAAGAAATATAGTGTAAAATCTGTGACCTACGTGGCTCATAGTAGTCATAGACCCTGACGGCAGCTGGCTGGGACTTGGCAACAAAATCAACTCGTCTGACTCTAAGGTTTAAACACACGGGCGTCGCTCCGATCTAGGAGGTAGAGACACATTCAGAGTATATATAGTACAGACACAAGACACTTCTTTCTTTGCTCAAAAAGTTAAGTAAAACATATAATTTATGTTATCTGCTTAATAACACAATATATTAAATGTTTTCATTGTAATTACGTATAGTCTTGCCGATAACGAAAAACAAAGAATTAAATTGTTTAAATTTTTAGAAGCTGCTCTTCCAAACTAAAATAATTTAGAAATCCATTTTAGTTGCAAAATTGAAAATATCTATTCCATCATACTGACCTTGTCGAAGTAGAGGATGACCTTCTTGTTTTGTGTCTCGACTCTCTTCACTGTGTCCCGTTCGGTGATACTTTCAAGGTCAGCATCAAAGCCTGATGGGATACCAAACTCTTGGACAGCCATTCCACTGTTGGGACTGTTTCCTAGCCATCTGGTTTTTTTTGGAACAGGTTTCAGGATTTTTAATTATATGCTTATATTTTAATTTAACAAGAAATCGAATGGTGCTTATAATCCAAGCTTTAAAACCTCATGGGCCAGATAATGATTACAGTGAATATGAATTAGCACAACACATAACTATTGGTAAACGCAAAGCGTGTCACTAACAAATGCAGATGGTGTCATCAATAAATGCAGTTGGTGTCATCAATAAATGCAGTTGGTTCACCAACGAATGTAGAACCACCAACAGATATAGATGGTGTCACCAACAAATGTAGATGGTGTTAGTAACAAATGTACATTATGTCATCAACAAATATAGTTGGTGTCACCAACAAGATGGTGTCAGCATAAACTTGTTTTATTTTCCGCCTATACGAATATTAAAAAAAGAAGCAATAAAAATAGACAAGTATATATTTCACATCATTCAAATTACAAAAAAAAAAAAGATTTTTTAACAGTAAACTGCTGAAATATTTCTATTCTGCCCAAGTTTTACTTTGAATAACTGAATAATTTTGTGAGGTAGCCCCCCCCCCTCCACACCTCCAAATTTACTAACCCCCATTTAGTTCCGCCCAATGTATCAGCAATAAACACACCTCGTGCAAACACATCTTGTGCAAGTTTCCATAACCAAATAGTTGATTGTTTCCTCTATTATTTTAATTTTCAGATCGAAGGTTTTCGCCTCGATTTCCGACAGCACATGGAAATTTACTGATGCCTGCAGAAGCAACAACATTTAAGAACATCACTGATTGATTAGTAACGTGTTACAGGTAATGCAAACATTGAACACTATTTGATACTGATAGACCTCTTTTATGGGCGTTTAGAAAGAAGTGATAACAAAGAGCATCCGTTATTATAGTTTAATTAGAGGTTACTCTTTAGTATTATACATGGTCGCCTAGTCTTTTAAAATAAAACTTGGTGAACATTGGTATAATCGGAGGGTATCAAATAGAGGAAGTACCTGAACAAGAGCCATGCCTGTACCAGTAGCTATGATTACAACTTGAGCAGGTACTTTCGGATTCTATACATACATGGAATTATATTTGAATATATATATATATATATATATATATATATATATATATATATATATATATATATATATATATATATATATATATGTGTGTGTGTGTATGTATATATATAATAAGTTCTTCGATGTTAAACATAATTTTGAGTTGGACTCTATACCAGACTACTATTTCGTGTCAGCATGATATTCCCTTATTTGTTCTATGTTTCTATAGAGTTTGTCCATCCAAGAGCAAATTACAGGGTAGTACTTTATTTTAGAGTTTGCTCTACCATTTAGATCGCTTTCTCCAGCTATCGTCCAACCACGCCATCCCCTGTCTATTTATTAATCTGAACAGTTTATTCTCGCAAGAAGATATGCATATTGAAAAAAAAAAACTTTAAAAGGTTAAACTGAATTTCGCCTTGAACCTCTTTAGACTGCATCAGAAGTGAGTTGGTCTCTTCAATATCGAAGGTGTAGGTTGTCTCAGGGTCCAGCTGGGTGGTGATGTGGAGTTTTAATTTGTTGCTGTACGCCTGCTTGGCGTACTCGCTGAGGGCGTTCAGGGCAACCACTGTGTCCTACAATAAGATTGTGTGAAAAAATACATATTTTAATACAACTTATAAAACTACATTTTAAAACAACCTAAAGAGACAGAGTATATTTCATACAAATGAAACCAGAGTGGCCAAACATCTACAGGATTTTTGATCAAATTTTTTAAAAGTACTAGACATACTGCCTAGCTTTGTGTAAGTCTCGAGTTCAGATCCCCGATTTAAATCTGTAGGACGCCCCTCAAGCAACTCAGAAACATATCTTACTGTTACACTATACCTAAATAAGGCTGATGACAAAAGGCCGACATCAAAAACGCCGACAAGGACAAAAAGCCTACATTAAAAATATCATTTAAATAATTACCGTGCTTTAATAAATTTGTGTATATAACTTAGTGAAAAAGTAAATAGCTTTCTACATAAATACACATTTTACAACTGCACACACAAATCAATCAAAAAATTAAAATACGAACTCATCGAATTTTAGAAGTATACAGATGCTATGGCTTGGCGATATAGTACGGTGTAATACACTATCAAGACGGCTTTTTAAATGTCGGCATAAATACATAAATCTAATTTATCAACTCTATGAACCGAAAAGTCCTAAACTTAAAAACAATTTAAATAATAAGCAACTGAAAGAAAAAGTTTATGTTTTTCTATGGGTTATTAATTAATCGTTATAAATGATTGAATTCAATCATTGGAAAAATTATACTAAAATCACCTATCCTGAAAGGTGTTTTTTTTAAATCCCTGATATAAAATATCTAAACGAAAAAAGTTACTAGTTGTTACGGTTAGATTAAGAGTTAGGGCTAGTTTTAGGGTCAGGTTTGGGGTTAGTGTTGGGGTAAGAATTAGATATAAAATAAGAGTTTGGTTCAAGATTGATGTTAGGGTTTTTATTACATACAGGTTTGTTGTTGGGGTTTTGAGTTATGGTTAGGGTGATGGTTCTCCATGGGATAATGACTCCGGGGGATTATATCGGGCGTAATGTCAGCTGGATGGTATTTCGCTAGAGTTTAGCACATAAAGTTCTAGATAAACCTGTGTGGATATGAAGCCACCGTTGGCGTTTCTCTGTTTGGTGATCCACTGCATGATGCTCTTGCCCGTCAACAAGTCGCCCCGCCTTGTGTAGGTTAGCAAGACGTAGGCGGTCATCTCAATGTCAACGGCCTTGGCAGGGTTAGGCCAGTGCCATGGGTCAGTAGAAACCTTAGGGGGTTCCTGCTGGTGCCAGTACATCGTGCCGTCTGTTTATAGAAAGAAAAAAGAAACTTGTTTGAACTGCGTGGTTTACAGTAGCAATGTGCTGATTTTGTTGTAGACAAAATCTATTCAAATATATAAACACTGATTATGTCACGGGTAAACATTGAATAGAATGAATACATTTTCAAATTTTGCATAATTGTAAAGGTTGTTATTATTATTGTATCGTGTTGTATTACGTTGTAAAATGGTAGGTTGGGTTTTGTGAGAAGATAGAAATGGGGGTGGGGGAGGGGGAGGGGGGACTGTTTAAAAAAAATAACCTATCAATTTTGCTCGGGGTGGGGATGGGGGAGAGGGGGGAAGGAATATTTGGTTGTCATAATTGTTTGCGATTGTGTGTTCTGTGATAAAACAATAATTTTAGTAGGAGGTTCGAGCATTGAGATTACAAATGAAATATCTACATTGCGAACCTAATTAGAGTTACAGAGCAGGATTTACCCTTCTGAGTTGACTCAGCCTCCAGTTTGTCTAGAACAGCTTGGGTCATGTTGCTGCCGGCCAGTTGGAAAGCGTAAGACGCCATGGCGAGAACGTAGAGATCATCCAACTTGGCAACTTCCTGTTCAGCGTAGGCCAGGGCTTTTTGTATGGCCTCATCAACATTCTTGGAAAAAAATGCGGTTTTTAGAATTAGTTACTGAGATATTATGGTTTTCTGATATAGTCTTAGATATTGTGGGTATCTAATCGCAACTTATAAGGATAAAGGGCTTTTGATTAAGATTGTATGAGATAATGTGGGCTTTTGAAAACGTCAGTCAGAGATATCAATGTATGAGATAGATGAGATTTCTTTGAAATTTCTGATAAATCGTTTCGTTATTTTATTCACCCACGCCCGTATATATATTATATAACCAACGAATTATTATTCATGTTTACTTGAAAGCTAGTATGGAATATACCCACTCTGTCTAAAGTATGACGTCATAACGTGTTGTGAGTTAGAACTTAATATATAAAATATTTGAAATAAAAACTGTTAAATCTGATTGTTGACATGTCAAGTCCACTACATGTTGTGATAGAGGATAAGTTGTTGTGATTTAAATACCTCGGCTGGCGAAATTGAAAGTTACACTAAGCTAAAAAATGTTAAAGTTAAATTTCTCCTACCAACGTGTTATTTAACCATTGACTAAGAAATAACAAAATTAACCCTCGACCTACCGTGTTCGTTTGGTCCTCGCGGTTCTCCAGTAGTGAGATCAGCACAAACAGGGTTAACCCGACCCCTGACCCTGCTTGACCCTGAAGGTAGACATAAAAACAAGAAAATAAAATTAGTCTCAAACTTTTGTAACATAAAAAGTCCTCAGTAAACGGCATAGAAATTTGTACAATAGGTCGGGTGACCTGTAGTTTTTCTTTCAGACATTTTTCTCTGGAAGAGAAGGGCACTTGCAGTTTCCGAGAAGGGGGGGGGGGGGTGGTCAAATTTTTCCGAGAAATGGGCGTAGATGTTCTTTTAGGGGTGGAGGGGGGAGGAAGGGACATACTTCCCGAAGAGGTGCCTGAAAGAAACTGCTCACCTGTATGTTCTTGTCGTAAATGTATCCAGTTTCCGGGAAGCTGCCGTTCGTATTTTGTTGCTGTATCATCCACTGGATGGCGTCGTTAAGGATGTTGTCATCTACAAAGATGTGACGTTTGGCCTGGTGGAAAACGCGGGCTACAAAAGCTGTCAGCCTGTGAAGAAACAAAGTATTAAATAATACCTTAATCGTCAATAATCTGTATGTGAAAAGTTCCCGAATATGAATCTAAATTTATTGTATGTAATTTACAAATATGTAAATTGATGTTTTATTTTTACATGACCACTAAACTTACTCTAAACCTCTGAACTTAAATATTCAAGAAATATTTCCCGTAAACCCCTGAAGCCTACCACACGCCGAAAATATTTCACATAAACCTCTTCTTCTTCTTCTTCTTGGTTCTTAAATATTAGTGTTGAAGGGGATCGAGATTTATCTGCAAGTGGGTTTGAACTCGAAACTTTGTTCGAATTTATCAACCATGAGCTTTTCGCCGACTCGACCACGCCTCCAACACAATTAAGCGTTACGTGTCAACTGGTTATTTGCCATTGAGGCCATTGACTCCGATTTCAGCCTGCTTTTCTTTTTGGATTTGCTTCCATAGCCTTTGTCCAACCAAGAACAAACTACAAGGCAGCAGTTGTTTAATTTTGGAGTTGTCTCTCCTAGAAGAGTGGCTGTCCCCAGCTAACGAGCCTCATCTACCCGAGGGTTCGAACTCGAGACTTTTCGGTTTAGCAACCATGAGCTTTACCGACTCGACCACGCCGAACCCTACACATAAACATCTGAAACGTACCATTTTTACATATTTCACATAAACTTCTGAAACCCACCACATGGATCCTGACTCGTCACTGGTGCCAAAAACACTGAACGAGCCGTCACTGTGTTTGTAGGTCAGCTCTCTCTGGTATCCTGCAATACGCCACCATTATAATTTATTTTTTAAATAATTGCATAACTATGTGAAGTGTACTGTTATAGAACATAATAATATATTGAAAGGCATAAATTAATATAAATTAATACCGTTCTCCATAAAATTGATGGCTTTAGACTTGACGTCTCTATTTAATTGATCAACAGACGTGAGGTAGTCTGTGACGTAGACATCCGGTGCCAGATTGACCATGTTTTGTTCCCCACATCCGGTTGGCATCTGGAGCAGGGAGTCCAGCTTAGCGATGGTTGGACCCATCAGGTCACCTATGTGACAGTACAACGTATTGGGATGTATGGTTGCTTTCTTGATGACAAACTACAGTATCTGAGAAAAATGTCTTTACGTTCAGGAAGCCTCTACATACTCTCCATATGATTTTATTCTGAAAATTACGTGCACCCACTTACCTAAGCCGTGAAAGAGCTAACTGCGAACAGCCACGATCACTGAATACCCCTAATTACGAACAGCTAAGATCATTGAATTCATCTAACTTAGAAGAGCTAGAATCACTGAATACCACTAACTACGAACAGCTACGATCAATGAATACCCCTAACTACGGACAACGAGAACACTGAATACCCCTAACTATGAACAGCTAGAATCACTGAATACCCCTAACTACGAACAGCTACGATCACTAAATACCCCTAACTACGAACAGATACGATTACAGAATACCCCTAACTACGAACAAGAACAATCACTAAATACCCCTAACTACGGACAATGAAAATCCTGCCTAAACCCATAGTTGTTACTGCCACTACCTATCGAGCACTAACAAATCCATTTTACACCTTACAACTACGCCTATGGCTATCCTTATTACGAGACAACAGAGATTAATGTCATCCCCCCCCTCCCACACAACTACGCCTCTGGCTACCAAAACCTACCGACAGCCGAAATTCTAACAAGTTCCGATCCCTTCACTACGTTGTCCGGCACATTGAGTTCAATGATCTTTGAGAAAGTTTTTTTGCCTTCTGTGAGTTCGATGAGGACAGGGATGTTGTATTGTTTGGGGACTCCTTCAGCCTGTGGTTAGACCAGCTCAATCGATTACGATACATAAGACAAAAGGACATATGAACTCGTGTTAATGCCCCCTAGATCATCAACCCGACTTACATAACCTTCGAGGTCAAATAGCCCCTCCATCCAAACACAAACATACACACAGGCACGCACGAACGCACACATGCACATATACACACACACTCGTCAATTGAACCTTTGGATGAAATAGGTGTGTGATATGCTCAATTCTTCATCTGAATTCTTCCCTGGTTTAGTTGCATGTCCGTGACAACCCAGCATAAAGTACATTAACCCTATTTTACCTCAACAAGGAGTTGTCTGCGCACAGCGTCAGCGGCCTTGGTTGACTGGGCCTTGACCTCCACGTCAATTCTACCAAGGTCATCAGGGACGATGGGGAAATACACAGACTCGACCTCTCCAGCCTTGACCTTAGAAAGAAATTATTTTTGAGATTGTTTTTATTTCATGAAATTGATTCGATTTGTTTTTTTTAATTAATTTTCAGAAAAATGCGCAAATGTTTAAAAAAAATGCGAATCAGAAAAATGCGCAAACAAGAAAATGCGCATATACAAACTACACTAATACACTTTAGTTTTGTCATATTTCGTGGAAATATATTTTATTATGCAACAATGTACATGTAGTCAATCTGTGCTAACGTCTACAAATGATCAATTTAAAGACAATACATTCCTTTGCGCATATGTTCAGCGCAGTTTTCCGATGCTCAGTTTTCCATTGCGCATTTTTTGGTTAACACTTTAATGGTTAGTAATTGACAAACAAACTACCTTTATGTATTTTAAATTTAAAAAGAATTTTTTTCTTAAAAACAATAAAAACCAAAAAATAAAAATCAACTCACCATGATCTCCTGTACAACATCAACCTGTTTCAGTTCCTGGTTTCCTGTCTCGTCGATAAAAATGTTGTGGAAACGTTTAGACTCGGCCAACGTCACCCGTACCTGCAGTTTAATACCAACAAACGAATTTGTAAGACTATTTTGTGGTTGCAAGTAGTTAAAGATTTAGTTTTAATATTCCGAAATAATATAAATAAATTTATAAAAAAATATGATTTCTTTTATAATATATATATATATATATATATATATATATATATATATATATATATATATATATATATATATATATATATATATATATATATATATATATATATATATATATATATATTAGCCGTCCCGGCCAGGCCCTGCTCTAGCTTCTGTGAAAAACCTTTCTGTTAAAGACCATCACCTGTGTGATTAGTAATCATCATAAACCCGGCATTGCCCACCCAAACCACAACCAACCAAAACCAAAACAACAAAACGCAAACATAACGCTAACACAATTACAAATACAAACGAAAACAAAAACCTAACACCAAACCCAACCACAACCACAAACACCAATACCAACCAATAACAACACAAAAAAAACGAAAAAGCAAACGAAAACAAACCAAATCCAAACGCAAAACCAACCAAAAACACAAATACAAACCCAAAGAAAAAAAACACAAACAAAAACGAAAAAAGAAAGAACAAAAACGAACCAAATCAAACCGCAACCACTAACGCTAACCCAACCTAAACACAAAGAAAACACTAACGCGAACATAAACGCAAAAAGCTCACAGTCTCGCCCGAAGCGGAATCGCCTGTTTTAGCTTAATAAACGACTATAGTACCCCAACTTATTCATAGTCTTTTGCACTAACTTAAACGAACGCGCCTGTTTCAATTTAATGAACAATTATAATACTCCAAGCTTATCCATAAAATATCTACAACATTTGCACTTGATCAATCCCCGCTAATTATGTAATTATTTTTTTCCCAACACCAAAACAAAGTAATAAAAAGTAAATTCTTTTTTTTGACTCATAAATTTAGACCATAAGGACTTTAATTATCTAACACTTAAATCCATCGAAGTATGTCAACGACAAACTTATAACATACGGAATTGAGCTTTATATTATATATATATATATATATATATATATATATATATATATATATATATATATATATATATATATATATATATACATAGCGTCTCTTCCCACCTGCATATCTTCTAGCAGGTAGTTGAAGACGTTTGCTTGAAGTGCCAGCTGCTCACCACGAGTCACAGAGTAGGGGAGGTTGAGGCTGACAAAAAACGGTCGGAAGACTTTCAGCTGGAACAGATTGTAACGTGAAATATATTAAGAAGTATATAATAATAGAGACTCAAATATTTATTTAGAGATAGATTTAAAAAAAAAACTTAATTAAAAATACTTGTGTATTTGTCAATTAAACGCATCATGAATCTTTTTACTACGTAGTGAAGTCAGCAACACTTAATGTTGAGCAACTTTGTCACAACAGTATTAGACAATTTAAAAAAAGAAATTTAAATCGCGTCTATACTTTTCTACTTTGAAGTGCGCACATGGGCTGTTATATATTAGGATTGGCAGGCTTACTCAGGAAGTGATTGTACTTTGACAGACAAGCTAAGGATTTGAGTTCACTTTGACAGGCTGGCTCAGAATGTGATTTTGTTTTTACAGGCTAACTCAGGATGTGATTGATGTTGACAGGCTAACTCAGAATATGATTGAAATATGATTGAAATAGACAGGCTAGATCAGGATGTGATTAAAGTAGACAGGCTAGATCAGGATGTGATTAAAATAAGACAGGCTATATCAGGATGTGATAATAAAATTTGTGTGCATGCTACCTCAGCGTGTGAGTGTACGAGTAGTGTAGTTGGCAGGTTAATTAAGTCTGTACGTGTAGGTTAAACGTCCTAGATCGATTGTATGTTTAGATGACACTTATACAAGTCATAATTTATTTAAACGTAGGAACTTTGTCTTCATTACTTCAGTGTCTTCTTCTTATTGTTGTTTAACATGATTCGGAGCCTGTATAACGTGATGAGCTTAAACCTATTAAGTGGAAGACGTTCTCGAATCGGATCGGCGTAGCTATTTATAGACTCACGTGAGCTTGTGTTGGGGCCACGCCCAGACCAGAGTTTGAGTTGATGGCGAAGGCGCTGACCACCCATGACGTAATGGTGTCTGGTACAGTGGCAGTGATGGAAGCTGAGCCGTTTGATCTGTGTTAAAGGCAAGTGAAAGTCTTACTGAGTAGTCTAATGTATTTTTAAAACAACTTTCGGTTTTAAAGGTTAAACTATGGATGTTTGAGAGTTTAAAAATAATTCTCAATAGACTTCAAATGGTTTCAAATTGTTGTTGCCAGAAAGCATATTTTTTTCGACCAAAATTGAATATTTTATAACATTTGTTTAATAAGTACAAAATGACTTCCGTTTTTATAAAGGCTAGAAATATTCCAACGAATGATTACTAGTAATATAAAAGTAATTTAGCAAACACTTTATATTTAATTGGATTTAGTAAAGTCAATGTGTTGTGGTAACAGGTGATGTTATATTATCTAATATAAATACATGACTACGCTATCCAAAATAGACCACAACTGTATATTTATGATGGAAAACCACGTTCATTCTTTTACTCTCTCTTGCCATTTAAATGACTTCAAGGAGAGGTTGAGTGCATTTTTTAAATATTTGAATTTATAAAATAATTCCAAGCGTCTTTTCAACGGCTTCTATTTAATACAAAAATATAAAAATAAGTGTAACCGACTGTTCTCAAACAGATTTAAGATTTTAAAATGCAACTATAATTTTATCTCTTACCATATTTTTTTAAAGATTATAAAAACAGCTTATATTTGAAGCATTTATATTACATACATTGTGTGTAGTAATTTTAGTGTATAAAATTGTAAAAAAAAAACTTAATACCCCAACAAGTTATCGACAAACGATTGCATCAAAATAACAACCCATTTTACTACATCAACAACCCATTTTACTCCATCAACAACCCATTTTACTACATCAACAACCCATTTTAATACATCAACAACCCATTTTACTACATCAACAACCCATTTTACTTCATAAGCAACCCATTTTACCCGACATAAACATCAGTCCAGAGCCAGGACTCAGGGAAGATCTGCCTGACACGCTCTGGTTCTAGAAACTCTGGATCCCTCCCCGGCGTCCGGTAAAATAGACGCCTTGTCGCACGAGTTTGGGCTTCATAATAGTAACATAATAAAATTAACATACTTGATTAATAAAACGAAATGAAAAGCTGTGTTTAAAAATGAATGAAAATGTGTGCAAGTGCGCAAGCGTCTGTGTACTTGTGCGTATGTGTGTTTGTATGTGTACGTGTGTACGTTTGTTTGTGTATGTGTGATATGTGTTATGTTTGTGATATGTTATGCGTGTATGTGTGTATGAGTGTATTTGTTGTGTGTTACGCGTGATTGTTACGTTTGTGTGTATGTGTGTATGCGTGAATTTGTGTATGCGTGAATGTGTATGCGTATGTATGTATGTATGTGTGTATTTGTGTATTTGTTTGTATGTTTGTATGTATGTATGTTTATATGCATGTATGTGTGTATGTGTGTATATTTGTATTTATGTATTTGTTTTTGTTTCTATGTATCTATTTGTGTGTATGTGTGTATGTGTCTATATTTGTAATTATGTATTTGTGTATTTCTATGTATTTATCTGTGTGTATGTCGATGGCGACGACACTGACCAGCGACTGATAGACACGGAGCCGTTTGTACGCAGTAGGACTTTCATTTGCCTCTATTACAGATCGAACGGCTCAGCCACTGTACCAGACACCATTACGTCATGGGTGGTCAGCGCCTTCGCCATCAACTCAAAATCGGGTTTGGGAATGGCCCCAACACATTCCCACGTGAGTCTATAAATAGCTATGGCATATATATATATATATATATATATATATATATATATATATATATATATATATATATATATATATATATATATATATATATATATATATATATATATATATAATATATATATATATATATATATATATATATATATATATATATATATATATATATATGTGTATATATATATATATATATGTATATATATATATATATATATATATATATATATATATATATATATATATATATATATATATATATATATATATATATATATATATATATATATATATATGTGTGTGTGTGTGTACGTAATCTGTATATTTACGATTTTGTTTATGTGTGTTTTTGTAGGTTTTTGTGCGTCAGCTTATATTAGTGTTAGTGTTAATAACTGTCATTATAAATGTCGACATAGGTCACTGTACACATTTATGTGAAACCTACCGTTAAGCCCGTTCACCACAGCATCAGTTAGAACAACAAGCCCGGCATCCTGTGTAACATTTTAAGCAAACACTTGCAACTATGCGAGATAGATAGTTGTTAAGTATTGTTTCTTAGTTACACTTACATTCGTCTTGTCGCATCTAAACATTTGTTTTATACGTTCAATTGGAATAAAGAAAATATAAAAATAAATAAAACAGTGATTAATTACCTTTAAAATATATTAAACAATATTTACAAGGTCTTTGAAGCTGAAATTCTGGTACTCACTTACAACAGTACTGTACGGTTCTTTCATACTTTTTGTTACGTTATAGTTTTAAACATGTCACGTCATTTAACTTTTGTGTTATTAATCCAATAAAATTTGTTTAAAAAAATAATTTAAATTTTTTTTTCTCTCTGTCTCACCGTGACCTTTTACATAACCTTTTAAACCCCAAATCAATCTCTTCAAAGCCAAACTCCCACCCATTTCCTCTGGGTCATCCATCGATGACGCCCAATCGGGAAGGGGAAAGGGATCATATGAACATTTTCGATTGCAAAGTGAGAGAGGGGGGGGGGAGTTGATGTTTGCTCAGTGGTGACTTTCTTATATAAAACATAACACTCGCATACTATCAAAAATAGCCACCAAAATATAAAATTGTCAAAAACACATAATTAATTTATTAGATACCGTGGCTGATTCTTAAAATGTAATTTAAAAAGTTGTACACTTTGTGTAGATATTTGGATCCTGCAATTCCGACACATAAACAAAAAATTCTATACACACTTCTAAACAATGGTGACTTAGAGTAATATATATATATATATATATATATATATATATATATATATATATATATATATATATATATATATATATATATATATATATAATCAAACCTCGCAAATTCTTACCTCTATGACTTCCCGTGCGTCCTCTTGAACATGATATTTTGTATGACCTCGACTGGCGTATTTCATGAGATCTGAGTGGACCTGTATTGCAGATATATCCATTATTGTATTTTTTTTTAAAACATTTTACATGCAATCAACAAAAATCAATTAAACAAACCTAAGCAGGTGTATCGAAACCTTGCACACGGACAGAAAATACTCTATATCTACTAATATTAAATGCCAACAAAACCCATCAAATGTTAAAAAACACTAAAAATAACTTACCATCTTAAGAATTGTAATAAATAAGTATACAATTAAATCAATTACAACCCTGCATAAACACCATTCTACATAATACCAATATTATACCAATAACTATTCCGGTCTATGCTTATATACATCTCCCTATCCTTAAACATATTACTAACCAAAATTATATGTTTATCCTTATCCTTCACCTAATGACCTATTTAAACTAACATAGCCCGAGTGACTCAGAAAATGCTAACAAAGAGCGTTATTGAACGCATTTTTTGCCAGTAAGGTATTTGTTTTGTTCATAGTAGCCAAAACGCAAATAATTAATAGTTATTATTTATTAATTTTCACATGTATTTGAAAAAAAAAATTGAAAGGATTTTTTTTATCCCCATGTTTTCTTCGTTTATTTTCATGTGAAAATTTCAACAGAAATATTAAATGTTTAAATTTTTGACGCGGTTACTGGTCTTTAGTAGATAAAACAGAGCGGTCAATCTTGTCAGTGCTAAAACCTTTGATACTACATTACTAATAATTTTGAATTTTTCAAGATGGTGCCTATCAACTTCTTCTTCGTTCTTATTTGTAAAGTTGGACGGTATTTCTTCCAACACACAGTCTGCTTTTCTTTTTGGATTTACATCCATAGCCTTTGTCCACCAAAGATCAAACATAAGGCAGCAGTTGTTTGATTTGGAGTTTTCTCTCCTAGATGGGTTGGGGTTCCATCTATCGAGCCTCATTTGCCTGGGGTTTAACTCAGGGCTTTTCGGCTTAGCTACGATGAGCTTATCCGATTCGAAAACGTCGACCCTTCTTACAAAATATATGTGTCACATCTGCTCGACATAATTCAAGCAGTTTAAAAAATGAATAGTCACATACAACGCGATTATCAACATGGCTGTGGTTTTCCTGTTGGATTGAGATTAGACCACACAGTTCGGCCCGAAGAATTTCTCTGCAACTTTTGTGCCAATACCCTCACTAATTCTTACAAACAGCAGAACAGAAACCACTTAATTTCCTTAATATATATATATATATAGAAACGTCAATATTATTCGCACACACACACACACACACACACACACACACACACACATATATATATATATATATATATATATATATATATATATATATATATATATATATATATAATTTATTCACATCATTAGCAGTGACGTCATTTCCACTTTTAAGCAGCAGGACGCTCTGGTCAATGGCCAATAAATGGACGTTGGAGTCTGGATCAGCAGTAGTGACGACAGTGACATCATCTCCTGGTTCAACATCTGTCTTGTCCAGGTCAACGGTTACCTGTTTAAAACAGAATTATGTCACGAATTTTTATTTTATTGCTACGCACTCAGTACTTATTGTTAGAGGTAAGATCAAGGTGAGTATCGATACCTTGTTATTGAAAGCGCCGCTGATGTCGAAGCTGATACTGTCTGGGACAACTTCACCGTCTGGTCTGACGTAGTAGACGACGATTCTGGCAGAGGGCGCCATGCTGGGCTCAGAGACGACGGAGAAATTGACGCTTTTCTGGTTTTTGCCGTTTATTGTGCCAGATTTTACTATGTTGCCTCGAGACAGAATCTGTCAAAAAATGTTGAGTAGAAATATCACATTTGTTATGACGTAATACATTTTGTTTGATCAATATCGAATAAGATTTATTGAAAATCTAAATATGTCTCTGTACCTGGTAAACAAGTTTAGACAACTCTTCAGTACTGCTGATGGAAAATACGATTGTGTCCCCTGCCTTGAAGAATGTTTAGTTTAAAAAAAAATTATATTTTCACACAAAATGTGTATTTCATCAGAATTATGTGATGAATGTGTGTGGCGATGTGGTGTGTGGAAGCGGTGGGGGTATTTAATATTGTGAATTTATAGTTACCATTACCTTTTAGAAAAAAAAACAGCGTGTTAGTTATTATGAAGTTTATATTATTGTTAACAAAACACTTCTGGTTTACGTTCAACGTATAGAGGATAAATATTCTTGTCATAGCAGAAAAATTTGATTGTGTTTTTTACCTTTAAAGAAGAAGATCTCATGTTGATTTGGAGATACGAACTACTTGGGGAGTGGCTCTTTTCTAGACGCTCAGTTTCGATCGCTCCACGAAAGTGTGACTAAGATTGGAATAGATAAAGGCATGTTATCATTGTCAGATACCTAAAGCAAATTTTCATCATTCCCCATTACAGAAACAAAATTACGACAGAAAAACAAAGTGATAGTTTTTTTACCCCTTGAAAACAAAACTACATCTATTCAATGTAGTGGCGTAGCCGGGTCGAGTGTTACCCGGTGCGGCACTTAATGGTGTCACCCCCCAGAGGCGTAGCGACCCTTCCCGGGGACAAATTTTCGATTTGCACCCCCCCCCCTCAAGTTTCGATTTGCACCCGCCCTCAAGTTTTTCTCTATATATTATGCTATTTTTTCCCTTTGTGTCACCCCCCTAAATGGTGTCACCCGTTGGGGTCCGCAACCCCCGCATCCCCCCTTGCTACGCCTTTGATTCAATGCCTTAAACACGTCACTTACTGTAACAATGACAATCTCAGCGTCAGGCGGTATCTGTACTGGGATGGGAACTAGCCCCAAGTTGACTGGGACGCTCAGGGTCTGGCTATCAATGGGCTCGTCCGAATAACGGAAATTGCCCCAGCTATTGTTGTAGACTTGGATGTTGACCGTGACGCTCTCATTCGCTGAACAAATCGGACGACCGTCCGGCTGGGATATTTGTAGCTGTAAATTGAGAAATAATAGAAAATTAAAATTCGTGAAAAAGATAAGTGTAAATAATTTGATAAGTATATTAGACAATGTAAGGTCGGTTCAAAATTATCTGTTGGAATATACACTGTATGTTTCAGCTGATTAAAAATAATAGTTTCGCTGTCTGTGTATCTATCTATCTATCTGTGTATCTATCTATCTATGTATCTGACAAGAACGCTCTAGAGAAAACACAAGGAAATTAAAAACATGCATAGTAATTCGAAAAACGAAGTATGACGCGGTCACATTTAGCATAGAGGAAAAAATTAATCTCAAGGCTGAGAGTGCACACAGTAATATGACGTCATTGATTCTCGAGTAAACATTGAATAAAAAGGCAATTTTGTCTAATCTAAATGGTTTGCTGTGAAGAGTTTCTTGCACACAATTCTTCGGGTAGGGGCGAAGCCCCATCCCCGCTTAAGAACATCTGAGCCCCCCCCCCCCCTCCCCAACAAAAGAAATTTCTTCATCGATACTCTATAATAAAATTACCGCCTAATTAAGGTGTCTAATCTAAAAAGTGGTTTTCTTGCAATTTCTTTAATGCAATTCTTCGGGTAGTGGCTAAGCGCGACACCAGTGTTTCTTTCAGACTTTTTCCTCCCCGGAGAGGGGTGGGGTACTATAAATTTTTGGGGGCGGGGGTAGAATTTTCGGGGAGGGGGCGGACACTGGAAAAAGTATATAATTATATTTCGTTGAATGGGACGGTAGACATGTTTTTTTTTTTGGGGGGTGGGGGGGGGGGTGGGGGTGGTGGTGTGTGTGTGTGGGGGGGGGGTAGGGTGGTTTTAGTTTAGAGAAAAGTGACAGCACTATCAGCCTAGCGCCCGTTGTATCCTTCCTCAACGGGCCATTTTTCTCGTTTAATATATTTACGGAACTTTCATATTCGATGTACTGTAATGTATTTACAACAAGTACTTTCATATGCGATATAACGTTAAGGACTTACATAAGCAATGTACTGTAAAGTACTTACATAAGTGAGTATAATAACTTACATAGACTCTTAAATATTTAAGTACTACCGTAAACATTTGCTCTAGGTTTCAAAGTACTTATATATACATATCATATACTCTAGGTTTATAGCTACTACCAGTGCTATAATGTAATTCGTGTAAGTTGATGTACTACAGAATTATGCCTGCACGTACTCACATAACTAATGTACTGTAAAGTACTTACATAAGCAATGTAATGAATTTACATAAGCAATGTACTGTGAAGTACTTACATAAGCAATGTACTGTTAAATACTTACATAACCAATGTACTGAAAAGTACTTACATAACCAATGTACTGGTAAGTACTTACATAAGCAATGTACTGTAGACCAGGCTTGAAGGTCTTGGGATTGTTCTCAAGGTACTCAAGTATCACACCATATTCGTACATGGTGACGGTTCCGCTACCGGACATCTGTTGTCCAGTCAAAGACTCGATCACATAGGCGGAAACGATTAGGGTGGGCTCATCCAGTTGGTCCTCAGTTTCCTTGACCTTTGACATGGGTACTATCACCCTTGTTTCTCCATCAATCTGAGAAAGTTCACACACAAAATATCGTTTTCACATATACGGTGTTTTTATAACTTTTTTTTCATCAATTGACTAGCACTTTTCGAGAATAAAAAGTCTCTATGCCATCTGAGATAAATACCCTCCCGATATCCAGCATTCTAACAGTACTGCTGCATTATTTTTAATCAATCCATTATAAAGAGAATACGATATAAAACATAACTTGCAGCATCTTAGATTGATTAAATTTTTCACAATGATCTTTGACCATTGATAAATATCTCAACGTACGAGTGTATAGGTATAAATCAACTATATCAATGCTATTTAATTTTAGATTGAATTTAAGTAATTTGCTATTGTAATATTTTTATAATTTGATTTAGGTTTTAAAATTATTGGGAGTCATGTACGTGTTATGTAACATTTCATGGGCACTGGTGGCTAACTTGTTATAGTATATTTTATCTATTACATTTTCTTTAGTTTTTTTCCATTTTTTCCGTTCAAGTAAATGTTCGGCGTCGCAATTGTTTGTAATGTACACACAAAAATCTCTGAACTTTACATGATTTGATCCGATAATTTAATTTTGAATATTTAATTGTATCACATTGTTTTTATTCTTCCGGGGAAGGAAAGACTCGAAAGTATACGTATATGATAAAAAATGCCGTTTTGGAAGCGTACTTACTTGGTGCAGTATTTGTTTTGGAAAATTTGTGTTTCATAAGATGTACTGATTATACATGCTAGTTTATGCCGGAAATTATGATTTAATTTAAACTTGTTTGAGTTAAAAGACTATAGATTGGCATTTAGGTTGAGTTTCGAATTGTGATTATGATTTATTATTAGGATATAACAATTTGCGATATTCAGATATGGTATGAAATTAGCAGACTATTTTTATTATCACGTCAATTGTAGGCTACATGTTGCTGATTTTTTTTTTAACCCACATAATTGTTTAAGATAACTTAAGACACGGTTTTATAGTACTGGAGCAACGCCTTGCCGATACGGTTAGTTGTGTATATTATGCTGGCATCGTCTCCATACTTAATAAGACAATTTGGATGAATATAACTATGATGTTTTAATTTTGGTTTTACTTTTTTCTTCAGTTAAAATTGAATTGTAATTTTATAATTTCCGGTTGCTAGAGTATATATAAGATAAAATTAATTTACATTGAATACTTTTAGAAAAATTGTTTTGTAAAATTGTTATTCACTTAACATGTCTTTGTTAACAACTGATCATTCAGGCCCCTTTACTCATACAAAACCGGGTAATCTTTCATATTATTTATTCGTGTGTGCACCAACCACCTACCGGGACAGCCACCGAGTACACGGTCCACGACGTCCAGTAGTCCTGTAAATTTACTTCGACATTCAAGTTTCCTTTGACAGGTTTACCATAGGTGTATCTACACGGTATAAGATATATATATATATATATATATATATATATATATATATATATATATATATATATATATATATATATATATATATATAGGGCCCTATATATATATATATATATATATATATATATATATATATATATATATATACATATATATATATATATATATATATATATATATATATATATATATATATATATATATATATATATATATACTTATTCTAAAGAAGCAACATGAGAAAAAAAGTTAAAAAGGTTTTCTGACATTAGAAGAACGTTGTCAGGCTTCAATCCGTGTTTCATCCAGACCTTTTCTCCAGTGGGCAATTGAAATTTTCGGGGGGGGGGGGGGGGGGCGTTAGACTTTCTTCGGGGGGGGGGGGGGGCGGACACTGTTAAAATTATATATTTTCTATATACATTAATTAAATTTCATTTCGTTCGGGGGGGGGGGGGGGTGGGGGCGGTAGACTTTTGTCGAGGGTCTTTGCTCCCCGCCGCCGAAGAGATGCCTGGAAGAAACTCTGACTTGAATAGAAACCTGTCCTGGGGTTTTCACAAGAATATAATACTTCCCTATTCGATGAAGTAAAAACTGGGCGAAAACGTGCTAATTAGCCTGCATAATTACCCTAGATAATACAACTGTATTCATTTAAAGATTTATTGCTAAGAGAAGTACGACGAAAATGAAATTGTCATTCTGGCATTAATAAGATACAATCAACTCACTTTGCCTTAACGGTAAACGTGACGTCAGAATCGCTGGTCAGAACGTAGGGTGGCATGATGACCTCGACTTCGAACAAGGGTAGAACTAAAACAAAGATACGTTTTTTATTTTAAAAAAAAATGTTGTCTTCAACATGTCACAAACATTTAACACAACACAATTATAAAGACGTTCTAATACTGATTAAGTAATTGAAGTTAAGTTCCCTTTTCAAACCTGACGGTCTATGGGGCAAGTGACGTAGAGTTCACTTGTTCTGTGACCTCGGCATATGAAAAGATAGTGTGGTCAGCACTATGCCCAGCCGCCTTTACTTACTCTAACGTGAGTTAGGTACCCATCAGAGATGGGTGGACTCAGGGACGGTCTACTGACTTGAACCCGGATTCGAACTCGAGACTTACGGGTTAGCAGTCCAATCTCTCTACCGCTAGGCCACCCCGTCGCATTATTACTGCTTATGTAATTTTATAAACTTACACAAAGTAACGATATTATTCCATTAACGACCGCTAAGCTAAATATATAAATTAAGTGCTTTTTCGACATCCTGGCTTATATTTATCCTATGAAGATGAAAAAATAGGTTCAGACAAAATTGTCTTGTGTAAGTTTATTGCTATTAGTTCGAATATAAAAAAACCTTGTTGATAGATTATGTATGCTATATTACACTGGAATTGTGCTTATTCTTAAAAAGATAGAAAAAAAATGTATACACTCGAACCGAATAATGATTGAAATACTTGAACATAACAATAAATGATGTCACTCGTAGAGACGAATGTAACTATGACACACAAGACAATAGAACAACAAAGATGATACATAATGGGACTGAGCCAAAACATCATAAGCTCTTGTTTAGTCACATTAAACATTGGTTGTTTTTGTTTACCATACTCAGCTACAGTAAACGATTTCTTTTCTTCCATGTCCTGTAAAAAAGTAAAAACCCTGTTTGGTCAAGATATTATTTTATATTCAAATATTCAATTTAACAAAGCTAATTATCTCATATACTATATATTTAAACTGACAGCTGTTTCACTAGATAAATAAATATAATTATTTTTTATTATTTTGGAATGATTGTTGATTAAATTTACTAAAATCCTGGAATGGATATGTAAACGTAATATGAAACTAGATATTCAAATGTTCTACCTCAGCTACCACAACAACTTTCCAGTCCCCAAGGACTGGCTGTGATGAGAGGGTCAACTCCTGGGCGATGACCCCTTTCTCTGGAGTGACCTTGACCCATTGTTTGATCTTGTTGTCTTGTGAATCCTGGCTCAGAAAAAAAAATTATTTAGTCCAATTATGTTTAAAAGAGGAAAAACTAATTCAAATATTTGTCTATTGAACCATTTTGACATGACTGAAACGAGGTAAATTTACTTACATAAATAGAAATGTCCATTGCTCCTTTGTAGGACTGCAGATATGAATTCACGCCGAAAATTCTAAATTTTACTGGAAAGAATAGATTTAGCTGCCTAAAAATTTAGTATCGTCTAAATTACACAAAATGGAGGGGTTGCTTGCATGAAATAATTGCGTCCCAAAACTAAAGCATATTTTGTTATTACAAATGACAGAAAAAAAGACACTAAAGAAAAAAAAATGTATTTAATGACGCCACATAACTTCTACTAGGCTTAAAGATGGTTTTTTATAAACGTCTATCACTAGGCCTAAAGATGGCCTTATATAAACGCCTACCTACCTGTATCACTAAAGATGGCTTTTGATAAACGTCTACCTACCTGTATCACTAGGCTTAAAGATGGCTTTTCATACACGTCTACCAACCTGTATCACTAAAGATGGCTTTTGATAAACGTCTACCTACCTGTATCACTAGGCTTAAAGATGGCCTTATATAAACGTCTACCTACCTGTATCACTAGGCTTAAAGATGGCCTGATTCAGCTGAATAAACAACGAAGCCTCTTTGCTGTTGTATCTGAGCCTCTCAGCTTTCTCAAAGTCTAAGCAGCCACCGCCGCCAACGACTTTAATATAATATAATTTGCTTCCAGTAAGGCCAGGGGGCACCTGGGGACACGCGAGAACATTTGATGGAGTAAAACAATCTAATCACTATGTCAATAGGAGTGCAAGAAATGACAAGAAACGCTTATTCTAAGGAAGCAGCTTGAGAAAGAAAATTAAAAAGGTTTTATTAGAGGCGTAGCGAGGGGGGGGGGGGGTACATATGTCCCCGGGTGCCGACCTTAGGGGGCGCCAAAATGGGTTGGAAAAAACAAAGTTTGAGGGGGGGGGGTGCAAATTGAAAGTTTGAGGGGGGGTGCAAATTGAAAGTTTAAGGGGTGTCCCCGGGCGCCGGGAAGGGTCACTACGCCTCTGGGTTTTATGACATTAGAAGAACGTTGTCAGGCTTAAATAGAAACCCCCGCAGGCCTGTAAAGTACACTACAGGGAAAAACTATAACGAGTGATGCAGAACAGACAGACTACTTTAAGGAGATGTTAAGTAGATCACCACCAACAACCATTCCAGACATACTATCAGCGTAAGACCTGCTTCAAAAGACTACCTGTTTACCACCCAAGACTGAAGTCGTTAAAGTTATCAAGAAGATTAAGAATTGTAAATCAACTGGACCATATAGAATCACAACACAGGCACTTAAATCAGAACCATCTGCAACAGCAGAAATGTTGCAACCACACCTGGGAACAAAATCAAGTCCCTGCTAATTGAATACTGGCATATCCAGTGGAGCGACCTATGAGAGGTGGCCTTTGTTAATGCAACAATTGCTTATATCTTTCACTAGCTACATACGAGAATTTTTTTTTGGGAGGCTGAAGGACAAGAAATTAAGATAAAAAACAGGCAGTTTTCGTCAGAACTTATAATGTATTGCAGAGGGGGGGGGGGCATATGTCCCCGGGCGCCGACCTTAGGGGGCGCCAAAATGGGTTGGAAAAACAAATTGAAAGTTTGAGGGGTGGGGTGTACAAATTGAAATTTTGTCCACGGGCGCCGGGAAGGGTCGCTACGCCTCTGATGTATTGACGAAATAGCCACATTAATAATTATGGACCACTCAATTAAGTGGCAATTCCCTCTTTACATGATAAACAATACATAACAATGAACTACAATACTTTACTATTGTTGAACAATGGGGTAAAACTAGAAAGAGGATAGTAGATAGGCCAAAACAAACGCGGAAAAGATAATTTGTTAATAAAGCAAAAGCAGTCGGATTGTAGTTGGCCGAACAGGCAGGAAACGCTCAAAAACTGAGTACGACAGAGAGGAGTGGTTGCGTACCTTTGCTTTAAATGGCGTTGAAATGAAGGAAGATGATGAAATATATTTATATATTTTTACATGGTATAGATTTGTTTAGGCTAAACATCATCGAACTATGTAATCAAAAAAAAAACCCAATCACAGAAGTAATCGAGTGAGAGTTGGTGCTTAGAAGGCAATAGAGACAGTGTTTCTTCCAGACTTTTTTCTTCGGGAGGGCACTTGAAATTTTCGGGGGGGGGGGGGGGCGGTTGACTTTCTTCGGGGGGGGGGGGGGCGGACACTTAAAAGTATATATTTTGTATATAAATAATATAAATTTAATTTCGTTCGGGGGGGGGGGCGGGAAATTTTTTTTTTTTTGCCTGGAAGAAACTCTGAATAGAGAGAAACAGTATTGATTTAGTAAACAATAAAATGTAAGGCTCACTTTTATGGTGATTGTACCCGGATTACCTGAGAGAAAAAAAAACATACACATTATTTTAACTGAGTTTAAAAAAAAATAATAATCTAATTTTAAGCTAGAGCTGTCTCGGGGATTGTATGGTGAAGTAACAGAACAAACAATTTATAATATACAAGACTTGGTCATTTTAAAAAATAAATAAAGGTGGTTTTAATTTTAAAATTGTCAATCCAAGTTAGCCAAGTTAGTCTTATACTCTGATACTGGGGGATACATTAGGGTAACATGTCGGATTCGGAATATGCAAATGGTTTAGTGGTCTCAGAGTAAAACTATATTTCGGTCAAGTTTTTGGCATTTGAAAAGCTTGCTAAATTACATTAAAGTAATACACACCTTATGTGTTTTCAACTTAAGTTGTTTCTATTTGTTTAGACTTTCGGAAGACGAAATGTAAAGATAAACAATTTTTGTCCTTGTCTACACAAAGGACATATGTGATAACACAATAATGACAAAGTGGATATAACAATAGTGTCGTTATAGACACCAGAATTATTACACAAATAATATAATAATAATAATAATAATAAAAGTATTGGCACAGCAGTAATGACAAAGTGAAACGACAATAATAGAATTAGTGACAAAAATATATTGACGTAGGTGATGAAACAGTAATGCCAGTGATCATACAACAGTAATCACAAAGGTGATGGAACAATAAATTAATAATATCACAGGCGATACAACTAGTAAGATACAATATTATAAGAACGAACCGATCTCTCACCTTCTTTAAATACATCCGCACGGCTAGCCACGACAGTTGTTTCCATTAGTATTTCGGCGGTGACCGTGACGTAACTGGTGGCCTTGAGAATGTTGACGCTGAGGGTAAAGTCCATGTTGGGGCGGATCGTTGACGGGGCGAGGATGAGATACGTGCTGGAACTTTCGAGAATATATTCTCTTTATTATATCGCAAATAAATGCAAGAAGAACAAAACCCAGGATTTATTTATAAGCTGAACAACCTAATCTAATGGGTACCTAGCCCATATATATATATATATATATATATATATATATATATATATATATATATATATATATACATATATATATATATGACAAGTTATTTAATTTAATTATTATATAATCAAAAATATTAATGTAGCTTTTTGTGTCCTTCTGAGGATTGTTGTTCTAAATTAAGTAGTCCGCGATTATGGAGCGTTCATTGTTTTGGTTGCCTTTGTTTAGGGCTGCTTTGTGTGTTTTGTTAATTTTTTTTATTAAAATAAATATTACTACAGAGTTTGATTTGGTCCAGCTATATGTTTCATGTAGTGTTGTTAGTTATTGTTGAATTCGGGACTATCTTCTTGTGCGTAGTATGTCTTGTGTGGGTGTACTTTGACTTTGTACACAATTTTGAATTTTTTTTTTCTTCGTGGACGTGATGTTTGGCACAGTGAGGGACATTCTGAGGGAATGTCGCGGCCTGTGTGGTGAAGTGTTTCAGTTTCTGTGTCGTATTTCTAGATCTTTTCGTATGGTGCTTTGTTATGTTTTACTTCTTTATTGAATATGCTTATTGGTCTGTCAGCGACCTGGGCATTCAGTATTTAGACTTGGAGAAGTCGTAATGGTTGTATATCTAGTTCCAGGCAACGTGGTTGTATGGTGATCTGTTTTTTTTTCTATATTGTAGTGTTTGCTTTATTTATTTTTTTTGCATTTGGTTCCATTTTTTAAGATAATAAATTTAGTTAAGACTAAGGTTAGGATTTTACCAGTCTGAGTTCTGCAAGATTTGCACTGACCTGATGGTTTAATATAAGTCTAGAGAGTAGATAAGACACTCCCCTCATCAGGGGTCATATATATATATATATATATATATATATATATATATATATATATATATATATATATATCACTATTATGTTGCACAGTGTATAAAATGTCTTAGTAAACTAGTCTTAGTATATAACCAGGCTTAAAGATGTGATAGCTGTTCACCAAGGCAGATGTGTTAAAATATCCAAAGAGGCTCTAAGTATTTCAAATAAAGAAATTTCTGTGACTTGCCATGTTATGGACCTATGTTCCGATAATTTTATTTTTAAATATACCAAACTCATACGAAACTAAAAACGATGAGTAAGACCTACCCCATTCTCTCTGCATCTAGAAACCCACTTACTTTTTAGAACACACGGCTGTGATGGCCACGGCAAGAAAGAGAAACAGCCGCATCTTGTGAAAACGGGGAAAAGAGCGGAACTTTAAAGGTTACGCAGGCAGGAGCTATTGACCATTTGTAAGAATTAAAATGTGTGTGTTAAAGTCCGCCATTGCAGATGGATGCGTCTTGTTCATCTGTAATGCTGAATGAGGGGAAATCCCGATTTAGTTAATTTACTTTATTAAAAAAACTGCATAATGAAGTGATTAAATCGATAAATATATAAAGCAATCAATGTTTGTCTGTATGTCTTTTATGCATTACTACACCATTCTGTAGGTTTCTGTAAAAAAAATAAACCGGGAGTGATCTCCCCTAAACTTTCTCGAATATTCTTATATAAAACAACAGGGGATTGGAACTCGGATTATAGTTATGATTTTTAATCAATTTTTAATACTTAAACTTTTTAAAATAGAATAGAATCTCATAGAAAAAATAATTGCGCACCAAGCGAACGCCGAATAAAGATGTGTATAATAGTGCGGAATATTATTAGTACTTTATAAATTCACATACGTTTTTTGAGAAATCGGAAATAGTTAAAATTACTACTTCCGGTCAACGGAAATTACTCAAGATTTGACAAAAAGCAGAAACTTAGATCTTATACTTACAAGTGAAATTTCATGTATCTATCTGAAATAGTACTCAAGTTATAGGCTTTTGAAAAATTCAAAGTAGAATATGTTCCACTTCCGGTTATCGGAAATTGCTCAAAGTTGATACGGATACAGGATTTTGATATAATACTGATATATAAAATTTCAACAACCTAGCTATAACGGTACTCAAGGTATCGTGTTTACACACACGCACAAATACACACACACAGACATACGGACAAGATTGCAATCTATGTTTTTCCGACTCAGGGATGTGTAAAAAAATTTTGCACGATTACAATACTTTCTCTATACTTCGGATATACGAGAAATAAAAAATTCAACTTTGCATGGATGGCACCTCGGCAGGGCGCGATCCGATTTTTCTCTATATACGGTGTACAAAATAAAAGTTGATTGTGGTTTGACACCGATCATCCGATCGTCATGAAGCTTTGTGGTGTTGATTAGAAACCTCCAGGTGAGGTTTCTGTAAAAAAAAATATTTTTTTTTAATTTCGCAAGGGTGCTATTTTTCTAAATACACGGTATATAAAAGTAAAAGTTGATTGCGTTTTGACACCATACATCCGATCGGCATGAAGCTTTGGAGTGTTTGATTAGAACACTACAATGAGGTTTCTGCATAGGTGGCGTTTCAGGAGGTTACATCTTACTTCCTCGTTTTTAATTTTAGTGTTGGAAGGGATCCCCTCCAAAACAATTAAGAATACGTGTTAACTGGTTATGCGCCGTTGAGGCCATTGACTCCGATTTTGTTGCAGTAATTGTTTGATTTTGATACATGGCGCCGACGTTCGTCTTAAAGAGCCTCATCTGCCCGAGGGTTCGAACTCGAGACTTTTCGATTTAAGCAACGATGAGCTTTACCGACTCGACCGCGCCGAACCAATCGGGATGGTACGAGGAATCTCTATATACGGTATATTAAATAGTCGATTGCGGTTCAGCATCGTTCATATTCCGAGTGCCATGGAACATTTTAGGGATGTGATGAAAACATTTCAGGGGAGGTTTCTGCAAAAAAAAAAAAAAAATCGCAAGGGCGGCGCCCCGGTAGGGTGTGCTTTTTCTCTATTTACGGCATATAAAAAAGGTCTCGGATGTTGTTTAATGCTGTTTAGTCGAGTCCCATGAAACTTTCAACAGTTTATTAAAATAATCCCGAGAAGGTTTCTGCGGAAAAACATATTATAATTGTCGCCTAGAATAGTGCGCTTTTTACAAGCTTTTTCCAAGCTTTTATTTACTTTACTTCCTCTGTCTGTCGACAATCGATCTGTCGACAGTCTGTGTATCTGTCTGTCTAGATCGAAACGCCCGAGCGAAATTTCGGGCCCTTCTACCTGACAGATTCGGTTCAAAGTTGACACGTGAGTCAAGACAATAATTTAATTCAATCTGACATTAAATTTGTATTAATTGGACTCCTAATTAATTTTCATCAATTATTTAAATTTTTGTCCAAATTAGTAAGCAGTCTTATGCAACTATTCAGCACTATTACACACGCGTAATCACCTTTATTAGGTGTGCAATAGTTTTTAGTCATGCAACTTAGTTGTAAATGTTTTAAAAATTAAAGTATTAAAATAAACCGGGAGTGATCTCCCCTAAACTTTCTCGAATATTCTTATATAAAATAACAGGGGATGGGAACTCGGGCTATAGACATGATTTTTAATCCATTTTAAATACTTAAAGTTTTAAAAATAGAATAAAATCTCGTAGACAAATTAATTGCACACCAAGTGAACGCCAAATAAAAAAGCGCATAATGGTGCGCAATATTATTATTACTTTTAAAATTTACATTAGTTTTTTGAGAAATCGGAAGTAGCGTAAAGTACTACTTCCAGTCAACGGAAATGACTCAAAATTTAATAGAAGGTAGAGAATCAGATCTTTTACTTACATTATGAAATTTCATTTATCTATCTGAAATAGTACTCAAGTTATAGGCTTTTGAAAAATTCAAAGTAGGAAAAGTACCACTTTCGGTTATCGGAAATCGCTCAAAAGTTGATACGGATCTACGATTTTGATTAAATACTTATATATGAAATTTCATCAACCTAGCTGTAACGGTACTCAAGTTATCGTGTTTACACACGAACAGACAGACACACAGACAGACACACAGACAGACACACAGACATACGGACAAGATTGCAAAATTATGTTTTTCCGTATCAGTGAGGTGTGAAACGTCGAGATTTGTAAAAATCTCGATTTTTTTTTTGCACGATTACAAGACTTTCTCTATACTTCGTATATACGAGAAAGTAAAAATCATGAAAAACGTTTTAATGACAAGCTTTTATGTAATAATGCACTAAAAAGTAGAAAATAAATTATTTTCTTTAAATATGTAATAAAACACTACTATATTTCTCAGGGCTTTCCCGTGAGCGCTGTTGCGTATACGTTTGATTTAAAGAATGCGATAGATTATGGATACAAATTAGTTTTATAGTCGTTCACTAAATTGAATCAGATGCATTCACCGGCGCCCTAGGACGATGCAATTTGGCGCCCGGGCTTTCTCTTGAGCACTATGGCGTCTACGTTAGTTTTAAGGAGCATCGTATACTACTAACATCGTAGCACGCGACATTCGATGATGAAACCTGCGGCAGTGTAACCGGGCTACCGAGAGCACCCTGCTATGTCGCTGAAACCTGGGCGGTGACCGAAGTTTGTTCTACCTCACTAAGTACTCGAGTTTAGGGTTAACAAGCAAATAAAATACCAATTCCAGTTATCGAAAATGCTTAATAAATTAACCAAAACCTGCGCATACAATCTGTAGTTAAATAGTTAGTCCACCTAACTTAAACGGTATTAAAATTTTCGGCGTTAGAGCAACTTGAAGTATGTAATATCAGATTACCGGATTTCTCCTAAAAAGTGTTAGAAAATGTGAAAATAATACTTATACATAAAATTTTATATGGAAATGGTACTCAAGTTGTTGTGTTCACACACTCACTTACACACACACACACAAACAAACAAATACAAACAAACACACCAGAGACAAACTTGCAAAATGAAAAATTATGAAAAATTTCCCGCTTCGGGGGAGGGAGGGGGTGAAAGTCGTCGAGTTTTATTACGCTTTTTTGGTTGTTGTTTTTTTGCACCAAACAATACTTCCACTACAATCCGTATACGAGACGGCAGGAGATATCAAACATTATTGCAAAACTACAGTAAATTATTACATACGAGAAAGTAACAAGAAAGACAATAACATTACTCATCAAATTGTATTACAAAAAAAAAAATACAACGAAGACCGTTTTGAAAGCTATATTTTATTTGCCAAATGTTTTTATTTGCTAAAAGAGATCTATAATAATATCAAATGCTATTTCTATACACCACGAGATAAAATTGTCTTTGCATGCCTCCCATGCTTTCTTTAATATCTGTGAGAAGATACAAATAATATGATTAGCAATTATATCAGGACGTTTGTGGTTAAAGCGACTTAGCAATATTAGTAAACTTTTCGATTATTACATTCAGAGATCAAATATTGAATTATATATTTTATCTATAAATGCCATTGATAAATGATTTCGTTAAAAACTCCTAGACAAAATAAATGTCTGATCTTGGTAAGTTGTACATAGATACCAATCATCTCAAATATAATGCATCACATACGTTAATTCAGACAGATAAAATATCTCAAACATAATGCCTCATATATAATACACAGACACATAATTTCTTGCATAATAACTCATATACATTACATAAGACAATAAATCACAAATATAAATTCTAACAATTATTTCTACACAGATAATATCTCCTACATATCTATAATATAAGCTTTAGATTTTAGAACCATAAAAGAAAACACACCACTTGTCATAAATAAACGCACATTGCTAAAACATATTAAACGGACCAATGTCAAATAATACTTAGATTACTAGAAAAATTTGATACATTTTAATAATAGTAGGGTAAAAAAACTAATTAATTAAAATCTTTTATAATTTTGCCAGGGGAGACAATTTAAAAAGAAACTCACGCTAATAAATAAAATGTGAATGCAAATTCTGCGGACGTGTAAGGGGACATTGTTGTTAGAATATTTTAATAAGAATGGATGGATAAAATGCACCGTGGTAGGTAAAACACGGATATTCTAAATATTTCCTTTTGTTTATTTTATGGATAAGTTGCAGTATTATAGCTTACTTAGTTAAATCAGGCGGTTTATTGTGAGCAATATGTGTTTATTTTTGCATTTAAGTTGTGTTTGTGTTATGCGTTTGCATTTTTTTTTGCGCTTGCATTTGTGTTTGCATTGTGTTTGTGTTTATGTTTTTTTGCGTTTGCTTTTGCATTGTGTTTTTGTGTTGTGGTTGTGTTTTCTTTTGTGTTTGTGTTGTGTTTAGTTTTATTCTGTTCCCAAGTTGGTTAATTTAAAAAAAAAAGATTCCACGTGGCGGAGCACGGATATGCAGATAGTCTTTTTATATTATCGTATATCTGTATAAAGAAATAATGACACACAAACAATAGACTAGTAACATATCTTAAGAATAATGAATATAAATCATATTTTTGCGAGACTAAATAATATCAGAATAAATGTTTCAGATAAACTCTCTCATTAAAATCTCACTGGCTAAAATTACTTGCATAAAGTATTCCACGATTAAGCTAGTCAGGAGCATCTCTCTCTTTAGGCAGAATCAAACAACTTGGGAACAATACACAAAGATAAACAACAGAATAAACAACTCAACATCACCTTAACATTTTCGTTGACTGGTCGACAGTTCTCACACTTGGAACATACGTCACAGATTGTGGCATCTTTCAGAACTTGCGATTGGTAGAACACCGTCTCCTGGTTTTCTGTACCGTAAAAAACAATTAATTAACACGGGAAAATTTTAATCTTTCCACCATTTTTCAACACATATAAACCAACTGATTTAGACATTAAATTTATATTTCCGTTTTGTTTACTGAATGCACTTAAAATATTATTTTAGGATTAAACACATTTTTACTGGCGGTTTATCAAAGAGTATTTTTAGTGAAGCCTCGGTTGATTTTTACAAGAAAATAAATTATACACTACTATTTTCTTTATAGTTATTTAAATAGTAGTATATAATTTATTTTCTCCGTTTTAGTGCATTACACATAAAAGCTTATTATTAAAACGTTTTTATGACATTTTTTTGTTACATAATTTATTAAGAAAAGAGTGAAGATATTAACCCGCTGCGATCTGTGAGACAATGAATATTGAGTGTACAATATGAATTAACCATAGCAGCTTACTCCAGAACGTTATGAAACAAAACACATTCTTCCTGTGTTAATATTTCTACTTAAACATTCATATGCAATATCATTCGTTTCATAACCTGATTTGGCTACTTTCGATTATAAAAAAATGTTATAGTTTTAAGTGTGAAAAAGTAAACCAAGCAATGTTAGTGTAAAACCTGTGACATACGTGGCTCATAGTAGTCATAGACCCTGACGGCAGCTGGCTGGGACTTGGCAACAAAATCAACTCGTCTGACTCTAAGGTTTAAACACACGGGCGTCGTGCCGATCTGGGAGGAGGAGACACATTTAGAGTAAAAGATAATACAGACACTTATTCAAAGAAATGCTTTTATTTACTAAAAAACTGCTTTACAAATACATTTTACTTTATCTGCTACAACACAAAGTCATAGTTGTTTGTGTTGTAATGAAGGAGAAGTTTTCCCAATAACGGAAAACGATAGAGTAAAAATGTTAATTTTGAAAAGATGCACTTCCAAACTCAAATAGCCTAAAAAATCCTTTTTGATGGTAAAATAAATATCCCCTTTCATCACACTGACCTTGTCAAAGTAGAGAATGACCTTCTTGTTTTGTGTCTCGACTCTCTTCATGGTGTCGAGTTTGGTGATACTCTCAAGGTCAGCCTCAAAGCCTGATGGGATACCAAACTCTTGGACGGCCATTCCACTGCTGAGGCCATATCCTAGCCACCTTAAATAGAGGACCATTCGTGGTATTTGTTCTATTTTACTGCGTCATACACACGCGTGAAACGTTTTAACTAACTTTCAATTGTAGCATACATGAGAAAGACGAACATTCTCTAATAGATTCACTGTCGTTAATGTTTTTTAGAACTATTTGGGGAAAATGATGATGTTTTGTTATACATAAATAGTACTGACTACACTATCGCTTTATAAGCCGAGGTCACTGAAGCAGGTGAACTCTACTACATCTGCCCTATAAGCCTTGGGCACGATCCGGCAAAAGAAGGGAGGTAAGCACTCAACCACCTCCAACATTTTAACCATAATATACAAGCGCCAATTAACACACCTTGTGCAAGTTTCCATATACAAACTGTTGAGCGTCTCCTTCACCATTTCCAACTTCAGATCGAAGGATTTTACCTCAATTTCCGAAAGCACATTGTAGCTTACCGCCGCCTGGATAGCAACACAATGTATGAATAGATGAAAATGAAACACGTTACTGAAAATACCTACAGAGTATTATCGTTACTAAGTTTAATGACGAATTTTTATTTAACCATTATGCACGAAGTTAATGGATCTATTTTAATCGCAGGGTTACAAGATATACCTGAACAAGAGCCGAACCTGAGCCAGTAGCTGTGATTACAACTTGAGCTGGTACTTTTGTATTCTATATACATACATATATATATATATATATATATATATATATATATATATATATATATATATATATATATATATATATATATATATATTTATATATATATATATATATATATATATATATATATATACATATATATATTTATATATATACATATATATATATATATATATATATATATATATATATATATATATATATATATATATATATATATATATATATATATATATATATATATAAAGAAATAAAATTGAGTATTTGATTTAAACAATTTATATTCTTTAGAAAAGGAAAACTGCATTTCTATTTGAACCTCTCTAGACTGCAGCACAAGTGAGTTGGTCTTGTCAATGTCGAACGAGTAGGTAGTCTCAGGGTCTAGTTGGGTGGTGATGTGGACTTTTAATTTGTTGCTGTACGTCTGTTTGGCGTACTCGCTGAGGGCGTTCAGGGCGACGACCGTATCCTAGAGGAAGATTGTGTGAATGTATGCTCTTTTACTTTTACGTATATAAAAAGTATGAGAAAGTCTTGTAATCATGCAGAAAAAAAAATCTCGACGTTTTACATCTCACCGAGGCTTAAAAACATGTAATTGCAATCTTGTCCGTATGTCTCTGTGTGTGTATGTGTGTGTCTGTAAACACGCTAAGTTGAGTACCTTTACAGCTTGGTTGATGAAACTTCATATATAAGTATTATATCAAAATCGTAGATCCGTATAACTTTTTCAGCGATTTCTGATAATCGAAAGTCTAACTTTTTCTACTTTGAATTTTTCAAAAGCCTATAACTTGAGTACTATTTCAGATAGATAAATGAAAAATTATATATTCAAAAAAAAGATCTAATGCTCTGCCTTCTGTCAAATTGTGAGTAATTTCCGTTGACCAGAAGTAGTAATTTACGCTATTTTCGATTTCTCAAAAAACGCATTTGAATTTATAAAGTACTAATAATATTCTGCACTATTATACACATTTTGTTGTGCATTCACTTGGTGCACAATTCTTTTTTCTACGAGATTCTGTTCTATTTTTAAAAAGTTTAAGTAATTAAAAATGGATTAAAATCATGTCTACGTCCCGAGTTGCCATCCCCTGTTGTTTTATATAAGAATATTCGAGAACGTTTAGGGAAGGTCACTCCCGGTTTATTGGAATTAAATTTATAACACTACATTTCAATTCTAACAATGCATCAATTAGGCGGCAAAATATATTTTATATAATTAAATATTTTGACAGAAAATTTAATTGTATATTTTAATCCTTATATATATGTTACGGTCAAAGCCCGAAGTGCGGCCAAACCCCGGATTGGCCGGCCAATGCGCGCACTGGCCGGGACGTACTGGCCAAAGTCCGAAGTACTTAAACTTGACACCGTATTTAATACATTGGCCGGCCAATGCGCGCATTGGCCGGGATGTCCTGGCCAATGTTGTATCTAGACTAAGTTGTGATCGCGTTTTAATTATTCTGGGTGCGGTTTCATTGTGAGTAATGTATTGTTTAGCTCTTGTTTGTATAGCATTCTATATGCATGGCGACATGGATCAAAAAGGCCGTCAGACCATGAGACAGACATAGCAAATGGCTGTCAAAAGAAAAAAAAATTAATTCATGTTAGTTTCCATATATTGGCTACAGCTGTATGTGACAGCCTCCTCCATGATGACGAGGTGAGACAATCATCAAAGAACAAAATCAAAGACAGTCGGCGTCACCGACCACGTGCAACAAGACGGAACGTTCAAAAGACTTTTCCGCGTTCCTAGATGTTTAAAACATGATGATGACATGGATGCAAACAAATGAATCAGCTCATTGGGCTGAGAGTCTCAAATTCATTTAATTTATGAAAAATCGTTCTTTTCATCAATGAATCCAACAATCACCATACGAAGCCTTGTTTGGATGCAAAGCAAAAGTGGGACTTAGCACTTCAAATCTACCAAGAGAGGCTCTCAATAAAATAGTTACTGAGGAAGATCTTGAGAACATTGAACATAAATGCAACGACATCCTCAGTTGCCGTGGCGGAACGTCCAGACCAGTTGCGTGACAATAATGTGGCCAATAGATTCTGTATAGTTTGTGAAAAACATTGTAGTGCAGCTCATTCTTGTGGATCCTATGGCAACGATGTGCATGCTATTTGTGGAATACCCAATGAAGCAGACGAAGGGTACGGAGGGAACATTACCTGCAGATTGTGTCACAACAAACAAGACATCATGGAACACAGGTCAGCAGCTCATACTGGCTTGCAAAATCAAGGTGGTAAGATGCTTAAAACATCAAATACAAACTTTAAAGATGGTGAAGTGGGTGACAATGTAGGCATCCGTGTTCCAGATGTTGACAGAGGTCGCGGTGATCCCCGAAGCGTGATTGCAGTTGTCATGAGCGTCGAGGGCGGTTTCTACAAATTAGGAACGGAACATGGTGTTCTAAAACAACTGTATGCTAGAAGTGAGTTTTCAATTCTTCACGAAAAACTGCTCTTATTGTCGTCAGTTGGCACTGAGGAAAAATCACTACGAACCATCGCATCTTCATCGCATCTTCACAATCATTGACTGGGGGCCAAGGCTACACTCGCTGCAATTGCACAACCAAGTGTACAACAAATCGCTGCAAGTGTGAAAATAACAAGCTGCTATGTAATTCTAAATGCCATAAAAGTCCAACTTGTTGTAACAAATGATAATATTGATTGATTGAGACTATAGTACAATAAAAAATTTGAATGTTTCTGTCATTTACTTTAATTAATAATCAATAAAGACTTAATTTCATGATCCTACCTGCATAAAAAAAACAAAATCTGCTCATGATCTTCTAATTAAGACTTTGGCCGGTCCACCATGGCCAGTCCGCGGACTGGCCGGGACTGGCCGGCCAAAGGCCGAAATCAAGAGCTATTTCAGACTTTGGCCGGTCCACAATGGCCAGTCTGCGGATTGGCCGGCCAAAGGCCGAAATGAAGCAAAGTTTTGGACTTTGACCGACCTATGGGAGGCGATATTGGCCAATGCGCGGATTGGCCGGCCAATCCTAGCATTGGCCGACTTCGGGCTTTGACCGTAACATATATATATATATATATATATATATATATATATATATATATATATATATATATATATATATATATATACGAGCCGACCCGCAGCGTATCATACGCCGCTATTTAGTTGTTTTATTTTCTTCTTTTCAGTAATTCATGATTTGTGAATTCGACAGTACCACTGCTGTCACTGAAAATATTTGCTTTAAAACACCATCAGTAAGTCGTAAAGGACGATACCCCCCCCCCCCCCCGTGAAAGCAGCCTTCCTCTTAGCTACCTCCCCTAAGTTTAAAATCGTTTCAAACTAAATTATCTGCCCTTAATATCCGTCACTAAACCTGGCTCTACGATTGTCAACATTTAGCGTGAACTACAGCTCACCAGACTTCCTAGAGAGGAAGAGAGATGACTGCAAGGCGCGCTTACAGCTTGTTTTCTAACGTCTCCAAGAAGAGAATTATATATATAGAAGATATATATATATATATATATATATATATATATATATATATATATATATATATATATATATATATATATATATATATATAAAAACTTGTGTTTAAAGGTGGATGGCAGTTTTGCTTAGAGTTTACAAATGAAGCTCTAGAGAAACCTGTGTGGATATAAAGCCGCCGTTGGCGTTTCTCTGTTTGGTGATCCACTGCATGATGCTCTTGCCCGCCACCAAGTCGCCCCGCTTTGTGTAGGTCAGCAAGACGTAGGCGGTCATCTCTATGTCAACGGCCTTGGTGGTTTTGGGGCTCTGCCTGGTGTAGGTAGATGTCATAGGTGACTCCGGCTGGTGCCAATGCACCAAGCCGTCTGTTTATTGAAAATAACAAGAAGCATTTTTTCAATAGAAATTAGCGAATTGCATTTTAGACGCAATTTATTTAAATATGTCACGGTTTTACATTGAATAGAATAACGGTATTTTAAATTGGAACTGGTCTGGTCGTATAAAGGCTGAAATCTTGGAGAAGACGTGTGGTAACGGCAGGAGGGTTATCGAGCTCGAAGGTTCAAAGTGTTGCGGGATGGAGGGAATTAGTTTTGTGGATGATATGTTTGGTCGTAGATTGTGTAATTTGTTTGTACTTGTGTGCTTTTTTGACATTAAAAAAAGATAACAATACTCTTCATTAATGCTGCATGCCTGTTTAGTATACTAATAAATCATTAGTGAACTCCCCTAAGCATCGACATACATTTATATATAACAGTAAAATTTGGGATGGAAATTTCAGTCAAATCTGGCTATAGAATACACTTAAATGCGAAAACTGTTAAGAATATGCTGCTTGATCAGAATATCAAATTCTAAAGGTTTATGGAAAAGAAAGTAAAGAACATCTTCCGATTACCGAAAATCACTTCAAAATTGAGAGAAAGCTTCAAAGGGATCAAACATTAAATCTTAGATTTATTCAACCTAACCGAACGGTTATATGTATTTTAAAAACCGGAAGTTACTCACAAATTAAAATAAAACTACAATCAGATTTTAAACTTATATTTAAAAGTTTGGTAACATACATTAAACAAACGGGAGTAAAATTGTAGTTTTCATACCAACATAGATTTAAATACCAATTCCGTTTCCCGAAATTTGCACGAAACTTGAAAGTGGCATATGTACATGATCTAATACTTATATACGAAATTTCGTCGATTCAGGTTATCGGCTCTTGCAAAACCAAAAATAAAGTAGCTCTCTCGGTTACCGGAATCATCTCAATAAAAAAACTTTGAGTAGGATCTAGTATTTACTTATAAAATTCTGTCTACCTTATGGAAACGGTTCTCAATTTTTCGTCTTCACACACATATATACACACAAAGGGAGACTGACAGACAAACAAATAAGAATGCACTGAGTTAAACGCCGAGATTTGTGAAGTATCCACGATTACAATACTTCACCTAAACTCCTTACACGAAGAAGTGATAAAGTCTTTAAAAAGTAGCGAGGGTAAAAAAGTAATTAGAAATACAGAGCAGGATTTACCCTTCTGAGTTGACTCAGCCTCCAGTTTGTCTAGAACAGCTTGGGTCATGTTGCTCCCGGCCAGTTGGAAAGCGTAAGACGCCATGGCGAGAACGTAGAGATCATCCAACTTGGCAACTTCCTGTTCAGCGTAGGCCAGGGCTTTTTGTCTGGCCTGTTCAGCCAAGACTCCTGCGGCATTCTGGGGGGGGGGGGGAATGAAGTTTTTTTCAAAACTCTGTAGAGACTCATCGTTTTTACAACTCGGATAAATTACTTATTTTAGCTTTAACCTTTAAAGTTTCAAATAGATCAACACAAATGTTATTTACAAATACAAGTGCTAACCCTACCACATACTCATATAAAACTAAGCGTTTACTCACCATACACAAGTAAACGCACGATTTAATATAAATATTAACCTTTGACTTACCAATAAAGAAATGAAACCCTTAACCTACCGTATTCTCTAGAACATCACGGTTCTCCAAAAGTGAGATCAGCACAAACAGGGTCAATCCGACCCCGGACCCTGCTTGTCCCTGAAGAATTAAAAATAAAATCAACAAATCGGATACCTGTAAAACTATTTGCTGCAAGCAAAAGTGCCTAGCTATTACCTAACTATATACGCAGCATTTTTCAGTAGTATTTGAATGATATCTTTTAAATCCTATGCACTATAATGATGCATCTTCAAATAGATATTTGTTGTCAGGGAATTTTATGGCGCCTCCGTTTCAAACTCTACAAGCTCCCGAATCCCGTGAATAGAAATTGGATGTAAACTCGATTGACCTCTAAGTCCGCCAATAGGGGATAAAAACAGGCTGAGAGAGAACACCAACTTAAATAATCTAGATATCAGCGAAAACAATCTCATCGACGAAAGCCGAAAAATCTTCGATGGGTACTAGACCGAATGCAGGTACTAGACCGAATGCAGGTAGTTGCAGTAAAAACAGCCTTCGAATCGAAAAAATTCGAACAATCGACACAATTTAGCTTCATTCTGGTTACTTTGAGGAAAGTGAAAGATTCTAAATTATTATTTTTAGAGGATTTGTATTAAATCGAAAAGAAATATAAGTTAAGCTCGTTATTATTCTTTAGAGTAGTAATTGTAATACGTGTTACAAATCAAATTTTAATTATACATATTACTTGAAATAACAAAACTATTTTAATTTTTTATTATCAGTCACGGCACAATAGCAGTTCTATTTACAACATATACTGTTTCACAGCGTTTGGGCTAAGTGGTTTATAGTTTTCTAATAGTCTCTGAATTGTTTAATAATTTTTTTCACAATGTCAAGTGCTGTTTCTCTTAAGCACAGCTGTACCTGCTATGGCCATCGTTTTTTCTCAAATACAAGACAATATTTCCTGCTGACCTGCATATTCTTGTGGATAATTTCTCCAGGCTCGGGGAAGCTGCCGTCAGCGTTTTGTTTCTGGATTATCCACTGGATGGCCTGGATGAGGACGGAGTCGTCGATGAAGATGTGGGACTTAGCCTGGTGGAACACGCGAGCTACGAAGGCCGTCAGCCTGAACATTGGGACAGACAGACTCAGTGTAGGGGATATGTTAGAATATTATCTTAAAGTACTTTTGCCTAAAGGTTATGATTTCTACAATTTTCGCTAATTTAAATTCCAAAAAAAAAAAAAATACCACCATTAAATTTCTGCATATATTAACCTATTTAACTTTTAAGTAAAAATTAAAATGTAAGTTCCATCATTATTAATTGTTGACAGTGAACAACAGTAAATGCTGTAAATATTTCAAATAAAGTTGTATAGCTACCACATGCTGGCTATATTTCAGATACATCAAATACCGGAAGCATTTCACATAATATTCTAAATATACAACAATATGCTGGAACTAATTTGCATATACATCTAAATCTACCATATGCTGTAAATATTTTAAATAAACCTGTATAATATATAATATAAAAACAATGTTACCTGCCACATGCTGTAAATATTTCACATAAACCTCCAAACCTATCGCATAATGGAAATATTTCAAATAAACCTGTAAAACTACCAAACGCTGGAAATATTTCAAATAAACCTGTAAAACTACCACACGCTGGAAATATTTCAAATAAACCTGTAAAACTACCACACGCTGGAAATATTTCAAATAAACCTGTAAAACTACCACACGCTGGAAATATTTCAAATAAACCTGTATACCTACCACATACTGCCTGAATAGACACATTTGCCGAATGCACTGAACGAGCCGTCACTGTGTTTGTAGTTCAGCAATCCCTGGTAGCCTGCATGACATCAGGATCATACATTATATTAACCATTAAGCTTGTTAAGCTTATTAAGCTTGACATAACATAATAGAATATGCTAAAATGCATAAGTATGTGTCACATTATGTATTCATATGAGAATTTTAGTTTTCATGTAGTCGCACCACTCTCCATGTAACCGATGGCTCTAGCCTTGATTTCACCAGTCAGTTGATTGACAGCCTTCAGGTAATCTGTGACGTAGACATCCGGTGCCAGAAGGACCATTCTTTGCTCACCACATCCGATTGGCATCTCAAGCAGAGAATCCAGTTTTGCGATGGTAGGACCCATCAGGTCACCTAAGCAAAGTTATAGTTAGAAAACAGGCTTATTTTTGCCGTATTTTTTTTTCTGAGCAAAACTTCTATCAACGCCCTGACTGTCAAGAACAACCAATTTCTAAAATAAATCCCAAGCCCATAGTTACGCTTATGTATGTCTGACTTTTATCTACCAGAAACTGAGGTCCCTATTTACATCCCCACCCCATTTCCAAACCCTGAACAATACTACTGAAATGTGTACAGATTATCCACCGACAGTTTACATCCACCTCTTAGCTACGTCTCTTTTTCCTCTACTTATTCATTCTTAATTTTAGTGTTCAACACATTTAAGTTACGTGTCAACTGGTTATGCGCCATTTAGGCCATTGACTCTGATTTTCAGCCTGCTTTACTTTTCGGATTTGTTTCCATAGCCTTTGTCCAACCAAGAACAAACTCCAAAGCAGCAGTTGTTTGATTTTAGAGTTGTCGCTTCTAGAAGAGTGGCTGTCCCCAGCTAACGAGCGTCATCTGTCCGAGAGTTCGAACTCGAGACTTTTCTGTTTAGCAACCATCAGCTTTACCGACTTGACCACGCTGACCATAGGCATAGGCTACGCCTATGGTTATCACTGCATAATGACAACCGAGGTTCCTGTCTCCTCCTCCCCCACCCCACCCCCGACACCAGTTATGTTTTGCTTCCGCAATATACTGACAACTAAGATTCCTGTTGCATTTCTCCACTCTATAGCGACGCATCAAACTACAAAAACCTACCAACAGCTGAAATTCTAACAAGCTCAGATCCCTTGACTACGTTTGCAGGCAGCGTGAGGTCAATGGTCTTTGAGAAAGTTGTTTTGCCTTCGGTCAGGTCGATGATGACAGGAACGTTGTATTGTTTGGGGACGCCTTCAGCCTATGGATTGACAAGCTCATTAAATTATGGTCGATACGACTGTAGGACATCTATCTCTCGTCACTAATCCAGCTATCATCACCCCGACTATTACTACTTCCAAGATCATTAACCCCCTGTCAATATATCCCCACTGTTATTTAGTTCTTAAAGGGGACTAGATGGGTGTGAACAATGTTTGATTTTTCATCCTGTTAATTAAGTTATTTCTTGATTATTTCTAGATATTTTTATATCCATGTAACGGATAATCCCATCTTACCTCAACCAGGAGTTGTCTGCGCACAGCGTCAGCGGCCTTGGTGGATTGGGCCTTGACCTCCACGTCAATTCTACCAAGGTCGGCAGGGACGATGGGGAAATACACAGACTTGGCCTCACCAGCCTTGACCTTCAAAAGTAAGCATTTTAGAATTGTTTTTTATTTTATAAAATCTGCTTTTCGAAAACAGATAATAGTTTTAATATTTGTAGTTTCGAATTTTTACTTTAGGAATTTGAAACATGCTAGTAATTTACAAACTACTTATACTACAAATTTCTTTTTTAAAAAACTAGAATAGCAACAACCAAAAGAAAGTTCTTACCATAACCTCCTGTACAACATCAACCTGTTTCAGCTCCTGGTTTCCTGTGGCGTCGATAAAAATGTTGTGGAAACGTTTAGACTCGGCCAGCGTCACTCGTACCTAAATGTAAATAAAAAATTAGACAATTATGTGACTTTATGGAGCTCAAGGTTTTGTTTCAATATTCCGAGACAATATACAAATATACTAGTTGTCAATACCAGGCCCTGCGCTGGCCGCTTTAAAAAAAAATCTGTAAATGACTGCTGTGTTTATATATATATATATATATGTATATATATATATATATATATATATATATATATATATATATATATATATATATATATATATATATATATATATATATATCTGTTATATATAAACCGTCTTTTCCCACCTGCATATCGTCTGGCAGGTAGTTGAAGACGTTTGCTTGAAGTGCCAGCTGCTCACCACGAGTCACAGAGTAGGGGAGGTTGAGGCTGACAAAAAACGGTCGGAAGACTTTCAGCTGGAGCAGATAATGACGTGAAACTTATAGAGAATATAGAGAATTTTTTAAAATGTTTTTTTTTTTAAACTCAGATATTTAGTCAGTGCAGTTGGCAGGCTACCTAGGTGATAGGCTACCTCAGTGTGTGAGTGATGTTCAATGCATTCCACTGTGTGTAAGTGCAGATACCACATTTGTAGCGCAAGGCCTTTTTGTAAAATCTAAGCATGCAATTTTTCTTCCTTGTCTTATAATTTTTATGACCAGGAACTTGATAAAACATTGAGCTGAACCTATTTATCTTGAAAATTTCTCCTACTCGATTTGCTGAATTATTTATAGACTCACGTGAGCTTGTGTTGGGGCCACGCCTAGACCTAATTTTGAGTTGATGGCGAAGGCGCTGACCACCCATGACGTAATGGTGTCTGGTACAGTGGCTGTGATGGAGGCTGAGCCGTTCGATCTGTGTTAAAGGCAAGTGAAAGTCCTACTGAATACAGAAAAATGTATTTTAAAACAACATATTTGGACCAAAATGTCAAAGTAGGTTCCCCGAAAGATGCGCAACGGAAAAAAGCGCTACGAAAAAAGCGCAAACTGAAAAAAATAGTTTGACATTGTTGACAACACCGGATGTTCAGCTGGGTGTGTCAGGATGTGCATATAAGCGGCGATACTTTTGGGTCGAGCGAGAGAGAAGATGTAGAGCGAGATGATGTGAGCTGAGAGACAGAAGATGTAGAGCAGGGGTCTCCAAACTACGGCCCGCGGGCCGTATGCAGCCCGCGAGGTCCTCTCATCCGTCCGCGGAGATCTTTTTGTCCACGGGAAAAAATGTTTCTTGGAGGTGGCTAAGGAACTTTGCCCAGAAAATTCAAAATAATTTGAAAATGTAGCTTTGGTTGCAATACCATTGCCCGCCGTTTTGCAGACATTGGAGAAAACGGCAAGCTTTGTGTGCTAAATATATGGACTTAAGCTGTGTACTGAATACTCTAACGAAGATGGTGAATTTAATAAGGTCATATGGGCTTAACCCTAGATAGTTTAGCGACATGTTGAAAGATACAAACACAGAATCGCAATATTTACTATATTACACAGCAGTACGATGGCTAAGTTGTGAGAAACTTCTGAGCAGAGTATTTAAGTTAAGAAAGGAAATAGGTGACTTCCTGGAAAGTAGGCAAGCCACGTCCATAAATGTCTGGTGAAGAATGGGTATAGCAATTGGCCTCTGCTGCAAACATAACTAGTCATTGAAATTTTCTGAACCCATAACTATAAGTATAAGAGAGGGAAATATAGTTTCTATACACCCAACTAAAGGCATTTCAGCTATCCCGAAGAGATGCCTGGAAGAAACTCTGGCCCCCGAACTAATATTTGATAGTTAATGCGGCCCTCGGGCTGAAAAGTTTGGAGACCCCTGATGTAGAGCGAGATGATGTGAGCTGAGAGACAGAAGATGTAGAGCGAGATGATGTGAGCTGAGAGTCAGAAGATGTAGAGCGAGATGATGTGAGCTGAGAGACAGAAGATGTAGAGCGAAATGATGTGAGCTGAGAGACAGAAGATGTAGAGCGAGATGATGTGAGCTGAGAGACAGAAGATGTAGAGCGAAATGATGTGAGCTGAGAGACAGAAGATGCGAGAGAGAAGATGGAACCATCGGGGGCAGACAGGCCAAGAAGTAGAATATGGTTGCAGAGACAGTATATATATATATATATATATATATATATATATATATATATATATATATATATATATATATATATATATATATATATATATATATATATATATATATATATAAGAGGTAGAATAAGGTTGCAGAGACAGTATATATATATATAAATATATATATATATATATATATATATATATATATATATATATATATATATATATATATATATATATATATATATATATATATATATATAAGAGGTAGGATAAGGTTGCAGAGACAGTATATATATATATATATATATATATATATATATATATATATATATATATATATATATATATATATATATATATATATATATATATATATATATATATTCTTTGAAGCCACCGGTTACATTACTGCACGGGTGACAGTTGCATTTAGTGCTTAGATTCAGTCATCCACTGTAGTAGCCCGACGTATCTTTAAGATAATATTTTAAACGAATGTATGGGATTTAGTCCTTATATATGAGCCTCCGGATTACAAAGCCGCCGGTGGAGGCCCCTACAGCGGCTTGACTGATGATTCAAGTAGTACTTATGTCCCTCACCACTCCAATATTTAAACAAATGTTAGTCCTATGACCGTTGAAATAGACAACAAAGCACCGATTTACGTAAATTTAAATAGTGCTGAATTAGGGTTGGTCGCAAGTAGTTTTCCCAAAGCCTATACTATAATAAAACTCATTCAAGGAAGATGATTCAAATTATACAAGTTTACTGCACATTTCTTGTACAAGCAAAAATTAAGTAAGCTTACATAAAAACAGAATTATTGCTACCATATTTACTATTTTAATATTTGAATAAGAAATTGAAAGTTGAGGATAATAATTCAACCAATATAACAAACATACGTGTTTACATTTTAACATGTACAATGGATCAACGCTACAAAGAACCACGAAAGTCAGTCGCATAGATATCTCTCGGCCTCTCGCGCAATTTACTTTTCCATACAATGTTGCTGGTGACAGAGTATGTTTGACTTACGTGAAAAGGACTCAGATTTCGAAATGGTTTAATAACAAATGGTAAAAATAATTATCATTTAAAAAATTAAAAAAAACCCACGTTTTCTGATTGAACAGTAAGCCAGAAGAGGGAAAGTACCGAACCTTGTTTTTATCAAATTACAATTACTAGGTTATGTCCCTTTTTGTACAAATCAATAGGAGTCTAAAATGATCAATAAAATTTTTCCATGGATTAATTTAGTAATAATAATACTTGAATATTGTATTGTCATCGGAAACAAAGCTTCTCTGAAAATTTCAGTGCGCTAGCTAACTGGGAAGTGCCCGAAATTTCGATCGCAAGATTTGATGGAAAGACAAACAGACGCGAAAGCAAGTTAAAGAAAACGTGGGAAAAATGCACAAGAGCGTGGTAAAGTGACCTAAGAATAAAGATATTCAACCGCAGCTATAATATTCTTTAAAAAAAACAATCATCAAGGCGAAAACATATTTGTTAATAATAATAATAAATTATGTGGTCGGCAGCGGGCCCTCTAAACCTCTGCCTCCCTCCCCCTTTAGCGTTGACGGGTTTGGCGAA